ACATACCTAACATTTAGTGCATTATACACATTAATTAGCTGTTTACTGTGTTAGATTACGTACAGGAGAGCGGCTGGGCGGGGCAAGATAGGTTGCGCAGCAAGGTAGTTATAATCGTGCAGGAAGGGGAGCAGCGAGCAGTAGAGGACAAGTAGGCAGAGGTAGAGCAGCAGTTGGTGAGAGCGTACGTTAAAGGCAAAGACGAGACGGTAATATGCAGGCGGGTAGTGTTAGACGGGTATTTAGATAGACGAGAGAAGGAGCGGGTAGGGTGCGAAGAGGGAGAGGAGAAGTGCGACGTGTGCAGAAGAGCGGACGACAAGGAAGAAGACGAGGAGGAGATAGAGGAGGAGGAGAGCGAGGAGGACGAGGGAGGCAGCAGCAACGAAGAGGATACGGGCACAGTTAAGGCAGAGCGAGAGGAGGCACGGCGGGTATTCGAGCAGCAGCAGCAAGCACGACGCGGCCCGCAGCAGACGTTAACACAGCAGCGGCAGCAGGAGTTCGCTAATATAGAGTAGTTGCGCTAGCAGTTAGCATAGTAGACAAAGCAGTGTAGCATATGCGAGGTAGCAGGCAACGGATAGAGCGGGCACGACGTGCAGTAGTGTTAGAGGCTAGAGAGCTAGCAGGCTAAGGAGATAATTAAGGCGGTAGAGGAGAAGATGCGGTTTAAGGAGTATTCGGGTTGTTTTTAGTGTAGGGTACTGCAGGAGGTGTGCAACTAATAGGAAGACAACAGACGCGGACGGTATTAGAGGGCAGAGGGAAGAGATTGTTAATATTAAGGGGTGTTAGTAGGAGGGTTGTTAGGATTAGTGTACAGGGGCGAGGAGGGAGTAATAGAGCGATAGGTTACGCGGTTAGTAGAGCAGGGGGTTAATGCGAGTTTAATAAAAGGATTAGTTTAGTATTTAGGGCGCAAACAGGCGTTAGAATGCGTTAAAAGCAACAGGTTAGTAGGGGAGTTTTGTTAGATTACGCGGTTAATAGCTAAGTAGAATAGTAATTACAAGATATTGCTGCAGAAACGTACAGATAGAAGAAGCAGAAAGAAGGGTAGAGAAGAGAGGGTAGAGAAAGGAGGGGTTAGAATTAGAGTCGCGGTAGTGCAGTTACGCAAGTTAGAGAGTTGCGCGTTTATTACGCAAGAGTTAGGAAAATCCAAATTAACAAATAGTAAGACAAACAGCAAGACAAACAAGACAGGCGTACACACAAGTACAGGAAAGGTAGTATAAGCAGAGAAACAACAAGGAATATGTTAGTTTAAGGTTGTAGGAGCAAAAACAGTTGTAGGAGTTAGGTCTAGTCCTAGATGCAAGTCAGGTAGGGTTATCCGCATGTACAGCAAGCAGATAATTAATAGTATAGACAATAGGACAGAGGTAGGTAGAGAGCACTAGCAACACGCATAAGAGTGCAGAGAGCGTAAGCAGAGAAGGCAGTAGAGACAAGAGGGGGTGTTAGAGCTGCGGTTAGGTTAGGACGCAAGTTAGGATAGGGTTAGGGTTAGCTGTATTAGGGTTTCGAGACAACAGCATGTAGGAGGACACAGAAGCCCGCAAGAAGACGCTAACCTAAGTAGTATGTCTAACTTAAGTAGATCCCCTAAACTATATAAGAAGAAGATTAAAGAGAGAGTAAAATGCAATAAAGACGTTAGTTAGGTAAACAGGGTAGAAATTAGAGTAAAGGGTAGAATTGTTAAAGGAAAAATCGGAAGATTATGGTAGCAGTAGAAGATGAGGATCAGGTTAGGGTTTTAGAATTAAGAAGATAGTAGAGTAAAAAGCAAAGTAAGGAGTAGTTTCGTAGTTTAGTAGTTAGAAAGAGGTTTACAAGAAGAAGGATAAGGTAGGAGAAGAGTAAGAGAGGTAAGGTAGTAGAGGAAGTTAAAAAGAGGAAGAAGTAAGTGTAGGGTAGAGGAGTAAAAGAGAAGGAAGAGGATAGGGTAATTAAGAAGAAGATGTAAAGAGAGAGGAAAGAGTAAGGGGTAGGCGGTAGGCCCATTAGGTGTTACAGTTAGAAGAGGGAGAGGGAGAGGGTAAGGTAGAGGCAGAAGGGTAATTAAGAAAAGAAGGGTAGGTAGTAGGCCTGTTAGGTATTATAAGGAAGCAGAGAGGAAGGAAGAGAAAGTAGATAATGCAATAGTTATCAGGATTATAGTTTACGTAGTTTGCAGAGTGTTATAGGCAGAAAGAGGCCTGCTAACGAGTATGCATTTGCTCCTATGTACAGAAGAAGAAGGATAAGGAAAAGAAGAGTAGCGTCCTCCTTGTACGGTATTTATCCTCTGTACGCTAATACAAAGATAGATAAGCGGGAAATTCTTCGGCGTAGCCTCTTGTGGTACTTAGGCGTAGCCCCTTACAAGTATACCTGTGCGATAGCTCCCTAAGCGTAGCCCCTTACATAAGATAGGACATAACTTACGCCTATGTAAGCAGGATATAGAAGTAGATTCTAAGTAGAATAGTAACGTAGTTCACAAGCGAGTCGCCAACACAAGCGGGTCGCCACCCTAACACTAGCGCGGCGCCTGCACAGCAACTTCACGTAATGTCACAACTACGCAATACCTAAAGAACCTATAATAAAGGCAATATATAGCTTGCTATCTTAGATATTAATTCTTATTAGTTTTAAAGCAACGTACGCGCTGCAGCAATCTATAACGTCCTATAAAGAACGCTTGTTAACCGACGCGCTAGACGACGCTCTTAACGCGATTGTAAGCCGAACTTAAAACGCCTTACAAAGCTAGAAGAGGAGGCGATTGTACAGCGTATACTTAAAGAGAGTTTACGTAGTATACCGCCCTTAAAGGCAAACGTACAAGATATAGCTAATAGACTGCTAAGAGAGCGTAGTAGGAAGCCTACAGGCAAGAACTAGGTTAATAACTTTATTAAGCGTACACCTAAGCTGCGAACGCGATGGAGCCGTCCGTACGATTACCAGCGAGCTGTCTGCGAGGACCTAGCAATTATTAGGCCCTAGTTTACGCTTATTTAATTAATAAAGGCGAAGCATAGTATCGCAGATAAGGATACCTAGAACTTTAACAAGTCTAGCTTTATAATAGGCAAGATATCCTCTTAGCTTGTTGTTACAGGCTTAGAGAAACCTAGGAAACAGAAGAAACTACAGCCTAGCAATCGTGAGTAGGTAACTCTAGTCTAAGGCGCCTCTGCGATAGGGCGCGTTATCCTGCCCTTCCTTATCTTTGCGGGGAAGGTCCTTATTACCTCCTAGTTCGCAGATCTACCTTACAACTAGATTATTACTGTCTCTCCTACTAGCTAGATTAACAACAACCTTACGCTCGCGTAGCTTAAGCACTTTAATGCTTATACGAAGGCGTCCTCTATTAGGGTATATAGGCTGCTTATTATTAACGGCTATAATAGCTACTGCTTAGTAGATTTCTAGGACTACTATAAGGAGAACAAGATTATCGCTCTCTGTATGCTACCTTACTTATCGCACCTCCTGCAGCCTCTTAACGTTGTTAAAGCGCTACTACAGCGATAGGATCTCGCTCTTAGCACGCAGCCGCATCTACTATATTAACAAGGAAACCTTCCTACTAGCCTTTAAAGAGGCTTATAAGAAGACGTTTATACTAGAGAATGTTTGCGCAGGCTTTTAAGGTGCTAGGCTAGTCCTATACGACCTAGAGGTTGTGTTATTAAAGCTAGATGTGCAGCTGCGTACGCCGACGCTACCTGCACTAGGCACAGTCGCCTAGGAGGCGCAAACACTGCGCAACGCCTGCGAGATAGAGGCGCAATCTACGCTAATTTAAAATTGTATACGAAACTACTAAGGGTTACTAGTAAGCTTATTAGACGAGCAGGTTAAGCAGCTAGGTAAAGGCGCTTAGTAGATAGCTTATAATATAGTGTTAATGCAAGAGGAAGTAAGAAGCCTTCGAGAAGCTGTTGACACGCTTACAAAGCGCAAGACTTGCAAAAGGCGGTACGTACGTGCAGAGGAGACTCTAACAGTTAGTAAGGTATCTAACTTAATTGCTAAAATAGACAGTAGTAGGCGTAAGGACAGCGAGACGCCTGCGAAGAGGGTGCGCGCAGAGAGGCGCTGCAGCCGTTGCAGCGAGGTTAGGCATAACTCTCGCACCTGTAAGGTAGAAATAGAGGATGTAGATAATAGTAACGCTTCTGAGTAATAGTAATCTGTTACCTATAGTACAATATTGTGTTCTAGTGCTACACTACGTTGTTGCGCAGGCGTGGCGCTAGTGTTAGGGTAGCGACCTGCTTGTGTTGGCGACTCGCTTGTGAACTACGTTATATTAAAATTTCTAATTACTATTGTTAACAGTGCTGTATAGTCGTGTATAGTCGTAGTTTTAGTAAGGTCTTAGTAAAAGTGCGTTACTCGCTTAGGTGCGTTACTCGCTTGTGAACTACGTTAAACTGTAAGAGTTTATTGCCTAATGCTATATACCTAGAGTTGTCCTTTACGTCCTACAGTCCTATAATGTTCTATGCGTAGTACATTGTAGGATGTCGTAGGACACCGTAGGATTGCACGTGACTTGTCCTATAAAGACTTTCCGCCAAGACCGTGGGATCACGTGCCCTGCGGGGTGGCGTCATCCATTGGTAGACAAAAGCCTTCCCTTTGTCTCGGTTGACTGGGGTATCTTCCTGCAATCTTCTTCCTACATAGTCGTCCGTGTCCCTCTGTTCAGGTTCGTAACAGTCCTTATATTGCGTGCACTAAAGGTAGCTTAATCCTAGCGGAACGAGCTTATCCTTACGGTAGTTCAGCAGGACGCTGAGTTTCTGCAAGTTCTATCGGTAGCATTTCTCTCGGCGGCAGCTCTACCGGCAAGTGCTCGCATTTCGACTTTGTACCCTTCTCCTGTGCAGATTCTCCGTGCATTTCAGAAGGTAGTTGGCCTCTTCTCCTTTGATAGACGATACAAGCAGCTAAGCCCACTACGATAGCTATGCCTGCTACAGTGCCAATTACGATGCCAGCAATGTAAGCGTTATTCTTCGTTTTGTGGTGCGGTAGGACCGTCGGAAGACCAGTTGGTGGAGGGTGCTCGTTGGAGGGGGGGGGTGGAACATCGTGAAAAGAGCAGCGTTGGCAAATCCGCCGACTGGTTCTGTCATGGTGGCACTTCCGTTCCCCCTGCAGGCGGTCAGGTTTAGATATCTTGAGTAAAGGACGAAACACTGGGACGACTTACGAACCACCGATTGCATCCACTACTTTTCCTGGAACCTGGTAATCTGGCGCATGTGCATCGAAGAACGAGCTCCATGTGAGACTGCTCAAATCGAACAAGGCTACGCCTCCCCATTTATCGCATGTCATGGATGTGAGGTTCGGAATCTGGCCGGTCGTTTCTACCGCATACATGCTCGCATCGAGTGATCCTCCTACGGTCATCATTTGCCGCTTGCCAGCACTGTGGCATGTGTGGCCGAACTTCGGATTCTGTCCGGAATAGACCTTCGTCCAGACGAATGACGGAAGTGATAGGACATAGATGTCGTCATACATGATGGATTGCGTTGGATCGTAACCTCCATATATGTATCTGTTTTGGGATCAGAGTGGCTTAAAGCTGCTTTCATCACAACGCGTACACATTGTAGCTGGAGTTGTCTTTTGCCGCTTTCACGCCTGGAAGAACGCAGAAATCTATGCGTGGAGGAGGCGTCTCCCCCGAAGTGGACTGGTTGACCCAAATCACGTCGTCTTCGTTGAACGTGTCACATAGAGAGACAGTATCGAAATCAATCTGTACGTGTTAACATAGCACATACCTCACCATCAGGGTGGGTGTCTGGTACCAGAATGCCGTTATTGAACGTGTTATTTTCTTCGTTTCCACTGCGCATGCCTCCAAACGTCAGCAAAGTACCATTTTTTGTCTTGCCGAACCCAGGGCAATGTAGCAACCCGCCTGCAACGCGGGGACTACCAAGCGTATCCGTCGATACATTTCTTGCGATTGTAGTGGTTAAATCAACGATAATCAATCCTCCGAGATAGGTAATTTGGTTATCCGTCTCGTGTGTTAGCGTATTGTTTATGTATTCCGTCATGGAGTACATCACGGATGACGAGCCTCGATCGACCATGCCGTTCAAGAAGAATCCAATTCCAGTAGAGATTGCTTCAGTCGCTGCGCCCCAGTTCGGACGTCTCGGAACAGCATAGTTTATCCTGTACTGGCCCCATGTCATCGTCTCAGTGTCATATGACCACAAGGAGTAATCGTCTGATTCAGGAGGTTTCCAGTCCGGGTCAGTTTGGTTGGCCAGAAAGGTGGATCCTCCGAAGGTGAAGAGCCGTCGATCTTTGGCAGGGCCTCGGTACAAGGCACCTCTAGCCATATTTGGAGGATTGGCGTCCATCGCCGAGTTTCCGAATCGTCCTATTCTCTTCTCAGTGAGGTTGGTGGTGGCGTCCCATGAAGCGCTCATGTCAATCTCGAAGATGTATTTGCCTGCAAGTAAGTTCGGAGGTGGTCGCGGGCCTTAGAGCGGATAGCTTACTGAAACCGAGCCATGTAGTTTCATCCTGGCGATATAGCTGCACTCCACCGTCGACGAAGACAGACTTGTCTCTTAGCATGGCTGTAATGATTAGCTGAAGTAACGACAGCATGTAATTAGGAACTCCACGTACATGAATGGTGCCAGCGAGCACACCTGTTGCGAACGATATCAACTCCATCGTCTTGGGCATGGGCCAAATACTCCAGTACGAGGAAAATGAAAAGGAATAGGAAGCCTGAATGCATATTTCCTGTTAGGTACCCCAATTCACCTATTGAGCTGCGACGGAGTTGGTGCCGGTCTGCAAAAAGGTAGAGTGTGCAGTGCGCCACTTAACTGCCATCCTGGCCTTATATCACGATGATGAAATCAGCAGTTGTCATCGAGTAGCCATTGAAATCATCCGGCTATGCAGGGATATGGCAATTTCGTCGAGTACTGGCTGCTAGGAAGCTATATGCATGTACAGGAGCGCATCCACCAGATCGTGGATGCACTTGCAACTAGCCAAGACATTAGTGGCAAATTAGTACACCCTAATAAACCTAAACAGACCCCGCTGGTGTGATCACCCCATGGAGGAAGCAGGTGGTGATGAGCAGGTCTAAACAACATTTCCAATCATCTCGTGCGCTCTCCCATACTTACGCGGCTAACAACTACAGCTCAACTATCTAATGGAATTAGGCTTAGTACTAAGACACTAGTAATATGGGACGTTCGTAACTAGTTAAACAATCTTTTTCCTTAGAATTTGTAGTCAGCATATTCACGTGCAAATAGGGCGGCTCAGTCACTACCTAATCGCCCAGAAATCGATCGGACCAGATCATGTTCTACAATGCAGACCCAATTACTGCAAAGTGTTATAGCCATGCCACTTCCCATCTAATTGATACAAGGTAATGAGTACAAAGTGGCGGAGGCTTTAGAGGTCGGACTGGGAACGGTGCATATAGCACAGAATGCAATCACCTACCTTCTGTCTAGTTACTCCGTTATCGTGTAAACAAATGCGCTCGGCTTGGACACATGTTATGAAGCGTTGTCGTCTTGTTTAGTGGATTGTATAGCAGTCGATAGGTCTAAGGAGTCCAGTGTCTTCTGACACTCTCGGATGTTAGCAAGCAAGCCGCCGAGATCATAGCTGACATCTTGTGTTTTTGCAAATATCTTCATCCTGTCTCTTGATGTGATCTTCTAGGATGCTGTTAGGTTCCGCACTCCACTTCCTAGATCAACACAGCTGTGACAGGCTAGTCCCACATGTTCGTCGCCGCACCGGTACGTATCAGCGCGGCGAAGCGCTGATTGCCTTGCTCGTGGTCATGAACGCCGCCGCGGGCAGCGCTGACCCCGATAACGCCTTGCTGATTTTTAGCTGCATCCTCACAATTCACGTCACCCGCTTCGTCTTCCTCGATAACCCCTCGCTGCCCGAGCGCCAGCACATCGCCAAGCAGTTACCAGTTTCTGAGCCGTTGCGCCTGGCCGTCATCGCCGATTGCGACGACGCCGCAGACGAACTGCTGCGCGCCCTCGTCCAGCTCGCTACCCCCGGTCTGCAGCAAGTCTTCAGCCACTGCGACTTCGACACCCACGCTGATCTGCTCGCCTGGCTTCGCGTCTATCACACCATTTCCGCCGCGACTTATACCAACTGGCCGGGCCGCAGCATGACCCAAGTCCGCGGAGAGGCCGCTATCCCGACCCTTTGTCACTGCCCTGCCTTTTCTTGTCCCCGTGATGCGCTGGCGCGAAAGTCACGATCCCCGTGCTCGCCCCCACCCCCTTGATTGCGCGCAAGAAACTGCTGTTCCCGGTCAAGGACCCTGACGTTATCACATGATACAGCGCCATCAGCTCGCTCAAATCCAGCCGTTTCCGCCGCTAGCTAACCGTTGCCATCCTCTGAACCATCGACTGGATCGCCCGCTACCTCTTCCCGACCGGTCGCTGGGCCGCGTTAGTACTATCCAGTTCGCCAGGTGGACCTTCCTTGATGACAAGCGACGGATGCTCTTCGCCAGCAATCATAATGATCTTGCTAGATGCCTCTGCAAACTACTTACTTTGATACTTCTTAACTTTTTCCATTATATCTGCAGCGAGAAGGCAGCGAGGACTTACACTAATCTTAACATATAACAAACACCGTTGCAACAGCGACAAAATCTCGATGAATCTAGAAGCCTTGATATATGTAAAGAGGTAACAGTACTGACTGAATAAATGCATTTCAGATAATAGCTCCTAGAGCATATGAATTATCCTCGATAACTCGCCTTAAACATGATTTCGTGCTCCACTCCACCATAACGCGAAGACAGAATTAGTGTACAGTCCTATTAGCTGTAAACCAAGCCTTAGCTTTGCTAGATCTTCTTGTTGACTTCAAGCTACTCCAACTCTTGACCCTAAATACGTAGTAAAGCGTTATAGTCAAGCCGATGTTGAAGGCGATGTAAGCCCACACGATACCGAAGTTTCGCCAGCACGTAACCCAAGTGATGCCAGACCTGGAGAGAAACTGATCAGAATTCGATAGAGGACAATACTGACATTGCACTGTGGCAGCTGGATTGAGTAGCTGACCGGGTGCGTCTGCCAGGTAGGGTTCGAGATAGGCCCCACAATTGAAGCCATCTGGGGGATCAAATACACTAATCTCGCTTGCTGAGCACTGGACGGGGTAATCGTGTAGACCAGTTGCCGCGATGCCACCAACAATGTATGTCAGAGGACTTACGCGATACATGAAGATCCAGAACCCCGGAAGAGCTTGCGGTGGTTGGAAGACACTGTTCTCATCAGCTCGCTGGCCTTCTCATTGCCGATAGATAAACTTGCCCATTGAATATCATGGTCATAGAGAAGAGAAGCGTTGCAACAGTACCAGCCGTTTGGGCATCAGGTAACGCAGCAATGACCATGTGCGCAAAAGTACTAGCAAAGATAAAGATCGAAATAACGAAGAGCATGACCAGGACTTGACGCTCCGGAGACTGGACACTGGCGGCTGTTAGCGGCGGAACTCATTCACAACCTGTTGATAGGGAACCGCACCCAAATACTGGGTAATTGTAACACGCAAAAACTAGAATGCTAAGCATGAGCTGGTAGGGGATTTCGACCATGATGTTGGCGAGTATGAAGGCTGCCCACGAGTATACTTTGGAAGGGCGCTCACGAACCTGCTCAACTCAGTCAGCTTCACACGACCTCGAAGATGTTATCCCCCCTCGGGAACGGACCTCATAGAGTGACCTTTGCTGGATGAAGCGGGGCATTATCTGGGTCTAGGTCAGCAATGCAAGAATTCAGCACGTTCGGTCGACTAGCCTGTTGAACGAGCGAGCTGAGAATAGAGGTCAGCATAAAAATGCTAAATACAGCATTTTGCATGCCTTGAAGAGAATGATTCGACTGGAAAAAGGAGAACCCAATGAATCTATCGTATGTGAGCTCCGTATTACTGATAGAGATTGGAAGAATGCTCACAAGGCTGAAACTCCACCAAGCAGGAATTTACCCCAGATATAGGAAGGACTGCGCCAGTATTGTTGGAAGGCCCGAATGGTGTTATAAAAGATCTGGGTAGATAAGGGCGTGGCAAACTCATCTTGATCACAGCCGCCTGTAGATCTACTGCTCATGCTGTTCATATCCTGACGAATGCGCTTGTGCTCGGTCTGGACAGCTGCGAGTTCTGCACTCGCCCTCCATATGTCCGGCCAAGTCTGTTCAGATCCATCACTTGCTCTGGCTGTCACCATTTCCAGAATGTATTCGGCAGGATTTTCCGACGCACCGCAAGGTCTGGCTCCGTGTCGTTCGAAGTATGTGAGGAGTGTCTTTGAGTTAGAACCTATGTCGCCGAAGTATACAGTTTTCCCACCCTTGCCAAGGAAAAGCAGGCAGTCGAATTCTAGAAACAGAATAGAGCTGGGTTGATGAATGGTGGCAAGGATCGCCTGCCCACTATTAGCGAGTTTCCGGAGCAGCCCGACAATGGCACATGAGCTTTGTGCATCAAGGCCACTTGTCGGCTCATCGAGAAAGATCAGAAGAGCTGGCTTGGCCGCCAGTTCAACACCAATGGAAAGCCGCTTCCGCTGCTCAACATTGAGACCTTGTCCAGGTACACCGACTATGGCTTCTGAAAAGTCTTCCATGTCGAGCATCTTCGATGTAGTTAACATAGCTTTAGAAAGTGGAATCAGTGGGACGCAAACCTTGATAACGTCTTCAACATAGGCATACTTCTCTTTTGTCGACACTGACGCAGGCTGCCGTAGCAGAGCGCTAAAACGCAATGCTTCACGGACTGTGGATGTCTCAAGATGAACATCTTGCTGCTGGACATAGCCTACCTCACATTCAGCATCTCTCAGAAAAGAAAATCCGGGAACAGTTGTACTGCGTACCGGCCCTTCTTTGGAAACTGGGCTCCAATGACTTTCCGTTGACTAATATATCTCCAGTGACAACTCCGGCAGAGATACGCTGGGCAAGAACATCGAGAAGCGTTGTCTTGCCCGCACCGGATACTCCCATCAACGCTGTCAGTGTACCTGGTTTGACCCACCCAGAAACGTGATCCAACAACCTTCGGGTTTCTCCTTTGATGCGGATATCGTAGACGACATCACACCAATTTAAAACGCTTTTTTTCAGCGGAACAAGCCCATCTTCCCTTGTATGGACTTTATTAGGATCGGCGCATACCACTGGAAGGCCAGGCTGGCCGTCAGTATCACCAACGTGCTCTGTGGCTTCCCCGACAGGCGTTGTCTTGTGGTCTCGCAGGAAGATTAGAACTTCTGCCGTGCTCGATGTGGACGAGTTCATTCCCGTCGCAAGTAGATAGGTTGCGAGGAAAAACGTCCAGAACGCGATCACGATCCCAAGGTTACGCCAAATGTGTGAGTAACTGTATTGAAACTGACTCATGACATAGGCGTCGCCGGAGACACTTTCCTGTCCTGCGACAGCGCCCGCGGTCGGACAGATGAAGGTCTCGCCGGTCAAATTGAAATATGATGGAACGAGGCTAACCCTAGGTCAGCGTCATAGAAACGGAAATGCTGGGGCTAAACTACCTAGCACACGGAAACTCTCTTCCATGAAACTCGTTCACCATGAGCGCCTCGAACGCATATGCCAGAGGATTTATCCAGGCGAGCCATTTGAACCACGGGTGCATATATGCACGGGGAATGGTATATCCAGTGTAGATCACGATAGCCAATACCAGAACACCCGCTATGGCTAGAGCCTGTGAGATCGTCCTCGTGCACGCGGCCACGGTCCGGAACATCGCTGACATGCTGAATCTGACCAAAGTGGTGAAAAGGAAGAAGATAAAAAACTGGGAGGGCTCTGGGCGAAGGCCCGCCAGGAAATACAGGATCAGGTTGAAACAGGTTGCGATGACGAGCTTGACCGGCGCATCGGACACAATGCCGGCGAAAGCTTCAGCAGATGGGTGGCAAAAGCTACTGAGGGTATCAGCTTTGAACGATGATTGGGAAAGACGGAGAGAGCTATAGAGACCCAAAGAGTACCTTCGCAGTCTGGCTGGGTACACTTACGCATAAGAAGCATGTTTTTCAACAATTGGCCTCTGTAGGTATAAACCGTTGATCTCAGTGACGGCGATGAGGGCATTAAGTAGGGTAGCGAAGAACAATGTTGACCCTTTCGCGAAAAAGCTGTCCGTATTTTCTGGTGTTCCATAGAAGACGGAGCCAACGACAAGCGCCATGATGACTTGCCCAAACACCACTGTCAGTGTTGATGCCTTGTCATTCCATAGCCGCCGATGCGCACGTGTGATACATGCTTTGACCTGCATTGGAATGCTGACAACATAGGGAGATTTGACTCGCAGATGCTGCGATTGAGCGGCCCGGCGTGATGCTCTGAACTCGTCAACAGCGACATGATTAGAGAGTTCACGCTCGTGCTGTTGTATCTCCGCTAGAAGTTTCTTGTAGTCTTGTGACGTTCTCCAGTGTTGTTCGAATTCTTCAGAAGTCCGCGGCACTAGAGTCTCAAAACCCTGACGCGGTCGTCGCTGTTCATGGCTCGTGACAGAGGTGAGAAAGTCGGCGGTTGTCTGACGTGGTGGGCAGTACCAGCCCATTTCTTCGAAGTAGGCCTTCGCCTCTTCCGTGGGTCCAAAGTAGATCTCACGTCCCTCATAAAGAACCATAACCTTGTCAAAGACAGTGTAAATGGCTTGAGATGCTTGGTAGATAGCAACGGCATGTGTGGTCCCAAAAATATCAGCACTCGTTCTCAAGGTACGGACGAACTCGAGAGCGGTTGAAGAATCCAGCCCGCGCGTGCTGTTGTCCCAACAGCCGATCGACGAGGCTGCTAATATCATCTCGGCGATGCTGACACGCTGCGAACAACTTAGTATGTGATCAAACCCACCGGTTCTTAGATAATACTTTTCTTTCGCCCCCAGACACACCCCTGATAAAGTCGTTGCCTACCTTGGTATTTTTTACATGCGCCAAGCCGCAAATCGCCATTGCAACTGCGGTAACTCGCTCTATGTTCTCTCTCCGAGAAACACTCAATACACGATTGTGCGGAGTACGCACAGTAGCTGCAAATTGCAAGGTTTCTCTTACTGTCAGATGTGGAAAGTGTTTGTCGACTTCCGAGTTGTAGATGATCTCCCCTTTATGTTCACGAATCATCTCCTCCTGGGGGATGCCTTGTTGACAGTTAGCACGAGATTCCTGGGCGTTTTTCTCAAGGCAACAATACCGTTGTAGGCGAACTCAGAATCTGGGTCCACCTTCAACCCGTGAAGCTCGCCTGATACGGTTTTCAGAAAGGTGGAACAGCCACTGCCGGGGCGCCCCAGAACCAATAGCATTTCACCAGATTTCGCCACGCCATCAAAGCCGTTTAATATAAGTCTCCCAGGTTTATTTCCAATATTAAGATACTCGTGCGCCCGAAATGGAGCCATGAAGATCGATGCTGCGTTCGTCTGGAAACGTGCTGTAGATCCAGAGCCCAATACGACGAGTCTTCTGAATGCAAAGGAAACGCGACGGAACTTGACTCCTGCTCGATCAGCAACACGCATGACAGTTTGCGCCCATTTGTAAACGTCGAAATCTGGATTGCTAGGATCCAGAACGGGATCGCCAAAGTCAAGGTCGGGAAGTTCAGTGGCGATGCATGTGAGCTCTGTCCGTTTTCCCGCATCCCTATCCGCAGCCATAGCGTGGGAGGGCGCCGCATCTTTCACTTCCGGACTTCTTAGAGCGCCAGCCTCTACGCTTTTGTCGAAAGGGGTTGCACTTGGGCCACAACCTTCCGAGCCACAGCTGAGAATTTCGTCTTTGGGTTGATAGAAAGACATTGCAACATCTTTCAGAGGTCTCGTACGAGAGAGGAGGACGCTCCTGGCTACTGGCGTCAAAGAAGTTGAATTCGATAAGTGTGTGCGTCTACGAAGACGAGTATCAGTATGCGAGGCAATGGGTAGGCGTTACCAACAGAGAATGAAAGACGTGGAAAGATTCGGTTCGCAAGTCTTCGTGACCACTTGAATGAACGAGCCCTGAGTCTGCAGCAGGAGTATACATTCATCATCGTGTTAGCTGAAGGGTCTAAAACCCATAATTCCTTCGCCTAGGCTAAACTAAAAGCGTTAGCAGCGTTAGCAGGGATCAAAAGATTGACTAAACAACTACTCGTTATGTCACCTTCGACGTCCACCGGCCTTGTTGAGTAAGCCTCTTGGTTCAACTATTCTAGCCGATAGCCAGCCCTCTTCGCCGAGGTCAGACATTGCGCATTCGGTTCCCTTTAGACGTGCGCTAGCGATCTAGGCTCTCATAGCAGCATTTGGTATATCAGGTGAGGATGTATAATCAGGCATTTCTCTATCATACGACATGTGGTCAGATGATGCATCATCAGATAATGTGTAATCAAGTGATGCGATATCATACGATATACTATCGAGTCTTCAAACCTTATTACGCGTAGATGCTAGGATCGTCGGTGGCGTCTTTGGGGATCTGCTCTCGATACCATCTGCCGGTATGCTTCCAGAGGCTTCACCTTGAGTGTTCTATGGCAGCTGAGATGCCGTTCCCTTGCACATGTGCTCTCAATCTATACATCGCACAGTTCAAGAACCCCGACCATATCTCCGCTACCGCAGCATAGATTACGATACAAACAATAGTTGACATTTGTTCCTGCTCCGGAACGTTTTGTTTTCCTTTGCTCTGGCGAGCTTTGTACTTCTGTCATTGTTGTAGCCCTTTTGGTGTACTTCTTTTACCTTGTGCACCTTGCGCACCTTGCGCACAAAGGGTCCACAGAAGGGGGCCTAATACACACCCAAGTCACCTCTTATCTAGAGGGCCATTGATGCTGAGCTAACTCGAATACACGGCTCAACAGTTCCTGCTCCTCATACTCGTATTGGAGCTACTGAGGCTATTACTGGGGCAGACCTTTTACTGTTGTAACCCGAGCCACTGTAACGTTCAGCACTGCTGGCGATGCAGGTTATAAGATATGAAGGGCTATGTTTCTTTCCTTTGATTGCATCTATGGCCTGGCTGCCCAACTTGATCCTAGTAAGTTTCGCCTTGAATGACTGAAGCAATATCAGCTGAAACCTGGATTGGGGGCTCTTTGTCTCTCTTGAGATCTACAAAGGCCGCAACACGCACAGAATCAGGTCAGGAAGTTTTCCCGAGATGCTTCTGAATGACAACTTACAGCCATATAAAGAAAATTCTAACCCCCGAGAAACGTAGAGATGTTGACAAGAATACTAATCAACACTAGGTATCTTACGGCGACAAGATGTGGATAAGGTCGGGCGTATTATAAGTGTTCCTCGGACTATGTGAGGCGAATAAGAACACTCTTCGATTCCTATAAGGGAGTGTCTCTCGAAAGTTCGCCATGCTGCGGTGTAAGGCTGGTAGCTAGTACCTGATGTCCAGTGTTCATAGGGCCTCGTATTTTTGAACATGGGAGGAACGATCTTTCCAGCAATATTCTTTTCCGCTTGCGAAGGCCTAGATCTATATTCGAATTTAATTCTGTTTTCCTTTCGGCAGTAATAGATGATCTTGCATGAAGCTCGGAACTTGCACTAGAGAGTGAAGCAGTGTAAATGATGTTTGAGACACGTAGTTGCTCTGAAGATTCCATTGAATATTACTTACGCCAAATTGCTCAAACTCCCACTAAGAGCCTTACAGACGGTCCTACGCCTTTCAGTGTAGGAAACTCACAATCATGAAGCAAACAATATAGACTAGTGGAATTGTAGTCCTTGCTTGTCGTGAGCTGCCGCTGGCTTCGATAGCGTGAGGAGGCGCATACGGAACAGGAGATGTGGAGTTCACTGTTCCGTCCCAGCAATACCGGTGAAAGCAATCCTCGCACAATGCGGGGGTCTTCACGCTATTTCTATCAAAGCTCCTAGACAATATCGCGCATCCGATACAGCCTGGCCAGTCCTTGTCAATCGTCCCGTTCCCCCGCGTTGCAACATTGTACCCATTTTGGATGATCAAATCTCGCTCAGTGTTGTTTGTCTCCAGTTGGAAGGTCGATATATTTGAGTTGTAAGTATAGGGGTAGTTTGGAATATATACAATGAGCGGGCTCAGCTCTGTCATGTTCTTCGTGTCGCAACCAAAAAACGTGGGCCGTGAATTGAGACCAAGATTTACAAAAGTGTTTTGATCCGGTATTGATGGGAACGGGAGCGAAGATTCCGTCTTAAGCAGCGATCGCTGGTAGGTTGCCAAAAGTGCGGTCCCGTTCGGCCAATACGCTCCGGGGAAAGCGGTGTCTGCTGAGCCGTCGACGGCGAATATAACGTCCAGTCCGCGAAGGGGTTGGAGCAATGGATGAAGTGGAATGTTCTGCAGATCCTCTCCGCCATCAACAAGGGATAGGACTTTACTATCAGCGTTCATGTTCTTCTCTTCCTTGTATCGATAGAAAGGATTCACCCAATTAGACACATCCTTGTTCTCCTGCCCCGTCTCCTCTAATTTTTCGGCGATGTAGTCTCGCACCCGTTGAGGAATGTCGGTGTTATTGATTTGCAAGTATGCTTGGTTGAAAAGTGAAGATGAGGTGCCCACTACGAAGCCCGCGTTGTCAAATCCTGAAATGCAGCTTTCATTTTCGGGGACGGTCCCCGCTCGGAACCCAGACCCAACGTATTGGAGTGGAGCGAATGCAGCAATAGGAGAATCGAATGAGCCGATTTCCCAAGGCGTTATCTCATAGACCGTAGAGTTTGAGGGGATCAAGAGCTGGTTTGGTTCTCGCTCTAATGCTACAACAATTGGCAGCGGTGCTAACGCCGACTGGAAGTCCCAATTCTGTGCTACGCTCGAGTATGTATAACCTTTCACGCTTTGTTAGCATTAAACTGCACACTTCGATTGACGGACTTACCTGGACCACCGGTCGATGCATTGAACAGTTGGAATGAAAGTCCCCTTCCCCACAGGTCCGTAATGGTGGTATTAAAACCAGCCGCTTCCTTCTGACGTACGTCGTCCATGATGTTGGTATAGTAGCTCGTTGTGGAGAGTGTCGCAGGGCCTGATCCATCTTAGAGCAGGGACAAAAGCAATAATGTTGTACTGACCTTTGATGATTGAGTTTTCAAACTGCCATAAGGAGGCTGTATCGTTTGAATCTGTTCTGGAAATTTCCTGTACTGACCTGAGTTTTGGGATGTAAAGACTTCCAACTAACCAACTTCCGCCCGAAAGGCCTGATAGGTAGGTAGTTGCCTGCAGCAAGCCCCCAACATGGCCAGGTTGAGTTGAGTTCTGTGTGCGGTTGTCGAAAGCTGAAATGATGCCAGCGCCATGCATCAAAGCCCTGTATCCACCGCCCGATACGGCAATTCCAATGTTTGGTAACGCAGACGCATTTTTTTTGATATCTTCGATGTATGCGTTGCTGTCAAAGTCACCTATGTTCACTCGAGCGAGGAAATCACGTATTGCCCAGGCTGTGTTCACTTGTCTTTTCTTCAGCCATCCTTCCTCCTCTGGGCTTAAAGACATCGACTCTCGAATGATAGGTCGAGAAGTTGGACATGTAAGAGAGGTTGGGGCGTATCCCTGTGGAGTGCTGTCAAGTTCTCGCTTGGTGGATATTTCCGTTGTAGACCAGTATCCGGTGTTTGCAGTTGAGGATGCTGAAATGACATTAGCATGTGGTGGCTCGAGAGAATCTGTTGAAGATTTTATTACAGCATACCTTCACTGCTTGTAATGGTCATAAGTAACGCTAGTAAGCCGAGCACCACAGATGAGGCAGTAGCTCTCGCGTATCTAGAGAAATGATACCCTGCCATCTGCTGAATGTTTTGACATGCGGCAATACGAGGTGTTGTGAGGTTACGCACAGCTCATGACCAACAGAGTTTCAAAAGCAGGGAAGGAGTCTCTTTATGATGTAATTATGCACGCCTCATTTCGCAACTGCTGATCATGTGCGGACAGGACGGCATTCGCTGAGATCTAAGGCCTGGCGAAGTGAGGCGCTGTGAGAAGATAGCAGTGTCTACAAGCCAAAAACAGCTCGATCTTATGATATCGAGTGATACGATATGAGCAACCAATGGCTCTCGTTCTGAACAAGATAAAGTTTTGTGGCGCTTTTACGGTCCTTGGCATAGGGGACGGACTCCGCCGAGAGGGCTTAGGTAACACTTGAACATGTCACTCCACTACTTAGGGCCAGAGCCTTTTCGGGTTCTAAAATGTTGTATCCTACTATCTAGCACTAAGCGTCTGTATTAAATCACCACACTACGGACAGAGAGCTTCTAGCGAACACGCGCTCCCCTGTCCAGATAATGCTCTACTGATAGGTACAATCGTAACTCTTAGAGCCTAACTATGAATACAGCATGTTAAGAAAGTACAGGCTGAATCCTAGCCCGCATGATCTCTGGTGTTCTTGGCATGCACTGACGACTGGCCCGGGAGCTGGAGCGGCATTCGTGTCGAGATCACCTTCATTGGTGCTTCAACCTGGTAGACCATTCGGCAGATACCATTGGCGCAAGAGAGTTGCGGGAAAGTTGCACTAGCTTCCACTGCAGTCTTGCTTATATGTCATGGGTCACATCCATAGCGAGAGTGACGAAAAAGATATCAAGACTTATCGAACTGTTATCGGTATATCGAAAGCATAAAACTTCATCAAATCCTGCTTTCCAGCTTCGCGTTTGCTGGAAATCCTGTCTAGTGATTTCAAGTCCGGATTGTTCACTTCGGATGCAGATTTATCCACAGAAAAACAGTCTTAGAGTAGGTATTGCCATTACTTTTAGACTCTGGAATATAGAGTAATGCCTTCTTCTAGACAACCACCAATGGGGATCTTACGCCGAAGCACACTAGTGGTGTTCATAAATCAAACAAACGAGGAATTATGCCTAGAGAAAGAGTCTCTGTGGCTTCAGGGCGTATGGGCGGCGGATATGGTCCCTCCATCTTCTATTCTTGCTGGGGAAAGTGGGTTGTGGCAGTCCGAATCTACGGGAGCCGGAAGAGGCACGGGTGGCAGTGTCGCCTACTACATCGCTGGTGGTTCGTCTAAACAGCTGGTACATATTCTGTGGAAAAATCCGCTCCTTAGCAGAAGCTGTTCCCAGGGAAGCGTTCGGCCAAAGGGGTTTGAGCTGCAAGTCCTGAGGAGGTGGGGACTGCACAGCACAGTTGTCTTCATCTTCCGTATGTCAGATTATCTCACATGCCCTCGCCTGTCTATCATACAGCTGACGAGCTTCCTACTTCCAGGGGAGATAGTTCGCCACATTACATCCTCGTAAAGTCAACACTCGATTCTGCAGATGGAGGGTGCGTTCGCGTTATGTTATCTAGGATAAAGACACGCAAAGGTCCACAACTCTGACAATCTTCCAATGCCCGACTGGACTGATGTTCGCAACCTGTATCTCAGCAACCATCTAAAAACCCTACCGAACAAATAACCACATGACTCCGTCACTCATGTACCCATCGCTTTTCACTTCTCTTCTCGAGTTTGCTGAACTTCTGGTCTAGATACCATCACCTAGAGTAAGATTTCGTCAACTATTTCCCACCTAGTTACAGTCATTGCGTGTAACTATGCTTACTTTGTACTAGCCATCTTCCATACAAAGCTGTGACTGGCTCACCTTGCGCTGCAGACAACCAGCTTGACGCACCTCCAGCGTGCCAAAGGCTCAGCTGTCGTCAAGCACACCCGTAGATACGCATGAACTATTGTTCCCTACCTCATCCCAAGGAAATACAGGCGTTCAAGGTCGAAAAGGCCGAAAAGGTGATCCAGAGATGAGAGATCGGGAGAAGATCACGACTACTTCTGGTGGTAGAAAGATCCGTCGTAGGGATAGGGGGTAAGATTCGAACTGCAAGCAATAGATCGGTGTTGGAATGTAGAGTTTCCACGAGGAATAGCCAGTTAGCTGACGCAAGCAAGAGTGCGTTGAATGTGTGTGATGTTTGTCCATCGCGCGGTACGGGATAGATAAAGCGGGGGATCCGCAATTTGTTTGCAGCCCGCTTACCCCAGCAATTCATAACTCGGTCGATGGAAAATAAGCGTTCATACCATCCCTGCTCAGTCCGGCCAGCTCTACCATTCACGTAGTGAGCAAGGTTGGTAAGAGATGGCTTGTTCTAAGCGAACTCACTTCGAAAGAAACTGTTCTACATAGGAAGGGCGGACTGCAAGCGTCATCCATTCGTGGATATGGATACGATCGCGGGTCGTTGCTGCAATTAGTGGTGTGACTTGACATGCAAGAGGTTCGGGACATAGATTACTCGCTTATAAGCCATGTTAGTGCATGACAAGGATGAATAACGTTCAAGTCCGGTTTATATACTCGTGCAATGAGAGCGATTACTCACGCTAATGTCACAGCTTACCCCGCATTACTGTGCGCATGTTGTATCACGCCACTAGAACGTGAACCATCTAGGACCCCTCTGGCGCCGACAAAGAGATTCTCCCTTCGCTCGTAAACCCATTATGGGAAGATCATTGTAGCCAAACAAAGGTTCTTCGCGATCTTGTTGTATAGACATATCCTCGCCCATATCATGGGTGGCGGCTGCGACCTTCCCCGGTGTCAAGCACCACCAAGTCTTGTTTCTGGAGATCTTTACAATAATGCTCCAAAGCAATCACAATACCTGCGGGCAGTAGTCGACATGGGCAGGTAATAGCGAGCACTTTCATTGTTCACTTGATGATTTCCTGCCCATTCACTGACGCTACACCTACCGGTACAGCAATGGGATAAGATTCTCGATATCAGACCTTACTCCACCTACGACTCGCATTCTCCCGACTCTTCACGTCCACCGCCTCGACATAAGCCTATATGACGCGCAATTCGATAAAACGACCGGTGCTCGTGTTCCGATTCCGGACACCGTCACCAAGGATGTCATTGCTGGACTTCTTCGCTTCCAGATTATCTGTGCGGACTTCGGCGTCCCAAGCTACTGCGTCCGCATTATAGCTACTGAAGCCACACGAACCGCTATCAACTGCACTGAATTCCTTGAGAAAATTTACAAAGCAACTGGCTCTTCTGTCGAGCTCTTGACGAAGGAAGATGAGGGTAAGATAGGAGCGTTCGGCATTGCAAGCAGTTTCTCAGAAATGGAAGGCATTGCGATGGACCTTGGAGGTGGGAGTATGCAGATTACGTGGCTTGTGTCTCATATGGGAGTCATCAAACTGAGTCCTAAAGGCGCGTTCAGCTTTCCGTACGGGGCGGCGGCTTTGACACAGAAGCTGGATGAGTTGACGAAAGGAAAGAGTCATAAGGAGGCCAGAAAGGCGACTGAAAGGCTGCGTGAAGAGATGAAGACAAATTTCCTTCACGCTTACACCAATCTTGAAGTCCCAGAAGACATGGTCAAAAGAGCGCAGCAAAAAGGGGGGTTCAACTTGTATCTTTCGGGCGGCGGCTTCCGTGGGTGGGGCTACCTTCTGTTATACCAGAATCAGATGGGAAAACACCACTACCCAATCTCCATTATTAATGGTTTCACGGTCCTAAGCCCGGAGTTTACGGATACGGAAAAGCTAAAACACGTCGCGCGCGCCGCGCGAAAAATCTTCAGAGTGTCGGACCGTCGACGTAAGCAAGTCCCCGCAGTCGCATTCTTGGTCAACGTCCTGGCACAATCATTTCCACACGGAATGAGGGAAGCTCATTTCTGTCAAGGGGGTATAAGAGAGGGTCTGTTGTTCCAGGAGCTTCATTCAAGCATTCGAAAGCAGAACCCGCTTACTATGGCTACTATCCCATATGCGAAGGCTTCCGCATATCGGATTGCTGAGCTTCTACTCAACGCTATACCAAACTACAGTGAAGCTCATTCCAAACAGTACTCCGACTTGGTAAGCGTGGATATCGTCAAGGCGCTTGCGAATACTCTCTATGTCCATTCCATTATGTCGAAGGGTTCATCATCCACATCTGCTCTGTACAGCACTAGTACCGGATTGTTATCTTCAACACATGGTGTATCCCACTCCAGCCGCGCTCTGCTTGCACTAGTTCTTGAGGAAAGCTATGGTGGCGAGCTTCCGCCACGCGAGACAAGGTTCAAGAATTATCTGCGCGATATTCTTGAAGCTAAGGATGTATGGTGGACGTGCTACATTGGTAAAGTGGCGCTCTTGATTCGAAGGCTTTACCCTTCCGGCTTTGTCGATGATGTTAAGCCCAGAGTTCGGTTGTCAGCTCGGTGGACAAAGGACTGTCCTAGTGGAAGCGGAGTTAATGGGTTTCAGCTGGTGTTCCTCGTACAAAAGAAGAAGAATGATCCAATGAAATTGAAGGAGACCGTCCAGGATCATGTACGTGTAATTGAGAAAGTTGGAAAAACGAAAAATTGGATTGGAGGTAGGGATGGTTGGGGATTGGCGATAAAGGTGTTGGTGCGAGAAGGTGATTTTGGGTGGTAGTGAGTTCAGAAAACCTCGGGTTAGTGCTATAGTATAAAGGATGGGAAATAGCCAGCTGTGTACTGACAATCGCCTTGTACGACAGCAGATGACTCTCAAGACAGTTCCGCTTTGCGTAGCAGGATGACTGTTGTCGCTCTCCTATGCGAGCAGTATCAGAGAGAGCAGCAGGGAAAGCTCAGCACTTTTCAACTCTTCTCACTGAAGATTACAGTGGTTAGCATAGCTTCGTGGATGTTGCTTGCGATTCACAAAGCATAGAGCAAGTTGTAGCATTACCTTTATGGCACTGTGTTCAGTCTTAACCATCAACTTTGTTACCAGGACCTCGATTCCAAAATAGAGTAGCATCACCAACTCCTAACTGTTGCTAAGTAGTCGCCACAATCTGTGATTTGACAAGCACCCACTACTATTCCGATACAGCGATCACTGGTAAGGAGCAACCACACGGTGCTTCAGAGTACAAATCCATTCCGGAAGTAACAGTATTGTCACTAGAGGCGACGAGAAGTGACTGCAAAGCCTCTTGGAGCATATTGGTTGTCATGCCACATATTAGTGATATTAGGGGAGAATAGCTAAGGAGAGAAGAAATATGGCAAGGTACATTAGGAAAGTCACAAGCAGACTAGCTATTATCAGAATGCCGTGTCCGTGCTCACAATGCGCGTGTTGCTGCAACGCGTATCTTGGCACAATAACAGCAATGGTTCTCATCCCCATCCCCTTCCCCTTCCCCGAACATCATAGCGCAGTGATGGACTTAGAAAATCTAGAGAAAGGACCTTGTGAAGACGATAGACTTCTTCCTGAAGGCCTGGGTGACTACATTAACCAAAGAGTTGATCAAAGCGCCCTTGATTGCCGCAGGTCCGCTCTCTTCTTACGCTGACGTTAGCCCTTGGAGTATTGTGCAATCGGAACCCTTCGGATTCATGTCAAGGATCTAGGCTTGTGTGGCGGCGCTTATTGCCAAGTGTTTTAAGCGACCATGTGGTGGGTCCGCGTTTAGCGACATTAGCGTTCCGCGCCTCGTACACCAATGCAGTTGCGAGGCGCGACATCAAGGCCTATGAGGCACACCATCGTTTCTGACATGAACAAAGCTCTAGTCACGTTGGAAATATGTAGGGTCGCGAAGCCCGACTGGAAATTGCTATAGGAGGTTAACCGCTTTGGCTTCGAGTGCGTAGCATGACGCTCCTCCGCGTTTGTTTTAAAGTTTTTCGGATCGCAATCCTGACCTACTAAAGGAAGGCCTTATCGTTAGGCGACGTATTCTCAATTTTATCAATGGCTAAAAGAAATAAATAATATGGACCTTTGGTACAGTCGCTAACGATGAACTGAATGGAGGCGAGAACAATCTCCATCGCAGTAAGATCCCTGTCACCTGAGCTGCGATACTTGAACACGTCAAAGATCTAGAACGTGATATGCCGTTTATTACCTTGTGGAGCAGTAGAGTTCAGACTACACCGTTAGGATTGTGACTCTCTGCATGGCGTGGTGGTGTGATGGCGCGGTGGTGTGATGGCGTACCACCGGTGCTCTTCGTATGTCTCTCCGGACGAGGTTATGGAGAAGTCGTTGCATATCATTCGCAGGGGCGATAAACCCAAGGCGCCTGCGATTTCTGGAAAGCACCCAGACTACTTCTACTCCCCAGTTTATTGATCATTCTTTCATTCTTCAAAAAGTCTGGTGTGTCACCCAGGACCGATTGTATTGTTCGCGGACTCCCAGCGCCTCAACCTGAGACATATTTCTGTATGACCCTTTACATCCAGTGAGGCGGTACTACATGGTTGTAATCCCCAATCGATCTATTTATCTGCACACCTAGCCTAGTAGCTGAGCTCCGTCTCTAATTGCAGCATTGGGTCGTTGTTCAGAAACTACTAAAAGCATCCTGGTTTCCACCTAGGTTCGCCAAATTACGATCATATCAAACGTATTGTTCTGATTAAAATGATTGTAGGAACGGAATGTTCGGGCGCAGAAGACCTATCTTGGGAGCTGCTGTGCTGGTGGGTGCGTCAAGATCTGCGGCAAGACATGAAGTGGAGAAGCAGGCACAACGCGACGCGGAGAGGCAGATGGTCGTAGAAAGAGCCGCTGAGAAGAAGTTGCTTGAGCAAAAAGAGAATGATAGGCGTACTCAACTGGCGATAGACGAGGCGATAGCAAAGGAAAACAGGAGGATCGAAAACGCTGATAAAGTGCCGACTTGTTCGGATCCGGTGACGAAGGGGTATGGCGCAGCTCATCAGATTGAACTGACACCGTCTAACGTCAACTCTGGTCAGGGTGTGTGTAAGGAGCAAGTAAATAATACCCAGTATTGCCCAAATTGTGGGCACGGCTGCAGACGTGGAGACAAATTCTGTACAAAGTGTGGACATAAGCAACCTACAGCTTAAGGGGGTGTTGCAGAATGGAAAGGTTCGAGGTATAGATTGCTAGGGCAATAGTGAAACAAATGATACACTGCAAGCTGAACCGGGTAGGAAACAATCACTCGGCTGATGAATATCTCAAATTTGACAATGGATAAAATGGCAGCAGCGAGACTAAGCTCGGCTGAACCGTCACAGGTAGATTTTCAATTCGCAAGCATTGCTCGCATAACTATTGGATTGGCTGCTTGCACAAGAGTTCAAAGTCTGCGATGAATCTTGTCGGTGCAATGGGAGAATGTTCTTTGAATTCGCTCGTTCTGATTGGCTAGGGGTGAGTCTCCTGATTAGAGCCTCTATTGCTTGACCATCACAATGTCACGTTTCCGGTTGCAGGAGCGCAGTATCTGAGTACCACTCGATGGAATTCGACGTTGTAGATGCCATGCGGCAGAAATGTACGTGCCAGCGATCTATCCAGCGCGCCAAGCACACAAAATAACCATTTCGCCTCGCTCCGCTCTTGCAGTCCAGACGGGCGATTTGCAGCTTACGGGCCCGCGCTCTACACCAACCCGTCCCAGACATCGCAAGAGAGCAATGTGTCAAACGCTCAGGTGAGGTGATTAGCTAAGCGCAGTGGTCAGCCACATACTTGATGAGGCGCCAAGCGAGCCTTCCAAGCAAGCCGAACCTTGCTAGGATGGCGAACCTAGTGATGTTACATTTTCCAGTGATGAACTACATCAATCTCTTTTGCGAGTTTGTATATATCGGACGCCTTAGGGCAGAGGCTTGCCGCTCCACACATGACAGGCAACAGCTGAGATATAGCCACCGGACCTTGCATGTAAGAGTGACATGTTAGCAGCACTGAGTGAATGGGCTTTAGTGCTGCGTGGCTCTAGGCTTTTAGCTTCGATGTTGGGTTTGAGATATCCACCTGGGATCTCCGTAGGTGATGGTCGCGCAAGTGCAACGACATGTAGTGGCGTGACAACTCGGCACGCAGCAAGCGACCTGTCATATCTCTATGAAAGAGGGTTCCAGGGTCTGTTCCGATCGTCTAGATTCGACGCCTCTGCATGCGGACGGCGGTTGACCGTGCAGCTATGGTCCGGTGATTACCTGCAGTGTTTGGTGCTAGTAACATCACTACTCGTCCTCACTACATGTACTGTAGCAGGATTTCAAGCTTTCACGAGTCACCTACCATGATTGTGACGCTCTTGTTCTCGACCAGGCTCATGGCACAAGATGCAAGTCTCGACTCTTCCATCATAACAGTAACCCGCAGAAACTAGACCTACCACCCCTATAGCAGAAAATCGCGCGCCAGAACAGCTGGTGTGCTCTGAGTTCACTTATTGTATACTTCCATCGATTTTTACAACACTCCAGAGCGCTCTATGAACTCAAACTCTGCCGCGCATCTCCGCAATCCTTGCTGAGCAGTGCTTTACGAACCACTGCGTCGCCCCCCAAGCAGTCGAAGAAAAATAAACTACTCAAAGCCAGGCACCGCAACCTAAGATTATGGTCGTGAGTATGTCGGGTCCTTTGGGAACTGTAGTCGGGAGACGCTGGTCTCACGGCAGACAGTCGACCAATGATATGTCAAACAGCATCAAAGAGAAGACACCGAAACAGAAACCTTTAGCATCAGGAAAGGGTATTGACATCTACATTTCCTTGGTTGAATCAGTGCTTTTTCTTCGTGGGTTCGAGGGAGACACGTCTGCACAACACACCGTCGTTCTCCGCGGTATGTTTCACTTGCACGTGACGAAGAGCACAAAGATAAGAGCAATAACACTGGTGTTCCAGGGTAAAGCAACGACGAGGTGGCCTAATGGTGATTGTCCCACCTTCTTTGTTCATACACGTACGCTGACGCAACACAAGGCATTCCTCCTCAGAGGGTCAGGTTCCAGGAGACAGATACGGTCATCAATCATACGTGGTCATTCTGTACACCTCAAATGGAAATGCAGGCGACTGGGGCCTGTACTAATCATGTCGGACTTCTCGAACGTTTTCCACTAGCTATGCCACCTCAAAAGGTTCCTTTCATCGACTCCATTTACGGCGCATCGAAAATCCTGGGCCTTCAAAAAACAAACAAACCAGTGTGGCCATCAGGTCTCTCGTGGAGCGATCCGAAGGTCGAGTTCTCGAGTGAAATGACTGCGGCGGCACAACGAGGATACAGGGTTTTTAAACCTGGTGATTACGCATACGATTTCGAACTGCCCTTAGACAGTCGGCTTCCAGAAAGCATAGAGGTTGGATTGGGTTCGGTAAAGTATGAGTTGAAAGCGATCGTTGAGCGGGTGGGAGCTTTCAGCACCGACCTAGTGGGTTCCAGAGAGATCACCCTCATCCGCACCCCCGCTGAAGGCTCGATGGAACAATTTCAGTCCATTGAAATTAGCCGGAATTGGCTGGACGAGCTGCGCCTGGAGATCATCATCTCTGGCAAGTCGTTTCCACTCAACGCACAGATCCCTATCTCGTGTACGCTCACGACACAAGCGACAGTCCAGTTCCACTGGATGAAGATTTTCGCAACCGAACACACTGAGTACCTCTGTTCGGACAAGCGTGTTCATCGTATAGAGCCAGTTCGAAATACTCTGTTATTCGAGAAGCGGGTAGACGTTTTACCGACAAGTGCATCCTCTGGAAGCCCTAAGAGAGCCGTTTCTGATGGAGCTTGTACGTTCGATCAAAGTTCAGCTGAATTGAAGGTACAAACAGAAGCACCGACCGACATCTTAGGTCGTATTGGCGGAGCGGCTAGCACTCTAGTCACAGAAATAGAAGTCCTTGCACAGCTCCCGAGCTGCCACAACGTGAAGGATCACAAGTCACGAAGATTCTACTCTGATACCACGTACCAGAATATTCGCATAAATCACTGGATAAAGGTAGATAGACTTGTCACAGTTGGCATCTATAGTTAACAAGTGATTAGATCCTTATACGACTTTCGAAATCAGATCCAGATGATCCAAGCGAAAGGAAACACTTCGAAATCATCATCAATGCGCCCTTTCGTTTACTTTGCTGCGAGGTGACTGAAGCTGCAACAACGCTCCCAGCGTACTCAGTGTCGTAACCTGCTGCTGCCACACAGTTTGTGGGCAGATATGTTCGCAGATGGTCGCGGGCTGCTGCGCTGCTTCACTCGGCTTTGTTCTTGAGTCGGACATGACCATCTGGTCCACGGAACATCCAAATGCCACTCTCTTGCATGCCATATCGAGCAGTCGACACAATCCGTGCACTAGCGACAATTTAGAGGGCGGGCTGGGTTGATCTGCTTGTTTCTTTGGGAAATACGGCTCAACTTCTCAGCTTTCAAGGTTAATGGAACACAATTTTCTCTTGAAAGTACCCTTCACCATTCAGACCGTTAGAGCATACGTACCATTACTTAGCAAACAACTAAAATATAAATTCCAGAGGCTTACAGGGGCCGGGAGTGTCAATGAAGCCGCGGTCGAGATTGTTCGGGGTTTCGCAAGTAACAAGTCTAGCACTCGCTATAATTATAGCAAAGCACTCTCACTGCATTGTCAAAGATAATCGGATGGATGTAGACAGTATTGAGCGGAGTGGCTGAATCATGTCTCGGAAAACTCGAACAACAGACCAAATGAATTGCACGACTTAGGCATGGGCCACTCCTCAGATCACTGTATTCTGCTCTACTATACCTTTGATATCATCCTGCTACCAGCGACACCTTCAAGGCATACCGTCGTAGCCACCGTCTTGCCAGCTTTAAATCCCGTCTACGTGTTGTTCCCTTTCGGCTGTTGTTTCGCGTCCATGCATCGGTCGACGTATCTGCACGTGATCCGCTTCCGCAATTTACTCATCTTCCTGATCAGGTTCATCCCCGGGCGAAAATTTCATCATTAAAAAATACTACAGCTATGATCCGCCTGATGTCTCGTGTTATTGGCCCTCCCTGTCACCGGTCTGTCGGCTGAAGCTGTATGGTGTGGTGTGACAGCGAGCTCCTGTTACGCTAGGCAACAGGCATACCGTAACCCTTGCGAACCATGAACGGCGATCACACCACCTCTTGCACCAATCATCCAACATCTGACTATGATGCCATGAAATGTGTCAGTTTCTACTGCAGTTCGTCTCCAAGGTAGCATCTGCTGTTCCCAGAATTTGCAACAGAATTTCTCGGGCACTTGCGGAAGACATTGCCCATAAACTATCATGGTACTAAGGTGTGCATGCAGGAGTAGCGATGACAGGGCCGTTATCTTCCACTGACCTGACTCGACTCATTGACATGCTAAGTAATAGCCGTGCAGTCTAGGGATCTCCAACACAACGTGCGCAAAGCCTAGTCCAGGCAAACCGCCGCCGCGCAATTGTATTGTACTCCCAGCCGTGCCGTACGAGGGTCTGGATAGACGATGAGCTAGGATGTTTGAATGACATAACATACGCACCTCTTTTTTACTTTCCACATCTGCAACATCCGCACTCCACTGTACGGCGATAAAGCTTCAATCTGTCTTGGTAGCCATCACTAGTGTTCAGTACCGTCTTTCTTCCACTCTTATTCGGTACCTGCAAATGGTCAACATTCTCCTTACTCGAGATCAATATCTTGTATCAACGACGTTCAATTTGATAGCTACGCCAACATGAGTCTCCAACAAATCGATTCATCATCTCGCATCTTCAATGGTCGGTCTGGCCGTGTGCCCTCGATGCCGGTACCGATCGCAACCAGAAGTGGAGGACATACTGTTCGTGGAAGGTGCGTAATCACGAAACGTGTGAAAACAGGATTCTCTGACAATTACTCATTAACAGCAAGTGGTGGCTCGTGCCCGCAATGTGTCCGCTTCTTGCTGGTACACTAGGCCCATTGGCCACAGGATTTTGTATATGTTCAATGACTGCCGGTTGCAGAGATGGGAACAATCAATTCAATCAATTTTGAGCCTGTAATTGTTTCTAATTGAAAAAACTCCGAGTTCACATTAATATTGACTTGATTGAAGAGGTTTTTAGGCATGTTAATTGATGATTGATTGACTTTTTGATGGTTCTTGATGTGAAACTTTGAGTAATCTTGTATACAAATAGTTAGAGATCTGTCTCCCAATTGCATATATCGTAGATCGCAGCTAACTCAGACTCATTTAGAGTATCCTCTGCGTTATTAGAAGGCTTAAAACCTGCCCTCTTCCAACTCCGTACACATTGTATCGCAGCTAGTAGTTGAGATCCAATCTTCCGCCTCTAAGGCTCTAATAGATCGCCAAGCTCGCTAAAGAGGCGCTTACATTGGCAGCTACTGGCTGGTATTGTGAGCAGATCTATCGCGAGTTGCGATAGGTGAGGATATCGCGTGCGTAGGCCAATCCAGTATAGTATAGGGCTGCCTTCCTGTGCGAACTGCGCCTTTGTCTACGCTAGCTCATATCGCCGCCAGCAGTCAAGCTCATCCGCCTCTGATATGTTTAGCTCGGTTGTATACTCGCGATCAACAAGCGCATCGATCGCATCGTCTATAGTGTTTGATCGTGGCGGTAGAGGCCTTCTTGTAGGTAGCGATAGCGGCTTGTATTGCGCCCAAAGCTGTTGTAGGGCATCCTCGTTTGCGGTAAGCCAGTGAGGCTTATCGCGCCAGCTGTTAAAGCAGTAGTTTTTGTAGTACGGGTAGAGGGAAACAGCGCCGTAGTAGGCAGGCGAGGCGTCGAGTTTAGTGTAGTAATCGTTTAGTTTCCGCTAGGCCGCCCTTAGGTTAATAGGCAGGTGGTCCTCAGGAGCGCTATTAGGGCTATAGTTAACGCTATCGTAGGTAGTAATTATCGCCTCATAGGTACTAAGGATATACTCGTATACTGGGATCACCTTATATAGAGCTCCAAATCCACCTGTTTTGCCGCGAGCTTCAAGGCGTTTGGTGGCCTCCTTCAGCGGCCTCAACGCCTCGATATACTTAGTTACTACCGCCCAATCTGCCGCCGATAGGCCATCTGATCGCATCCATGATGGCGCTTCTGGTAGCTTGTTGCCCTTTGATATAGCGTACGCGTCGTCGCGAGCGATCTGCTTGATATGGTGACTGGAATATAGGTTAAAAGTTTGGGATAGGTGTACTGCACGCTCAAAGGCGTCGTGATAGCTGTTCCACCGTGTAACTACAGGCTTAATAGGCTCTAATATCGTTTCTGTTTGTGTGTAAGATTGCTTGTTAACTAAGGCCTGCAGCGAGGCAAACAGATCGTGTTGTTGAGGCGTTTTGATATAGTTAATTATATCAAGTAAGACACCTAGTGGACCATCGCGCCGCCAGTTTTGCAGGTATTCTGTCTCAGCCTGATGCTCCTCTGTATCATTATTAAACGATTGAGTATTAACTCTAAACATAATCGCCTGGCCTACGAGATTGAGCGTATGAGGCGCGCAGCGGAGTCGACGATGGAGCCTGTCGAACTGGTATATATCGGCGAGTTTGGCGATAGCGCTATCGTTTGCGTAGGCGTTGTCGAGGACAAAGTATCCAACTTTTGAGCTATCAACTTAGAACTGTTGGAGTGTTTTGTATACAACTTCAGCGATCCTCTCGCCTGTATGAGCGCCTGTAAGTTGAGGCAGGGCAATAGGTAGGTCCCTAAGGTTGCCAAAGGTATCAGCATAATGAGCAACAACGCCAAAGAACCCGCGTTTACCACCCTTTGTTGTCCAGCCGTCAAAGCTTATATGAATTTTGCTAGCAGCCTGCGACAGATCTGCAACAACCAAGGGTTCTAGGTGTCGATAGAGCCTCATAACAAAGGCTGATATACTGCGGTGACTTACCCATAGGGCTTCTGCAGCCTCTAGGTTAGCGTACGCGATCATCTCGCGGAAAGCTGGTGTTTCAAACTCGCGGAGGGCGTGATTGTTGTCGACTAGCCAGCTGACTGCAGCGTATCGAAAGCCTTGTACATCAAATCCTCCAAGCGTGTTTGCAATGTCCTGAGATACAGCTACACGGCTGTTACTCAACAATCGTAGAGACGTTTGGCCGCGAGGCAGCGTAGTACTAGCGAGCCTGCCTTGACGATCGAGGCGATGGCCTGCGCGAGCTTGACCCATATGGCTTATCGCAGCTGTTGTTGAGGTTGTTACCTCTATTGGGCGCATCCCATCTCTGTTCTGGTGTCGATAGCAGTACCTGCAGATCCAGAAAGTCCTTGTAGGGTTGCCGAGTTTGGCGACGCGATAGCCATGCTGGAATACCCAGCTCTTCTTTCCCTTAAGGGTCCTTAAGGGCTTCGTATATTGAGGTATATCAGCCCAGTTAAGGCCGTCAAAAGTATCAGCAAACCAGGCATCCAGCTCACTAGTATTGCCTGTAGTATCGCCGGTAATATCGCCTGCCTCGCTTGTAGCTTCGGTAGCAGCAGTTAAGCCCTTAGCTGGCGGAGGAATCGCGTCTCTAAGTAGCGGATCGAAGAGCTGTAGTTCGAGTGGAGTCTCCTCGGCGGCCTGGCTCGCGGCGATCGTTAAGGCCCTGCCCGGCGAGGCTGTAATAGGCAGCTCGGGCTGCAATTGCGATGGAGGTTGCGATGGAGGGCTTTGGCGACTAACTCTAACGCGTTTATTAGGTGCAGCAGCACGATTAACAGCGCGTTTAGGAGGCTTTGGGGCATTATAGGTAGGCGTAGCGCGTAAAATACTGTAGATTAGCGGCGTAGGAGGCGTCTATAACAAGATACTAGATAACGTGTTTGCATAAGCTAGGGCGTTTCGAAACAGATCTTCTGCGAGGTTACCTAGGTGCTGACTAATAAGAACTCAACACTAAAAAATTATCGCGATATCGATCTTGCGTAGGCCCCGCTAGCCTCATCCTACGCCTCCTATGCTGCGATCAATAACGATCAATTAGATCAATTTTTCAATCAATTTTAAGCCTCTAATTGTTCCTAATTGGAAAATCTCGAAGGGTAAATTGATTTTGAATTGATTGAGCTTTTGCATCAAGAATCAATCAATTCAATCAAAAAACTTGATTGTTCCCAAGTCTGGCCGGTTGGAGGCAGATCGTAGTCCAGCATCACGATGACAATCATACAAACATCATCGAAAACCCTGACTGGTACGTCAACGAATCCTGCCTCTTTTTGCGTTCAAGGTACGGCGCTCAATAGTACAGGTTCGTTGCCTCTAATGCAGTTTCGCTTAGCTCAGGGTTCATCTCAAACGCAACCATCTTCTTCTTCACATGGAGTAAACTCTCATTCATTGTTTGTACTTCTGGAATTTTTATCCAGGTTTGTATTCTCATCGGTCTATTGATTGCCATACACTCTCTTCCCTCGTTTGACAAGGCAACTAGAGACTACGACTTTACCCAAGCATACTACTACGCAACGATATCGACCGCACTCTCAGCCGCGACACTGGTTTGCGTAACATCCCATGGGGTTGTGCTGATCCGGATGTATCACTCCCGGCCGTTTAGAGTGGGAAGTACAGGGTCAAATCTCTACCGCCAATCGATTGCGCTCATAACGTACCTCCTTCTAGGAGCTGCAATATATGCACACGTCGAGAACTGGTCATTCCTGGACGCAGTATTCTGGGCCGATTTTACCTTACTCACGATCGGGTTGGGGGGAGAGCTCACCCCCAAAACCTCAGTTGGGCGAGGTCTACTACTCCCTTACGCAATTGGCGGGATCCTTTTTATAGCACTGCTGGTGGTGTCAGTACGAAAGCTTCTTCTGGATGGTCTCCGCCGGCAGACAGACCATTTGATCGATACCTCAAGGGAACACCTTGAAAAGCGACTGGCAACAACGAGCGAAGCTTCCTCTTCGTTGGACGACGAAAACACATTCAATCTTGTCCGTCGTATCCCCCGGGACGCTCAACGAAGATGCAGTACGACGGCGTGTGCGTTTTCTGTCATTGCCGCTATCATCCTGTTACTCGGCGGAGCGTCCATATTCAATGTAGCAGAGAAAGATCAGGCCTGGACATACGGGGTATCCGCTTACTTCGCTTACGTTTCCCTCTTGACTATCGGCTACGGCGATTTTATACCCAACAGTAATGCTAGCAAGCCATTCTTCGTGGTATGGAGTCTATTGTCTGTGCCAATCCTGACCATCTTCATTAACAACTCGATCGATGCCGTTTATGGATTTTGGCCATCTTTCGTGCGGTTGATGCAACATGGCCGAAATCACTGGACGAGATTTCCGCAGTCACACCAGACTGCTCGAACTTCACAGAGCCTTCATTCTCGCCTCTATGACATTACAGAAAATGAGGGAGTGAATAGCAAGGAAGCTAACGTGGAGCTGCGGTTCAAAAGAGAGAACGATTTCCTGAAATCTATGTTTCCTGAGCACGATACATCTTCTCGGTCGCATGAGAACGCAGCAGCCGCCATATCCGAAGTCGATCTTCGCGCTCATTGCTGTCTTTTGGCGAGAGAAATCGGTATTATTACTAAAAACCTGATTACTGAGCCAGGGAAAAAGTACTCGTATCAACAATGGGCTTACTACATCAATTTGACGCGACACACAACGTCATATCAAAAACTCAACGAGGAAGCACAGCAAATCGAAGAGCCGGGAAGTGCGCGTATCGGCGTAGCAGGCCCATCTTCCACCGTCCACACGCCATTATCTCCCATCCAATGGGCTTCGCGCGGAACGCCAATTCTGCTTCCGAACGAAGCCGAGTGGCTGGTACTATGGCTTCTAAGCGAGCTTACTAAGTCGTTGCATGCACTACTCCCGCACGACAATGAGGAGCACTTGTCACTGTAGATTGGGATTTAGGCAGTCGTTATAGCGTACGACTTAGTTCTTCAAGCCATTATTGCTCCCATCAACTGTTTGCAACCAATCAGTTATCATCTCTCACGCTACAACGGAAGGGTGGCGAGCTCAAAGTAATAACGGGATACAGACTCTAATACTCCAAGCTACCTGAGTTGGGATTCTGGATACCACGGCCACGGCAATACCGCGTTTCGGTGCTTTCTGACCAAAATTGAGCATACGATGTATATACGCGTTGTCAGTCGCGGTACACAACAGAACCATCCAGGCTTCTTCAGCAAGAAGAGGGGTCCTACAGCCACCGGCCTCGGTTGGACCCGTCTATCCTCACCTGAAACAGTAACTCTGGCAAACATCTTTTATATGATTCTTCGGGTAGTTTGAGGTATTTACAGCTACCCCCAACTAGGCTGATATGCAATAACCGCCCACGGCTGCCGCGGCGTCAACCTACCTTACAATGACTACTTCTCCTCCATACACTAAAGAGTGATTCATTTCTCCAGTTGTCTAGCTCCTCAAGCGCGGCGTCTCTTTCACATTCGAGTTTCTTGATGTAGTCGATAGCGCCGGTCAGGATCATAGCTTTGCTCGGCCGAAATGTCTCCGATGTCTCATCGTCCTTCTTCGCCCGCGGCTGCATCGTCGGAACTGCGCGCTGCAACCGCTTCATCTCGGCATTGATGCCCTCGCGATACTTCCGCTCTACTTTGTTGTGTATAAAGCGGCGTGCACCTGCCTTGTCTGAACACTCGGGGGGCATGGATGCATTTGTGAAGTCGCGGTACAGGCGTTGGTGGCCGTGATTTCGGCTCTTGGAGCATTGTGAATGTTGTTTGGTGGTAGTGGCTAGATACGAGTCGTGGGATCTGTATCTTGGGGAGGGCGAGGGGCCCGGAGAGGGAGGATCGCGCGGTTGGATCCCATTAGACGGCCTCGTGCTTTGTGGCCAAGAGGTTTTACAGCAGGGATATACGAACTCAAGATAGCCAGCTTCGGATTGATCGATTCGGTTGACCATCTCCATGTTGACTTCTGACCATTCCGCAACCGCGACGATGGACGTTGGCAAGTGGTTGTTGTTCAAAGCTGCCGTTTCGTCCAAGGAGGCTTTGGGGCAAGAAATGAAGTGATGAAATTGTCCCAAATTATCACTGGTTTGGAACTCGTGAGGGTGAGCTAGGAACGGCTGGTTGTACTGGTCAGAGCAGGTCTGCAAGGTCGCGAGCGGACAGGAGCAGCTGGCATCTCCTGTCATCGTGAAGTGGACAAGTCTGGGAAGTCTGTGCTGGACGTTAAGATCTCCCTTAGATAGAACGGGATCGTTGGAATGAAGTGATCATTTGGAGATGGGTAGGATCAGAAGGCATTGATGACATTGCATTCGCGAACGAGCCGTGTCCGGGTCCATCCAATGGCTTGACGAATGATGGCATCGTCCCTTTGATCAGCTTGGCTGTTACCCACAATTCCTGGGCCGAAAGAATTCATTGTTTTCGATATGAAATGCATGCTTTGCAATACAGTTCTGTGGCTTGTCAGAGTCCCTCGGAACATATCCTTTTAGATATTTTCCGTAGTGACAGCTGCTTCCCTCTACTACTTTAGCGATTTCAGTTCCTTATAAGCTGTTCCGTAGTACATAATCTGATGAGGTTCTCCCCATAGTAGCAGTTTGTAGAATTGTTCTGGATCGCGTATGAAAACACACATAGGACAGGTGATTGTGTTAAACCTTTTCAGAGATGCGCTGATCCAGATCCCAGGCCACAAGACACAGCTCTTGCAATGATGTGAGAATCGGGCGGTCACATAAAGCCATTGCTTCACTAGTGTGTACTTGTGCGATCTCCTTGCTTGTTTTGCAGTCCAACAGAGCTTGTCTTGTCCTGCTGCAACGTTTGAGATTTCACCCATGGCTTTGGGTGGAGTGGATCTCCTGACGTCTTCATCGATTCTCTGGCTGATGCATTATCATGCCACCACTGGAAGGGACATCATGCTTTCGCGGATCACAATGGGTCTGGCCCATGGAAACCAAGATGGTGGTGGTCGATACGGGGAGATTTGCTTACGGTAGCCGCATACCCCGCAATCGATTGGCAAAGCCACTGGTTATGCACAATCTGCGACAAGACCCCGCTCCACGGCGCACAAAGACCGTGCTGCGCAACTACATCATACTCCCAGCTTCTTCAGCTCTCACAGTGAAGATGATTGGGCTGCCGTCAGCATCTTGGGAGCGTCCAAGCGTCTGGAAATCTCGTAAGGTTTGCTCGCCAACATGCACTTAAAATAGCGCATTCGGCGAGCCAGAGTGCATCAATGCTGCGCATTGAAAGGAGACCTTAGTGTCACAAAATCTCCTGCAAGCGCCACCAAAGATCCATCTGCGAACGGGTGGTTTGTGCCCCACAGCTCGGACTTCTTGTATGGAGGCTGCTTCCTATGTAACGTGGAAGCCCTACCAGTGTTGACGCGAAGCATGTTTTACCAGATATCTGGCCCATGCGGGTTGGATATGAGCTGTGGGGGAAAAGAATCAGAGAAACCTGCGTGCGGCATCCTCGCGTTCCTTGCGCAAATTGGGTGACTTCTGATTCGCAATCGTGGCAGAGGCTTTCCTGAGCAGTAAACCAGGTGCGGCGTCAGAATCAGGATTGGACTCGTGACTGGGTCGTCTGGAACAGCTCATGTGGTCTATCACGAGGAAGTTGAACATGCAACCACGAAATGACGGCATGGCCCCTCACTAACGATCCAGGCGACAGGTCGAGCCATCGCGGGTCAATGTCCACCCTAACTACTCCGAGTGGGGGCCCTACGGGGGAACGGCGGAAACGTGCAAGATCCAGGGTGTGGCGGATCGATGCATGAGAGTGGGGATGATAGGATCGGTAGGGAAAGTAGCCGACTGGCCAGCTTGCACCAGGAACGCTTGCATGATGCCACGGCGCGTGTCAGTAAGCAGCGTGCTTGTGGCGTCTAAGGTAACGAATCAGAGGTTGTTGTTCCTTCTCGGCCCTACTATCCTTCAGCTCAATAAGTGCCAGCATGTCGCAGCTTCACATGATATGGAAACTATTTGTACAGGAAGGCAGGAGTGTCGTCTGTTTTTGCATGGATTTCCAGATGAACAAAAGCTGACTGTCATGTGGAGAGCAAGATCAAGGCCCAGTCAAGGGATCGCTCTACCTTAGTTGAATTAAGCACAGACGATGTCGGACAACAGAAAGAAGGAAAATAGTTGCATTCCTAGCCAAGAAACGACAATGGACTCTGTGGGTCCCGAATTTTCATGTGACAGGGCACCTGGCCTAACAATCGTGTTGGCTGACGGCAAACCTTCCACCCTTCCTTTCTCCAACCATCGCTGAGATGGGATAGGACTTTCGGGAGTACCCCGTTACTGCTGGGACTCGGGATCGGTGCACGAATCCCGCTCATGGTGCTTCTTGTGAAGAACCTTCTCCTTGATAGCGCTATCGCTCGTTAGAAATGCAGACGCGAGCCAACCCGCAGTGTGTCAGTACTACTTACGTTGCTTTGTGTGTCTCGCGACCGGCACGAATTTCAGTGAAGACAAAGGCACCCTGTTCCCGTCGAATTAGCGTAACCGACATCCCAGAAGCTTCCCGCTGAACTCACAAGGATGGCGCTCAGCATCCATGACATAGCGCCTAAGAAGAGAAAAGCGAGAATTGTTCTCCAACTTTGGCACCCTTGAGAACCGACGACGGCAGGGGTCACGATAGGAACCCTCCAAAATCGGCCCCAGTGAAAGCCCCAGTAGTTGTAATACCAGGCCGAGTTGCAGGAGCTGTTCAGCTGTTTTGCTAGTTAGCTAAGCACTTGCAGTTCCTTACCAGCACTCACGTCTGCCAGGAGCCCAAATGCTACCATTGAGCATATGAAAAACACAATGTCAATCGGAAATGCGTAAAAGGAATATTTGGCAGGAATGATAAGAAGTATGGAAAAGATAATCTCCAGCACAGAGATGACTTCGGCGTAGATCAGACGGCCATTCGCAGACGAGTTCGCGAGGTTCAACAGGTAGAAGAAGCGGCCTAGAATGGATACGACGATAATGGCACTGCACAATGCGCCACCGCGAAAGATAACGGATGCTATCTTAGAGCCAGTACCCATAGTGACGTGATCGGAGTGGCGGTTGATGGAAAAATTCTTGAATAGTAAGATCACGGACAAGATCTTGTGTAGATTGAGGACAAAATTATGTGGGAGATTGTTGGGGCTCTAAATAAACCGGCCTCCAGACTCGGCCGCCGTGAGCTACCTGGAACTAAGTCTGAGAAGGGCAAGGGCGGATGGACGCCAGGTCATCTGTACCACAGACTGGAGCAGCGGCCAAAGTGTGTTCAAAGTCGAATACGAAACAGAATCTCTAGGCATGCTGACAATGAGTGATTGGCCGACTTGAGTGCCAACGAAGCAGACGATGGCTCGTGCTATGCCAGCTAAAAACCCAAGTTAAGCGATCATCCGATTATTAACCAGTGTGGCCTGACATCTGTTCATCTCTCACATGCACGATCTGGCTCAGTAACAAAGGATATGTCTGCGTCCAAAATCATAAGTCGCAACCAGTTTGATTGACTAGGGTTCACATAAGAACAACCGTCGTTGCATGAAACCACGCTTGTTCTCAATCGCGTGCACCGTGGAACATTCACTCTGCGTACAACGCAATGCTACCTATCAGATGCCAGACAATTGAACCATGCCCTGGTTGTATATCTTGATTCATCTGGGGGTGTTCGATGAGGTATAGTTTGTCGATTTCCTCAATCTGATTATCCACATGGCCAAATTGTTAGCAGAAGACATCATAGTTTTGAATATGATACAGATTACTCATTATTCGTGTCAATAGTGGAGTCTGCTTCATCGAGATGCCTGTGAGAATATGTGCCTCCTGCCAAAACTGTTCGCAACCAGATCTGCAGATGTACAAGTGCGGATAACAAGCGTTTATGTGGTCGCGGGAGGTGGCAAATTCATCATTGAAATGACCCGTCGTAACCTACGGCACACGTGTTGGAGAGCATTGCGATAACCTTTCATATGTTTGTTTGATCCACGAGTGAGTACATAGACCCTTCCATCGCTCTCGTTGATCGGGTCTTTCTCCCGTCTCAATACAGAGGATCCGACGATTTCGAGAGAGGGGAGTCAGTCGTGTGCTCACGTTTACATGTGCTTCTAGTAAGAATAAACCTTTATTTGCTTCTTGCAACGAAAGCACATGTATTAGTGTCGCCGTGTTCGCCTATTAGATGTAGTGCTGCGCCCTCATAACCATTGACAAGAGTGGAGTGGTTTCACGCTATGTATGCCCTGTATTGCTTGGTCAAGACCGAACTGCGCGAATCTACCCCGCTCTGTGTGCCGAAGAAGCAACTCTGCCTATCAAGGGCATTATGTTTTGAAGAAAGGTGGCCTGGTCTTATTCATAGACCATTCCCTGTAGACTACGTGTGTCCTCCGCTTGTATAAGAGGTGGCACAGTGCCTAGGTTCCAATGTGGACTCCTAAGCAATCTTTCTATCAATACTACACAATGTCTTTTAACAATCTTCTGCCCCTGCACCGAAGGGATACATGTCAGACTTCAGAATCTAGTCAGAAACTACGTACCAGTAGTCAATCCAACAGCTCTCCACCTCCTAGCTCTATCCACACCGTCATTTGGCTCAACGAAGCCATTGCTGCAGCTGCCGAATTCGTTGGGACCTTCATGTTTCTTTTCTTTGCCTTCGGTGGCACCCAGATCTCCCATACCGCGACCACTGACGCGCCTGCAGCAGGTCAGCCACCAGACACTAACGTCCTTCTCTACATTGCCTTGAGTTTCGGGTTTAGCTTGATGGTCAATGTATGGATTTTTTTTAGGGTCAGTGGTGGCTTGTTCAACCCTGCAGTAAGTTTATCTCACTCTGTTTATGCAACAGTGCGAGATCTAGTTGAGTTCTTCGTCATGAGATCGAACAAGACAGCTAAGGATATTGTCAACTAGGCGACACTAGGCTTGTCCTTGATCGGTGCGATAAAACCAGTTCGCGCGCTCTTGTACTGTATTGCACAGATGCTCGCTGGTATGAGCGCTGCCGCTGTCATCGAAGCCATACTTCCCGGCCCCCTAATGGTTTCCACCAATCTCAGCGTATCCATTGCGCGAGGTATCTTCATTGAGATGTTCTGTACATCGCTTCTCGTTCTCACTATCATCATGCTCGCTGCCGAGAAGCACAAAGCCACGTATCTAGCCCCTATCGGTATTGGTCTCGCTCTATTTGTTGCGCATCTGGTAGGCATATGTTATACAGGTGCAGGCCTTAATCCTGCTAGGAGCTTTGGACCGTGTGTGGCAACGAAGAGTTTTCCGGGATATCATTACGTATATTGGGTTGGTCCATTCATGGGTACATTATTAGCTGTGGGTATGTACAAGATCGTCAAACTGGTGGAGTACGAAATTATCAACCCAGGACAAGATAGTGATGGCCATCAGGTACGTGCCGCCTTCCAAACCTTTCAGGCTCTCATTCCCGGATTCTCACGCTGATTACGAAATTGTATTGACCTGGTCTACGTGTAGATTACTCGGCTTGACACCCACACCGACCCAATCGGAAGGGTGAGAGGAGACACTTCGCATGATAATGCTGCTGTTGGGAGTGGAGCAAATTGCGCAGCCAACGATCCTACGGATGGAAAGCAGCAAAACGGAAGTAAACAGTAGAAATCGGAGCCACGCAAAGCGCGAAGTTATCTCCAGTGGTATGTCCCACCGTTTGTAGAAGGGGGCAAACTAAGCCATACTGAGCAGGAACTTTGAGTTGAGTTCTTATAGTTTAACGCATGGGAATGCTTGCTTAGGGAAAGAGTTAGTATGTACGTCAATGTGACTATCTGGAAACATCATTATGAATGGGGATAGTTAATATCAAAAGTTAATCGCGAGGCAGTAGTGGTGGGTTTGTTATAGTGTTGGTGGTGGTAATCCTGCAGCTCAGCTTCGAGTCGATTTGTGGCACACCATTGTGATAAATCTGGTCTACAAGACAATACAATCGCTACCTGTACTTTCTGCTCGACCCAAGAAACACGCTCGCGTACCATTCAGGCCTTGGTTTAGCGGGGAAACTTCGTCCGCCACATGTGTATGGACCGTCTAGGCTGTGCAGACGCGTCCCACGGTCAAGGGAAATTAAGCCAGGAACCCCACAATATTGTTCATTCAAGAACGTTGCGACACGTGCTATTAGGTTTGTCTGTAATCAACTGATTGTCTGCTTCTGAAAACGTTCACACTGTGAACAGTACGAATTGTGTGGACAAATGGACTGAGAGAGCCCTTATTGAGCTCGCCCTTAGATTCCATCACGAGCATGACGAGCATGACGAGCATTGCTCACTTCTCCGTATCAGTAGCTTTTGACTACGCTTACAGCTATACATGTCGTCAGCAGAGACTGAAGTGCGATGAGGAGAAGCCCATATGCAGAGAGTGCATCAGAAGCTCAGGGTTGGTCTTTCGCCATCGGCAGATTGCTTCTATGACTGGCTGAAAATCGTCTGAGGATGCTACGGTCAATCGATTTTGTCCTTAAAAGGACCCATATGGACATGACACAGTCTGGTTAGACGTTCGTAAGTGAGCTAGGACAGATCCAAGAGCCGTATATCTCTTGTTCCTTTTTTTGCTTACGATAATTGTGGTGGCCTTTTTCAACACTCCGGATTCGTACATCAAAGTCCCCTCGCTAGATCTCAATACTGTACCAGCCAATTCTGCAGATCTGTTGTCAACTGGTGAGCCTCGTTCAGGTACTCCGTAGCTGATCTCTGCCAGCATCCATTTCACCAACAATTCGCCATCAAGCATGAGTCCAGACACAACTTCTACCAGCCCATTGATGTTGGTAGTCCACAAAACTGGAACTCTGCCACCTTTCATGCAGCCTTCTTCTACCTTTGCAGCAGAAACACTATACTCGGCACACGCGTCGCTTTGCAGTTATTTCACCTGCTACAACACAAATCATTCTACGTTCGTTCCAATCCCGCCCATCGATGCAAGCTTCATCTTGTTAGATGCTTACTCGAAAACTAACTTACTCAGCAAAAGCTCAACACCATTCTCACCAAAACAGCCAGCTCGCCTGAATCAAATTTGAGCGCCGTTAGATGCTCAAGCTACCCCACTTTTATTGCGGCTTTTCTCCGAGGGCTCTGGATCCTGGATGGACATCTCCGACACAGGCGCAAATTTTAGTGCGTACGTGCTTGTAAAGGCACACTTCAGTAAATTGCTCAAGCATTCCGTTGACACTTGTGCTGCTAAATTATTGCACATGTTCAAGACTGCAAGCTAGGTACGAGATGTATCGCGATGCGTCATATCCAGAGCAAAGTACACTATACTACGCAACTAGTCAACTAGCAAAGTAAAGCTGCAGAATATTACGGCGCCACTGTATCCATCCTTCTGCAGACGCTGAATGACAATGCTGTAAAATCATTACAGGACTTTGTCAGCATTCTCGAAACACACAGCCACGATGTGGATCGTGTATCTGACAATCAGGCTTTCAAGCCACTCAGCACCCCAAGCAACTGTGACGCTGACTGCAAAACAAGAATGTATTGGCAGCTTCTGTAGTCCTTTGCATGTACGAGTTCCTAGACACTCCGGTCTTAAAGTGTATGAAGCTTCTGAACGGAGCAAAGTTCCTCCTTAATCTATTGCGTGAACGCATGAAGTTCCCTCAGATTCATAGTTCGGTTCCCTGGATGTCTTCGGCGAGGTTGAACCTTGCATCACATGCTCGAAGAGCCACGTTCTGGAACATCGTCCGATAACACATGCTTGCTGCGTGTAGATAACGTCTTCCCATGATCGTAACTGTCCCTAACGCTTGAGTGCTAGCCATCGATAAGACAAAGACGCGCATGGATGCCAAAGATTTCTACATATAGAGAGAGACTGGTCTGTTTGTCGACGGCCAAGAACAAATCGTCTAGAGTAGGGCAGCAATTATTGGTTTCTCGAGCTATGAGGGCATAGGGGACAGAGCCCTAATTTCCAACGCCTTGATATAGCTTATGGACGGACCGATCAACTTTGTGGCTCCCATCAATCACTGTCTAGAAGACATGGAGCTTACTTGGAGTGGCGCTTTAAGCATAATTGTCCAGGCTACTGATTCCTCCTGCAATAACAGTTCTAGCTAATACTTGCACGCTTACAGCTACATTCTAGATATTAATAGAACTAGGGTTTCTAAGGTAGAAACTAGGTGAAGAGGGTTGTCTAAAGAGCAAGTAGGCTCTAGCCCCTATTAGTAGAACTAGAGAGGTTTTATACTAAACCGACCTCTAGAAACAGCGTTACAAACTACTAGAATTAGCTACACAAACGCTATTAGATTGTATAAGATAGTAAATATAAAGGAGCGTAGATATTCTTATATAATGCAAACTCCTGAACTCAATATATAATAAACCTGAAATGAGTGTCGTATAATTCCAAAGTAGTACAAACATCGTATCTTGCAGTTTATTGTCTGCCTTTGTAAACTTCCATCTCTTCTCTAGGTTGTTCAGGCTATGTATAAAGCCGGAACGAATATTAAAGTCCGATAGGAAGGATGGAAACTACTGGAAGAGCGGAAACGATCGGTGGAAGGACAGAAACCACTGGTGGGAGGGCGGAAACCACCGGCGGGAGGGCAGAAACCACGGATGGAACGGTCGGAGTAGTTGGAAAAGTTGGAGCGACGCAGCGGAGTCCACTAACTTTGATCTTGGAACCCTTCACCAACTGCAGATTAGCATCATCTCGTAAAAGCGCACACTAAGAAGTCGTGCAAACAAGACTGTGATTGGAACTTGACATAGACTAATCGTGTAGAGGAGCTAAGCGTGGAAGGTGGTTAACTTACGATTGCAGAGGTAGTAGAGCAGCATTTCATTGTGCCACCACAAGGGGTACCCAGGATTTGAACCGTGCCAAGGATATTGCCGAGAAGAGGGTTGAGGATGTTGAATAACCCGGGGGGCAAGCACACCTGTTTGAAGCTTCCAGCAGGGCATTGTGCAGCTAGTCTTGGTTCAAGTCCACCTGTAGTAGGCACTGCCAAAACCGTGAGAACTACAGAGAAGACGGAAAGGATAGTAGACGGCTTCATCTTAGAGTTAGTATGAAGAGGAGGCTGGAGGTTGTAAAGGATGATAGGGTGATTACAAGAACGGTACTTAGTAGTTATGATGTTTTGCGTTGTTCTGATGACTATAGTTAAAACGAAGGGTGGTAGGTCTTATATAGACGTTCTCGCGTGCTAAAGTGAAATGGCTGTGAGGGATTCTGTATCTTCTGCTCTTGACGCTTATTCCTTTCATGTCTGCCCTGGCTGCACTAGTCATAGCTGATCTCATTTCAGTCCGTCTAGATGCAGGACGCCCCTCAACAGAACGTACAGAAAAGTTGCACTGACGGCAGTTCGGGTTAAAGTGAGCCTCAAGCGCAAGCCTTCAAGACCTTAGTTTGTCGATTGTATCATGCTTGTAAACATATGAGGAGGAGGTTGAGGAAGCAGTTGGTTGATTGATAGAGTCTATCGAAGAGAGCGAATATATATCCTCATGTTACATAATCAGTGATGAAACGCACTATCTCCACGTAGGCGTAGATGCTGACAAGAATGCACATACATCCGGCGAAATGTATTTCAAGGTGAACAGTGTTATATTTAGTGTATTAATCTACACAGATCTGAGACTTGGAGGAGCCCCAACTCTCAGAGCTACCGTAAAACGGTGCATATGATATTTCGTGCGGATGCGTGAGCTCCCTGGGAGGCTGATTCCGTGGGACGATGTTGCATGTCGTATCACTCGTATGTAAGGACCCGATCTCTCCAAACTGTGCACGGAGACGTGGCTTCGAAAGAGTTGTTGGAAATTGGTGATGTCGGTTGAATGGCCATTGTGAGGCTTCGACCTGAAGGATGGGGTGTACGTTGAGTGTTCTATGTCCAGTGTCGGAGATCTTGCGTGAGTCGCCGAAAGCGCCGCGAGAAGTTTAGCGGATGACGCAGGCGATGGCCCATGCACTCTCTACGCGTCTTCCGCCCCGTTGCCGTACATGTACACGAGTCCAATCATTTTGTCGCGATATCTCAAGCAGCCTTCAGATTATCGTATTGCTCAAAGCTGTGCCCGACCCGTATACTCTATTCCAATAACCCATGATAGCGTGCGACATGCTTGTTATTGAGCGACCACCCGCAACGTAGCCCATGCCGCTGTTCCACGTTCGCTGTTCAGCGGCTTGTCCTGACAATGCCATTTTCCATCTTCGTGGATTTGATGCCTTCCATATCGAAACCCACAATATGCAGCATCCTGCCGCTTAATATCGACGGCTGCTTGGCGCCAGCACGGTACTCAGCCGCAAAATTCGAATGACAATACTTTCTTTAATTCGTAGTTGCAGAATAATCTGGTTTCTCAGGCATCTAGACGATGAAGTCATCACTGCTGCTTTTCTTTGCAGGTCTAAGCGCAGTAGCTTTGGCCAATGTCGGAACCACGACCGGAGAGAGCCAAGCCCTTGCGACAGGCATTGTGCCAAACGTTGACGAAGTCAATATAGTCATTGACGATGGGTATGTCGCGCAGGATACTTTGATGATGGGTGCAATGCCCCCGAACGATCTCAATGACTCGCCTCGCCACCGACAAGAGAAGGCGCACCTGCTGAAGAGAATGAATAAAAAGAGCGGGAAATGGGGAACGAGCCATCCGCGATACAGGCTACTCGAAGCATTGTGGGGGTATACCAAGTACCACGAACGTCACATGGCGGAACTGGACCGGTGGCGAAGCTTGTACAAGAGCGTTGGCAAGAAGCAAAAAATGGTGCGTGCAATGACAACGTCGTCCTGAGAGTCGCTCATTTCGCAACAGACAGTGGAGAAGGCGGTCGGATATGCAAAGAAGCTGCATGAAATCGAAGAACTGATTTATGTGAATGCGGCCGTCTCGAGGAGCATGGCCCTACATGCTATGAAGTTCTACGATATCGACCGTGCAGAGTTGGAAGAACACATAAAGCAGGCCGAGGGCGACAATCGGCAAGCCGACAAGTTCGCTACGGCGCAAACACTGAAGCATTACGTGCGAGACTGGGCCAACGAAGGTCTTAAGGAGAGGAATGAGGCGTTTCCATGCATCTTGAGCACGTTGAGCGATATTAAAGCAGCCTCGCCAGAGGGTACAGCTCTCAAAGTACTGCTTCCGGGTTCCGGAGTTGGCAGGCTGGGTTCTGAAGTCGCTAATTTGGGAGGTGTGTATGTCCCCAATTGTGCACGCAACGGTGATTGACCTTGCGACAGGCTTTGAGGTGACGGTCAACGAATGGTCAATGTTCATGAATGTTGGGTATCGTTACATGGAAGCGCAAAGGGAGGTGCACGCGGTTACCATGCATCCTTTCATCGACGCGATGTCGCACCACGCTACGAAAGCTGATATGATACGAAGTGTCACGGTACCCAACATCTTTCCCAACCCTGGTGTACTGCTCGTCGAGGGTGATTTCAACACCGCTTTCAATGATCAACAAGGTCATTACGACATAATCGTCACTCACTTCTTCATCGATACGGCTCGCAACCTCATGGCCTACTTCGACACCATCCAAAGGCTGTTGAAGCCTGGTGGTAAATGGGTCAACTTTGGCCCACTTCTTTATGGCACCGGGCCCTTTGTTCAATTAAGTCTAGAAGAGATCATTGACGTCGTTGAAGAGATGGGCTTTGAGTTCGAGGATTTGTGTAATGAGTGCGGCGAGCTGACCTTCGAAGGCAGGAAGGCCCGAAGTAAAGAGGCAGAGTATGGGTTTAACAGGAGAGCATTGACAAGATATGCATATCTAGCGCAGGTATGGATGGTGAGGAAGATGTGAGTGGGCGCGCGGCCGTGCGTCCGTGGGACAATCCGAGAGAGTACGTATACGAGATACTGAATAGTCCACGATACCATCTCAGCTTGTCCTAGTCGATTAAGAAACCTTGCTAGTGGCCGACACACAGACCATAACCTGTTACCACAGTAACGTTGAAATTGTCGCCTCCAATTGCCTGCCCCTGCAGCGGACCGATTCGGCAACCGTCTTTCCGGTTGCCATCTGGCCATGCACGACGGCTACAGAATTGAGGAAACTGCAAGAGAGTGTACGCAAGCCATGGTCAACCTCAAAGGTTTCGGCAACTAAGCAGGAAAGACTGTGCCTTTTTCTTACGTCGCCTCCCAGAACATAGCCTCACGCACGCCTCCCGCACTTCGTACAACCCTAGCACTTCAATCCTTGAGCCGCGCTAGTACCGGAGACACGCCCGGCTGAGACTGCACAAGGCACAGGTAGTGTGGGTTGGTCGGGAACAATAGAGGTGCCTATCGGAAGACGCAAGATAGCCCAACTGGCAGGAATGCGCAAGAAACCATTCATTATCGGGTATGTTACGCTTTTTACCCTATCGTTTGCCGCATCCATGTGTTACGAGTACAATGTCTACTAGATCATGCATAAACTCAGCTGGTGACGCTGCTGTTGACACTCCTTTGCTACTGGCATCTGTTGTTAGATAAGCGTCTCTAGACGCAGACTCTCGCTCTTATTGATCATCCTTGCTTGCTATACGCTTGCTATGGGTAGGGAGCGTAGCTACAATAAGCATAAAGATATCGTGAAGATGACCTGGTGCTCAATTACCCCCAAAGAGCGTAGAAACATTAGGTACAAAACAATTTTACTGATAGGCACTGATCGACACTCAGGGCAAATAAATAAAGGACTGAGATTAGCTCTTGATAGATGATAACGCTGGAAATATGTTCATCCGAAGAATAAAGCCGAGTATCCCCGCCGAGTTGACCCACCCACAATACGTACACATGTACCCACAGCATGCCGCATAGAGTTGCGGTGATTAGTTTCAATAATTCACGTAGGGGTACAATGAAGGATCTGATGCGGAGATTCTATTGACCCCTCTGCCTTCTACTAAAGAACATCACAATCGACGACACCAGTACATTCGTTTCTAGCATCGCTCGCAAATTTGCACTGGGCGCCTTCAGCCATGCTTCTCGCCGCTTTCACAACCCTTGTAGGTTTGGCCGCAAGCCTATCTTCAAGCTCACACGCTCGAGCAGCCGGAGATCTCATTGTCACCAAGGTTCCCAACTATGTCCGTCCATATATCGTGCGCGCCTATACCCTGGACGGATATCGAGTTGGATCTCAAGTTTACCGCTTCCCAGTTACCGGTCCTTCTTCCAATTACGCCTTTACACTTATTAGCACTGCTGCCCCAGCTAGCACAAGTCTAGGTGTACTACCTCATGTATGTTTCTCTGTAACTATAGTGGCATCAAGTCAAGTGCTCACATGTCAAGGCTCACGCAATCCACTACGAGAACTTCTACTGCCTGAAGGGTCGTTACGCTCTCTGGACGAGCAAAGAGAACGTCACATCAGGAAGGATCCTGTCACCGGGTGACTACGGTGCCGTTCCTCATGACACAATCCACACCTTCCAACTGCTCGATCCCTTTGTCGAGCTTGTCGGCGTCATTCAACCTGGTGGCTTTGAGGATCTTTTCTACTTCCTCGCAAACGCCAACTACACTTCTAACACCCACTCGCCCTTTCCGCAAGGAAGCTTTTCGGATCCCGGGGGCGACTCTAGCCTTATAGCCACACTCGAGGGCTACGATGTTTATGCAAAGCTGACTTTCAGCCCACCGATGGATTTTGGCGCGAATGGTGCCACTGAGGAGAATGCAATCTGGCACAGTGGCACTAATGAGTTGGGTAACGATCCTCAAACGCCCTTTTTTGTCGCCAAGGGTTACGGGCCTAAGTATCTTGCTGGCGACAAAGACTCTTCCTACGCCATTGTCGAGCCTTTCGTTACGAGCCAGCAGTCTGACGGAAACTTCACCGAGGGCACGATTACTCTGTCGAAACCCATTACAGGAACTAAACCTGCTACATACTCGCTTCCCGGCCACACTGCGCTCGAGATTGTTGACGGTCTGGTTAGCGTGGATGTTGGTGGTTTCGAAGGCACCACCACACTTTCTGTTGGGGATGTTGTCTTTGTACCTGCAAATACCACATTTAGTTTCTGGGGCGAGTCTGTGTATTCGAAGGTTCTTTATGTTGGTGCTGGAGATGATACGGTAGATGCTAGGATTAGGAAGGATGCCAAGGTATGGGACTCAGTTACCTGGCCCCAGTAAGCTGTGACTTAAGGTAGTTTCGGATGCAAGTACTGCTGTAATGATTTAGCATCGCATCTCAACTGTCTAGGTAGAGCGGGATTAGCGTAGGCCGTGGCGTACCAAAAATTAGAGTGTAAGAAGTATTTGAATAGGCACTAAGATATAGGTATAGCTTTGTATTGAGACGAATTCGTAAGGAATAATTATGGCTCTGTGAGAGATGATGTACACCTCAGACACGTGATCGTGGCTGGTGTAGGCCGACGGCGCCCCGACGGGTTCCCGGCGGCTAGGCTACCTGGGGCTTGACCCTGTAGCTGTGGAACATCGTGACAGTAAGGAACATTAGAACTTCTTCTTCACCTTTACATCAAAATATTTCTACAACAAGAGCAGCTATTAACAAACCAACGACAGAATTAGAATCGCGCAGTACTCCTCCATGTACTATCTTCTTCAGAAATCTCATATCACTCTAAATAGCTCACCCTGAGTGCTGGCGTCCTAACTTGGAGTCCCGCTCCCCTGTTCCTTGTTGCCTTTTACCAGCTTCACCAAACGAACTGGAGTTCTAGTACAACTTCAGACATCCTCTCGGGTGGCTAATAGTAATAGCACGGTCAAAGTCAAGCATAACGACGATGAGACGCGTGCTACGACAGATTGTATGGAAGGTACCGAAGATAACGCGTCATTGTCTGTACTAGAGACGTCCGAGCAAGCGAGGTCAGAGACAGAAGGCATTAAGCAAGAGTGCGACGATCGGGAGCATGACGGTGTGAATGCGATTAGCAGCACCGCTTAGGGCAAGCCACAAAGCAAATGCAGCAAGCCCATTGCACCTGCACCTGCACTGTTGACCAAAAGTCCTGTTAAGAAGTATGTTACTAGAAGCGCCATAAACGATGGCAGTGCAGTTAGGATATGCAAGGCTGATAGTTTGCGGAAGGTGACTTCCTTTCTCAGGAATAAGCGAGCGCAGGACTTTGCTTTGATTCCGGTATCCTGGGTCCGGCGAGGGTGACGTCGAGAACCGTCTAGTGCATTGGGCTTCCCGAAGGTGCAGGATGAGATCCGCTTAGGTTTGCTACTTTTTGCGCTATATCGTCTGACCCTATATTTCTGTGCCAAAACGTTAGTGCATGTACTAAAGCGTCCGGGGAGGCAGTTGAAGAAGTGTGCGGCGCAGAATTTGAGAAGGGAACGCTAGGATAGGGAGTGAGGGAGGCGGAGGTCTCGCTGCTCGAGGTGCATATCTAAGTTATGAACAGGAAAGAGTTGGTACGCTATCGGCCCACGCTTGTCATGATTGACCTGGTGGCAAGGGCACACGAGTCACGCATTTTACGACCGCGAAACGGTGACAACTACAGAGGTACACATCTTTTTGATACCGTCGCAAAACCGCCGGCCGATGCAAAAATACAACCACAAGGTTAATGCATTCACCATAATTGAAGATAAATTTACGTACAGAAAAAGCAGTTACAGAGCTGTGACCTACAGTTGTTGCTAAGACCTCAAAGTTTCGACCATGCTCATATCTATAGAGTCGTCTCACTCCGCTTGTGCCTAGCGTTTCGCTATGATCGAAGATAACATAGGACATAAAAAGTGGTCTATCGACACTTGTAGATAACCGAGCAGTCGTACTCATAGAGGGGTAGAGCCAGCTCTAGGACCCTAGATGGATGAGAGTACTTCTGGTAGTGTATCGTCAGTGGCTTAATATACATGTCCAAAGTGCGATAGCACATGATTCTAGAGCTATATGATGTCCATTTTACGCGATTTCTCCCTTGCCTGATGTACCGCGGTACACTTTCCTGTGTACCTTTTGCTTTTGTTAGAAGCTAGCGATCTAGTTGTGTCGCGAACACCCTCAGACCCGTTAGATAACAGTACCTACCAAATTAGGCGCAGGACCAAGATCAAGCGCCATGCGGAAACCGAAAACTACAAGTGCACCGGGCCGTAGCAACCATTACGGCTAGATGTAGGTGTTGCTACGGGAAGTGATGACAGAAGTGGCTTTAAGTGACAGCGAAATTGCCGCTATGTTTTCACAGATCATTAACATATCTGGGTTAGTTCTGTCCCTTAAGTAACTATAACCCCCCAAATAGTAAGTCCTTAGGGGATTTGGGTACCAGAAATTCAAACCATCACACTAATGTTCGCTAACATGTATGGCAAGCGAGTGGGCCAGGCAAGCGAGTGGGCCACCCCACCAACTTTGCGCACCTGTTTAAGCGTACACCTTAACCACGTTAAGAGATATTATAAAGATATTAATATAGTTAATTAAGCAGTATCTTAAGTATCTTTTTTGCACGTACGTGAGTTGTGCCCAGTCTCCCTGCACCTCTTGCAGCGCGCCAGAGCCTGGCGGCTGAGGCCTGATCGCTCTCCACCTTGACGCTGTTCACGCTCTATCTGCTGGTCAGCCTCCTTTTGAGCTATTATATCCTCTCCTTCTCCCTTTGTTAAGATCCCTTTCCTCTGTATCCGCTTCTTTTTACGCTGCCTACGCTTTGTTGCTGCCTCGTTTGCTTTCTCAAGGCTGGTGATCCGATCGCGCATCAGCTCAGCTGAGAGCATCATCACCTCAGCCCCCTTCTTGAGCTGGTCAATCGCCTCAATAATTGAAGCTGGTGATGAGCTCTTATGCCTTCGAACGCGCTCACGTATCAACGTTGATTGCGCCTCAAGCTCACGTACGTTGCTCGGCGTACGAGCCTCCCAAGGAGCCTCTGGCAGAGCGGCTGGAGTAGGCGTACGCAACTGCACGTCAAGCCTTAACAGAACAACGTCTGGTTGAAGTGGAACAAGGCCTGCGCCTCGAAAAGCTGAGCAGATATTGGCTGAGGTGAATGATCGATCAAACGCTGCCTTGAACGCTGGCAGAAACTCGAGCTTGGTGATGTGGTTGATGTGGTGGCGGATCAGGCTCTCCACCTCACGACTGTACGCGCGCTTTAATGGCGAGAAGCAGCCAACATCAAGCGGCTGCAGTAGGTGAGATGAGTGAGGTGGCATACAGAGCGTGTAGATGTTGTACTCCTTGCAGAGCTCTTGAAACTCAAGAGAGTGGTGGCTCTCATGGCCGTCAAGGATAAGCAGGCGACGTGCACCTACAACACGAGCCTTCGTGTGAGCGTTAAAGTGCTTTAGCCACTCAACTCCAAGCTCGTTGTTTGTCCAGCCCTTGTCACTAAGTGCGATTGCCCAGTTGCGCGGGATCTCTTCCTCCTCGTACCAGGCAGAGAGATGATACTGGCCAGCAAAGATGAGGAACGGTGGGACTGACCAGCCAGCCGCGTTGATCGCAGCGATCAACGTCACCCACTCACGATTGCCTGGCTGGATAGCCTTTGGCCTGCCTCTTCTCTCTGAACCTGTCACGACAAGCTGAGTCGTGATCTTGCCCATCATAAAGCCAGCCTCGTCGAAGTTATAGACGTCCTCATCGCAGATGCCGTACTTGGCCTTTGTCTGCTCCACTAGCTCAAACCAGCTTCTAATTAACACAGTATCCTCGCAGAGAGCTCTCTGCCTATCGTACGCTCGATTAAAACACGTCTTAAGAGAGTCTGTACGCCTAACGAAGTTGGCTGGCCACTTTTGCCCTACCTGGCCTGCGCCGCGCGCAGCCAGCAGCTTATCAGCCATATCGCGTATAGCTGCGTACGTAGGCGCAAATCCACGTTGGTCTAGGTCGAGTATATACTGGACTATCACCTCCTCTTCTCTCTGGGTAAGCTTCTTTGAGTTGGGTTGGCAATCGCGTCGGGCAGGCTTGCCAGTGCGTCGGCGCGTAAGCGTCGTTCGAGGGACTTCGAACGTCCGCGCAGCATCTCTATACGATCGAATTTGGGTTTGGTTAAGAGCTAGAATTGCGATATGTATATCAGCTTCACGAGAAGCTTTTTGGGCTTGTTTTGGTAGCGGCATTGTACAAAGAGTTTAGATGGTTCATTAAAGTTGGTGGGGTGGCCCACTCGCTTGCCCGGCCCACTCGCTTGCCATACATGTTACACTGTATCTTGGCTATCTTACTATCGAACACTCCAGCATTGTCAGCATCTACGCCTACGTGGAGATAGTGCGTTTCATCACTGATTATGTAACATGAGGATATATATTCGCTCTCTTCGATAGACTCTATCGATCAACCAACTACTTCCTCAACCTCCTCCTCATATGTTTACAATTCTTAACATGACAGGAGACCCAAGCTGGAGCCCTAAAATCAAACACACCCGCATGTATGCTACAGTTGACTGGACATAATCGATTCCAGAGTTGCATCTTTGCGCAAATCTCCTACGCTTGTTTGCCTTCTCTTCGATGCTAAGATCGTCCATGTTCAGAAACCCGCAACGACGCGCTTCGGGTTCCCTCGATTCAAGTGATGCTACAGGACGAGCAAACGAGGCTCCAACCTCGCACATGGAATGACTATCACACGCTTCGTTAGAAAGCTTGAAATTGAATAACGGATTTGGATACTGACATTTCATTCACGAAGTCACACTTAGTGACGTTGAAAGCGGTTGGAGGATCCACTGTGAACCATGATAAGGCAGACGAAGGGTCGATTCACCTCGACCTAAACATATTCCAGAATCCTTAAACGCAGTCAAAATCTCGCCAGCCAGCTCCCCTCACTCAAGCAATTCAAAATTGCTTTGTCAGCTCAGCTTCTCTTTCTCGCTCAGTTCATATATCATCTGCACATCGACCAACAACACCATGTCTCCAAACGGCCCAGAAGGCGTCCCCAAAGCCATCGTCAATTTTCAGGTCACTACACTCACCGGCGCTACGATCTACGTCCAGGGCACCTACGATAAGCGGCAGGAGAATGCGCGACGCAAGGCACGGGAGCAAGAAGACCGCGAAGGAAATGACGCACGCCGACGCGCGATGGGGGATATTGATGACGATGCGAGTCTGATGGGGGGTCGGGAGGCTGAGGAGGGAAGTAGGCGTCGACAGTAGGGCTTGTCGCTGTAGGAAACAAACAACAGGTCACAAAAGTGGTGGTGGACTAGTAGAGAAAGGCTGATAGGAAAAGTGAAGTCACTAGAGGAAACTTGAACCCTTGCTTTCGGGGAATGCATTCTCCGTTTCGAATGCGCTAGGATAACGCTATGTGTGTATCGCTTTCGCCTAGGAGTACGACAGGGTCTTTGTTACATTGAAAATTGTGTCATCACTACATCAATGTCAAAATCGGCTGGTCATAGTGAAAACATGCTACACGCGACCGAGAAGAGGGGCGCTGTCTACAGGAAATGGCATCAGCATCAGGCGCGTATCCGCACACGCCAGAATATCATGCGTATCGGGGATGGAGGTCATCAACAACATTCCTGTCAGATCAAGACTATCCCCAAGTCAAACCCTTGCGCTTTCCCCAAACCGAGGCATGGACATAATTTAAACCTACGTTGTTGCTAATAGCTAGAAGCTTCTCATGTTAACTTATCGTTCCTGGTGATACCCGTCACGGAAGCTTCGGAGGAAGGAGGCGTACCACTCGCCCAATATCCACTGTAGAACCGTGCAAACAGCGACACCAAAGAGGAAGGCCATATGCAAAACTAGCACCAGGTCAATAGCAGCCATATCTTCTCCCAGACCAAAGAGTGTAAGACACGCTGCTGCTAATGTCATGCAAACGTAGATCATTGCATTGGCTTCTGCCAACGTGACTTCATAGCGCTGCAATGTAGCAAGCGGCCTCTTTGAGGTCGTCGTCATAATAGGGTTGATGGAAAGCTTTGCATCGGTGCGTATAGCCAAAGATTGAGTCATGACAGTGGTCGCTGGCGTAGATGCAAGACTCCGGTGTGGCTGCAGTGGAGCAACATCGATCGCATCGACATAGCTATCGTCTTGTTCGACGGCGGCGTTTTTATTTCGGTTATCATCCACGAGTTCCTCAGCTAGCTGAGTCGCGATGCTTACGCCTTCTCTGGCCTTCACTCGAGCGAGAATGTCCCGGGGTGATTCTGCCGATGTGTTCGGTTCGACGTATTTGAACTCAGTCGAGCCCGCTTCCGATGCAGCCGATGACATATTCTGAGGAACGATGGTTGAAGACGCGAGTAGTCGAGCTTGACTTCCGACTACGACTGGTATTCCAAGCTGTCTTGCTCTTCCCGATATTTTCTCGAAGCGCATTCTCAGCAGGTGATATCTTGCACGTACCAGTGTCAGCTGCAGATGAATAGCAATTTGGCATTCTTTGCTCAACGCTTGACGTATTGAAGTCGCCGGGTCCGCAGATCAACCCTGACACACCGTCTATAGAAAGGCTGCTTTCATCGAAACCTGGCGTGGGAGTATGGCTACCGTTCATCCGTTTCGAGCGGCAGGCGACTACCCCTTGTGCAAGCCGGAGCCGGAACTTCGGCCAATATGATACCGAAAGCGCTGACTAGGCGTATGGCGGACACTTGTTTAGTGTTAGTGCGTGTGCGGGTCAACGAACCATCTCTTGAGACATTCACTGAACTCAGCAAAAGATCAATTGATGATATACGTCCGAACAGCTGTGCACGATTATGGTAGCCTGATTGTTTCAAGGTTTCTTGACAAACGTTGGACTGCTTGAGTTCCGAGGGTGTGTATGGTGATGGTGATGAAGACATGCTCGTATCTGCACGCTCATCAGCGTATGGAGAAGACCCGTATGGCTGTTGCACACGTGCGGGTATGGATGATGCGATGACCGGCGGTGAGTACTTGTGGATGGTATCGTTCATGTCTCGTGATGCTGAGGGCCGTGGCAACTAGCCATTGTGGACTTTGTCAAGGGCAGGTTGGTTGTAGTGGAAGATAAAAGCGCAATAGGGTCAATTCGCGTTAGTAGATTGGCGGCTTCAGTACGATGTCGAGCACAATATTAGAGGAGGAGAGCGCTCATATACCCGTCACCGGCCTTTACATCGGCCGCCGTTATCCAAGTCCACGTTTTGCCGCCGCACTGATACCGGTGAAATCCCCGTAATCACCACTACTCATTGTGCGGATCACCTCGCTCAAGTGCACGATCTCAGGAGAACGTAACTAGCAATTCTCTAGAACACTGCATCCTGATAAGCAATCCCTTCAAACCAATATGATAGTTTGTTCTCGGAATGTGCTGTTGCGAACCGCTTCGCCGTTCATAACCCCATCGAAATAGCAGTCGCCAATGAATTGGTAGTATCCTTCAGGCGCCATCTCAGACCGGCGATCCTCCCTGAACTCATACCGCCCATAGTCTCTGAAAGCTTCCTCATCCAAGGGCCTTAGTGCTTGTTTCCCATCTCGATCTAGATGAGCGGGTCGTAGGATAAACGGTACTCTTCCACCGTCCAAGACCCATACCTCGTCCCCAATACAAGTTCCCGGATAACAGAGACCGTGGTCATCATTTTCAGCTTTGAAATAGCATCGGCCATGTGTTGACATGAAAAGGCTAGAGTTAAGCGTGTAGCTCAGCTGATCGATCTCTTCTCTAAGCCATGCTAGAAACTCGGCCAGTAATGATATCGCTGTTGGGACGAACTTGTCCCAGTCCTCGAACCCGATACCAGCTTTTATTCCTGTGCCTCCTAGCAGTGTCCGCCAAAGACTCATGACAATATTTGGATCTTCGCACGTATTGCCTGAGGCGCTGGCGTAGGCTGGTTTATGCATGACGTCCCAGTCAAGCGCTTCCAACATCCATCGCCTGAAGCTGTTTCTCATATCATGGCGCTCGAACATGGAAGCTCTGGCTTGAGAGGCAAAAGCGACGATTCCTACACGCCTACCTACTGTCTCGAGTCCCACCTGGCTCGCCTTATCGCTCTCTGGTCGCGCACGAGCCATAAGCAACACGGAGTTCGACCTATGACTATTGCAAGCATTATAGATGCCGGAATTGTGCAGTATGAGCCTGTCCCAAGCGATACCAGCCTCTATATAGTTGGAAGGCGCGTCAAAGTTGCGCACCCACGTCGCCCACTTGCCCGGTGCTGGACCATATTGAGGACCTGTTAGACTCTGCAAAGTACCTCCGCTGACGGAAAGCATACTGTAAGTAGCCTGAAAGAAGACTTCGCTTTTAGATAGAGTGTAATCAGGCGTAAGAAACGAGTTCCCAGCTATGCCTAACAGCCCGTATACCTTGTCGCGGGGATCCTTACACTCTCGGTAGCCAAATGCTGTGTGCCGTTCATACAAGTTGTCTTCAAACTCACTACCTTTGCGATCCCCGTAGAAACTCACAGCTAGACGGCAAAACATTTCTGCTGTCGATCTGATAATCATCGGTAATTGCAAAGCGGCATGTTGACAACAATCTTTGAGGAAGTGCCCGAAGTAACTCTGCCCAGCAGCGATGACACTTTGAAGTGACATTGTCCATGTGTCATAGGTCAAGAGGCCCGTTTTGGGTAAGATGGCTTCTTGGACGGTCCACATGCGTGTCCACCATGGACTACGTTCGATAGCGAAGAATGCTTCGTAAATGCTGTCGAAGTTACGGTTTGCGTCGTATGTGACTGCATCGCCCTTTTGGCTACCCTGAGTCGGAAACCATGGCCATTGGTGGATGTGCTTATCTTCTGCCAGCATACGTAGAAGTCCTAATGGATGTACTCCTTCCAAGTTTTCATCTGCTGCGTTGCTCGCTGACAGCGAAGATCGTCCAAGATGGCATTGCGAGGCATCACATCCCAACCAAATTCGTACTCGAGCGCATTCGCGATATATCCGACCCATGAGAGCCACTTGGTGCGACTTTTCTATCATGTCCGATTGATTGATACAAACAGCATCCACCCAGAGTGTAAGATCGTTTTCCACGTCCCGCAAGTGCCGAAGCGCCTGCTCGAGGTTCAAGGTAACTTGAAACGCAGAGCCATCGACCTCTATCGACCTCGTGGCGGTTGGGTCCCCCCATGTGTATGACAGAGCCTCGTAAGAGGGCTCCTCGCGAAAGCTGACTGTCCGCAGGTTACATCGAATGGGATCTGATGCATTACCTGCATAGACAGTAAGAACACGCAGGTATTCCCTATCATGCGGTAAAGGCTTGTGGACAGGGTGGGTTAGCACCGATATGGCTACATTGGTATACGAACATTCCATGGGGCCCAACAAGGCACGATCCCAACGGCTAGGCACCAGTTTGCAGTCGCTTGATCTTCTTCGTTGTATCTCAAAAGGTTTTCGAGTAAGCAATCGGCGTATATTCGGTAGTAACGAGATCGTCCTTTGTTCCCGTAGAAAGCTGTTACTTTGTTGAGAAGCAGCCTTGGAGAGGATGCGCCCTACCCCGTGCTTACTTCAAATGGTACACCCCGCCATGATCACATGAGACGCCTACGCGCCACATCTCAGCCTCCAGCTACTCTTCTCAACCCTTCCTTGCTTCACCTCTTTCCCAGATAAAATACGCACACATCCATAGACAGCACCTTTCCGCTTTCCGTTCTTACCGTTCTTACCGTTCATGAAAAGCGCAGTCGCAATGTCGATCCCCTGCTTACCCCGCCTTACCTCCGCTCCTACAAGTAACGATGCCAGGGACAAGCGAAGCGCAAGGCTAATTTCCACGATACACCTACGGGCACCTGCAGGAAAAGAACGGCCCACTAGCGCTGAATCAGGCGGCAAGTCCGTCCCAACTAGCTCACCCTTTGCCCCTTCGAGACGGAACACCTTAGCCCACGCCAATAGACTTTTAGCAACCTTGGAAGAGACGCCCGAGTTTGACATGTGCGACTGCGACGCGGGGTGCGATAAGAGCAACAACGACCGCATCGATTCAACATCTGCTTCTGGGATTTCGGGACGTCTCGGAAACTCGCGGCTATCGTCCATATCTTCGCGGCGTTATCGTTGGAACAGCGTTTTTCATTAAGAGACAGAAACCAGCTAGTGCGCAGAGCGCTTTGGAGAAGAACAAAGTTGTCCATAACATCGGTTCAACACCTGCTCCAGGGGCTCGCGCACGGGATTCGGGCACCTCACGGCTATCCGTCTGTTGTTGTTATTTTCCTGCGTTACCATTGACAGCAGCGCATATATTTCAAGAGACGGGTACCCCTTTCACGCAGCGCGTCCTGGATGTCCGAGGAACAAAGTTGTCGGCAGCATCCGTACTAAGCCAGCGAACATGGCCGACTTATCGCACACCCGAACCCACGATGGCATGCTTGAGAACGCAGCGCATACAGGCCTTTCGGAGGACGTTGCGCCCGAAGACGAAGAACTAGGCAACTCGTCATCCTCAAGAGCAGTCGTCTTTGCAGATGTCGAAAATGCAGGAAGCGACGGAGCACGTGAGCAGCCACCAAAACGCAAAAAGCGAAGATTGGGATTAGGGAAGAAGAGGGAGAGTTACAGCCATACGCACTACAAAGTGTACAAGAGACGCTGGATTGGCCTGGGACAATTAGTGTTGTTGAATATTGTCGTCAGTTGGGATTGGTTGACTTTCGCCCCCATATCTACAACCTCATCTCTCTACTTCCGTGTCCCAGAATCAACTATCAACTGGCTCAGCACCGCCTTCCTCTTCGCCTTCGCTGCCACTTGTCCCTTGACTATCTATCTGCTCCACCGCGGCCCCAAACCATCCATCATCGCCGCCTCCATCTTACTCCTAGTCGGAAACTGGATCCGGTACGCGGGCACCAAGACAAACGTGTTCAGTGTAGTCATGGTGGGGCAGATATTAACGGGGTTGGCGCAGCCATTTGTGTTGGCGGCGCCCACGAGATATAGTGATATGTGGTTTACGGAAGGGGGACGAATTGGAGCGACGGCTTTGGCGAGTTTGGCGAATCCGTTTGGGGCAGCGGTATGTATTTTTACAAAGAGAGAGATAGAAAGAGAGAGGAGTGATGATCGCTGACAGAATCCCTAGCTTGCGTCGTTGATAAACCCATTCTTGGGGGATGTACCGACTACGGTATTGATAGTCTCATGTATAGCAACCGCTGCATGCATCCCAGTAGGTTTTCCTCTCCTCTCTCCATGCATCCTCTGTTCTCCGATGATAGATCTAACAACCACAACAGTCCTTCTTCATCCCTTCGCGCCCTCCAACACCGCCCTCCGCCTCCTCCGCCATAAGCAAAATCCCCGTCTTAACCTCCCTCGCCACTATGCTACGCACCCCTTCCTTCTATCTCGTTTTCTTCACCTTTGGCATCTACACAGGCTTCTTCAACGCCTTCACTTCTCTTCTAAATCAGGTCTTGTATCCGTACGGCTATACAGAAGACGAAGCCGGCATCTGCGGTGCGGTGCTCATCGTTGTCGGATTAGTAGCGTGCGCCATCACTTCCCCGATTGTAGATCGGACACACGCGTACCTGGTCGGAATCAAGATTCTGTGTCCCGTCCTATCGATAGCTTATCTAGCGATGATTTGGGCGCCGCAGACACGTACTATTGTCGCGCCATACGTGCTGTCTGCGGTGTTGGGCGCATGTTCCTTTTCCCTCCTACCCATTGCGTTGGAATACCTCGTGGAAATTACCTTCCCGGCTTCCCCAGAAGTCTCGTCAACGATATGTTGGGTAGGTGGCCAAGTGTTTGGCGGTATCTTCATCGTTATTATGAACGAGCTCAAGGACGACAGGCCTGTGGATCTGGACGCTGTACAAAAGGCGGGCAGGGGTGAGGCAGCGCGAGGAGGGGATAGACCGCCTGGGCATATGTTCTGGGCTTTGGTCTTCCAAGCGGTCATTTGTGCTGTGGTGTTGCCATTGCCGCTTATGTTGGGAGTGGAAAGGCTGGGGTTTGCGAGTCGGGAGGGAAGATTGAAGAAGGATGTTGACGGCGATAGTGTTGTTGTTGGTGGTGGGGAAGCGCGTGATGAGAGTCTTCAGGGAGCGGGAGCGGGAGCGGAGCAATGACTCTTGGAGGATATGGATTCTGGTGAGGATTACGAGGATGATGATGACGATGACTAGGGATTCTCTCTTTGTGGGCTGGGGGGTTGCTTGTCAGGGTGATTCGGGTTGAAGAGACGGACACGGTTTCCTTGGCTCGGCTTTGTCATTTTCGTAATGGGGTTCATGTCCGCAGACGGTTAACATATTAGTTTGCATCGTTCGCACGGTGCAACCGTTCGACTTGAGATAGAAGTACAGTGATATTCTAAACACGACTCTAGTATGTACAGTCATCCATGCATGTAATATGTCTTGATGCTTGCATTCATTCCGAAAGGGCTACGTTCCAACTATTTCTACCAACAAACGGGTATTCGCTATAGCAGGGCGAGGATCGGCTGGGGTCAGTTTACTTGAGCTGAGCGAAAAGCTTGGGGGCGGCGCATTGGGATGCGCAGTGAGCAAGGTGGAAAACTGTAGTCTCGTTAGAGGTCATGGTCCGTGTGCGGAGTTGGCTGCCGACGTACATTCTTCAACGCAGTCCTCGCTGGCCTTGCCGTCGTTCTCAATCTGGCCTGTTACCCGTTGGGCGCACTCGTCGTAGTGGTGCTTGGGGCCGTGGCATTCCTTTGATTCAGCGCATTCTGGATGAGGTGGTTAGCCACGGTCCTCTCTGCAATGGCTCTATGCATCCGGTGCTCTGGGCTTGTTGGACTTGTCATGGATATGTCCGAACTAGACCGTTGCGCTCTAGAGACACAATTGGCCTCTCAAGCAAAGGGCTGGCCATTTGTGGGTCCTAGGATAACTCACCCTTCTCAAGTTGTTCCTTGGGGTCGGGCGTCTCCTCCTCTTCCTCCTCCTCCTCAGGCTCCTCGTCCTCATCATCGCCCTTCATCTGACCGGTGGGCTTGTGTCCCTGCTCTCCAGAGTCGCCGCCTGACTTCGCATCCTGCTTGTTGACCTCGGCCTCTTCGCCGCTCTCCTCGTCGGTGCCGGAAGCGGGTGACTGGGTGCTAGTGCCACCTTGGACAGGCGGTTGGCCATCGGCGTCGGCCGAGGGGTGGGAGAAGGTCTCCCAGACGTCGGTGAAGAAGTCGGTGATACCCATTGTGAATGCTCCGGGGCAATTGGGGGTCCTCGAGTTGGGATGGGGGTGGTGCGGAGGAGTTGGGAGATGGTTTGGAGAGCTGCGAGAGGTGTCATGCCCGGCATCGCGAAAATGGGCAGTGCACGGGCCACGCCTGAGGTTAGCGGCGTCATGTAATTCTAAGCCATCTCAGTGGTCTCATGCACATTCACGACAACATCCGACAATTTGTCTTTGGCAACTAGTCTTCAATGTACAGGGTGATTGGACTAGTTTCTGTGCCTCTTGAACGCCTCCTCCACACTAACACCGCGCCCGACATCCGCAGTCACCTTCTCGTCCGCCTGGACAAGCTTAGGCAGTAATTGGAGCAATTCTTCCACTTTGCCCTGTGGCACCGCGACCACGCCATTCTCGAAGGGATCGATCATGATGATATCGCCGGCCTCAACCACCGTCTCGCCAATCCTCACGGGTACATTGTGTGCATGAAACTTGGTCTCGGCTCCTGCGCCTATGACAGATGTCGACTTGGACCAGATGGGAAGCTGCGTCTGGTTCAGAGCAGTAATGTCTCGCACCCGACCATCGACGACAATGCCCTCTGCGCCGAGATGCTGCATACGAGCTGCCATGATGCCTCCAACGACTGCACACGACTGTCCTGGAGGCTGGCTGATAACTACAATGGTGCCGCTCTCGGTGTAATCTGCATACGGCCTAGAGTCTGAAAGATTGGAAGCTGGCATGCCATCCGGCATCTTGGGTGGGGTCGGGAAAGACTTTGTCGCTTTCGGAATCATTAGAAACGTCGACGCAGGCGCAAGAACCTTTCTGGGTTCGAGTTTTGGGATGCTGGCTGTATGAAGCAGCGGCCCTGGAGAGAGAGTCAATAACTTATAAGACATCATGATCAATTAGGTGGATCGTACTGATGTCGGCGAGGAAGCCTGCACCGGGGACATGCAGCTTTAGTAGACCATCAGCGAGCTACGAGAGTTTAGCTACAAGCCCAGGTACAGACGAGGTAAGCGTACATCGCATGCTGCATATTCATACAGCTTCTTCCACCTTGGAGCAGTCATGGTCGTATATCAGTGGTATGATCCGTGAGATAATGTATGTGATGTGATCATGAAATGCGGTGCGCTATGAGGCTGCTTACCCCGCCAGCCGAGGTGCACCGTTGTCTGGGAACTGCATCTTCTCCAACCTTGAGTTAAACTGCGCTGCAAAGCTCACGCGTATACTGCGACACGGAAAGATGAGTATTTAGGATTCTTAAGTCCGTCGGCTACACTTGCTTCACCTACGTCATTCAGCTATTCGCAATGGGACTAAAGATACGGCCGCACAGGTGGCACCATGTTAGTCGAGCGAGAGCAGTGTGAAGTTTTGGCAGTGCTTATGTCACCCCGATGTCGACACGGCGGCAACGTCAGATGTATCGCCAAGCGGACATATGCAAGGGTCTCTCGGATTGACGATCCATCTGAGCACTGGCCTATTCTGCCGCTTTCCATACGGTGCCTCACCATCCACAACCAGTGGCCCATCACCGCCACGACTTGACCAACGCCCACGCGCTTTCATTTCTTTCCCTACATCTGGTACTCTACATAGACTTTGCGGCCTCTGCCGCTGCTTAATCTCCTGATCTGGCCTTGCACGCGGCCGGCGCTGTGCAGGTACGTTTTGCCACGAGTTCCGACATCGCGTCATTGAACCCCTACTGACAAAGATATAGAACATCGCTTCTGTCACCTTGGACCTGTGGCCCACCATGTCTACTGTCATGCGATCCCAGTGGCAGGCCCTCGGGCGAAAGCCCGTGGCTGCCGGTGTGAGACAGCTCTCTACTATCAAAGCATCTGAGTCTATGCCCATAGCTGGCGCGCATATGCTTCGCTCAGCAACGTCGTTCTCGCAGGCTCCCCAATCCATATCTATCACGTCTGGCACATCTACAGGTTAGTCGCCAAGGAGGAATAACATGGCAAAACATACTGATACTCTGCAGCATCGCGCGTCGGACTGTGCAACCCCTTCGCCATGACCTCGCCCTTCGGTTCTCTCAAGACACAGCAATACTCCACCATGTCGCGCAACGGCCCTCTGTCGCATATCCGCCACCTGACAAAGCCCGGAATGCTCGGATTGAATCTCGTCCAACAGCGCTCGCTTTTCGGTAAACCATCTTACGACCAACTCGCTCGGCTCGAACAGGCTGCGAACGCCAACCCCAACAGCGTACCGTCTCAGGCTTCCTTCTACTCTGCACTCGTGCGCGCGGACATGCACCAAGTCATCATCGATCGGTACAACACGGGACGTTTTGCCACAAGCGCTATAATCGATAAGATGTATAACAACGCTTTGGCAAAAATGGGACAAGAAGGCGGCGAACAATCAGGTCTTAGTGCGCAACAACGGCAGGCTATCACCCAGGCTGTCGGTGCCAATGCCGGTAATGCTCAGGTCGCTAGGACTACGGGCGGCACTGGCGTCAAGGCAGACCCGGTTTACGTTGTTGTGGAAGAGTCTCTGATGAATGTCATCTTCAAGTGGGTCCGGTGGATCTGCGGTTTCGCTCTGGCTGCCTACGTCTCCCTCATTCTCATCACGCTTTTCGTCGAGACCAGCGGTGTCCTCAAGAAGGTCGGCGGCGGTAACACTGCTGAAGTCCGCCCTGAGCAGCAAACCACGCGCTTCAGCGATGTCCATGGCTGCGACGAGGCCAAGGAAGAACTCTTGGATGTTGTCGACTTTCTTAAGAACCCTGATAAGTACAACAAGCTCGGTGGCAGGTTGCCCAAAGGTGTACTTCTAGTCGGCCCTCCTGGTACTGGTAAAACACTGCTTGCTCGTGCTTGCGCGGGAGAAGCTGGTGTTCCCTTCTTCTACATGTCTGGTTCTGAGTTCGACGAGGTTTACGTCGGTGTCGGAGCAAAGCGTGTCCGTGAACTCTTCACAGCTGCTCGGTCCAAGGCCCCTGCCATTGTCTTCATCGACGAACTTGACGCCATAGGTGGAAAGCGCAAGTCGCGCGACGCCAACTACCACCGCCAAACCCTCAACCAGCTTCTCAACGATCTCGATGGTTTCGATCAAAGCACTGGTGTCATCTTCATCGCTGCGACTAACCACCCTGAACTTCTTGACCAAGCTCTACTTCGTCCTGGACGTTTCGATCGCCACGTTCAGGTTGAACTCCCCGATGTGGGTGGCCGACTTGCTATCCTAAAGTACCACACTAAGAAGATCCGCCTTTCTCCTGATATTGACCTCTCTTCCATCGCCCGTGGTACCCCAGGATTCTCCGGTGCTGAGCTAGAGAACCTCGCAAACTCCGCAGCTATCCGCGCTTCTAAACTCCAATCAAAGTTCGTTTCACTCAACGACATGGAATGGGCCAAGGACAAGATCACCATGGGCGCTGAAAAGAAGAGCCGCGCCGTCCCCCTTCAAGACAAGATCCACACTGCTTACCATGAGGGTGGCCACGCGCTTGTCGGTCTCTTCACTCAGGGCTTCAACACCGTCCACAAGGCGACCATTCTTCCCAGAGGCCACGCCGCGGGTATCACATTCTTCCTCCCACAAGAAGACCACCACCACACTCGCAAACAATACATCCGTCAACTCCAAGTCGCCATGGGCGGCAAGATGGCCGAAGAAATCGTATTTGGTGCGGACAACGTAGCTGACGGCGCTTCGGGCGACATCCAGCAAGCAACATCCCTAGCCTACAACATGGTCACCGCCTGCGGTTTCTCCGACAAACTAGGCAATGTTGACTTCAAATCCAACTACGAAATGGTATCACCAGAAACCAAACGGCTCATTGATGACGAAGTAAGGAGGTTGATTGATGAGGCGAAGAGCAGTGCGAGACAGCTTCTGCTGAGTAAGCGCGCAGAGCTGGATAAGCTTGCTGATGCGCTGGTGCAGTATGAGACGTTGGACAAGGACGAGATATTGAAGGTCATCAAGGGAGAGGATCTGCCAGGACGGCTTAAGGCGATGCCTAATGCGCCGATAAAGATTCCAGATAACCCACTTCCCACAGCGATATTACCGCCACCGAGGGGTAATGGGGGGGATGGGAGTGGTCCGCCTGGGCCACCTCTGCCTGCGTAGTCGGCAGGGGAGTGGTGAGCATATGTTTATGAAAACAGGTGAATGGCGTTGCATTCGGCCTCTTTCCTCGCTTCGTTGGGGGGACTTTTATTGTACAATAGTAAGCATGAATCAGCTTCCAGAAGCGAAAAGAGCTACTCTGATCAAGTTCAATGGCATGGATGATGGTGATACGGAAATGTGAAGGGATGAATGAGAGGGTAGAGGGAAGAACTAAACTGATGATCATGGAGAAGGAGGGAGATAAGAAAGAAGATAAGGATCAATGTGTTAAGCCATCTCCGTCTTCTAATACTGACAAGAGTGACATGACTGTCGCATGCAAGTACGACCAATAACACAGGGCAAACTGTTATTGAACATGATGATTATGGTGCTTGTTGTCGTTACACGGGTAGGACCATACAAGAACGTTTACACAGTCTCTCTTAGCATCAGCACACAAAATAAACGTTAATAGTGCCTTTTGATCTGCACGGGAGACTACTCTGCTCCTATGTTTATCCACGTCGCCTTTTCCTTTGCTTTATCAGAACGATGTCGAAAAGCTGATACGGGACCTTATCTGAGCTTCGCCTCTGAAACCTTATGGGAGATGCTAGGAGATTCGTACATACCAAGGGCAACCAAGAACTATGGCGGAAGGTAAAGCCTGAAATGGGTCCAGTGCATCTAGTATAATCACAAAATAGTCGAACATATGTATGACTGGTACGAGCACATGAAACTCATCGCACAAGTGTGTCTCGATGACACCTCATTCCAACCCCACTACAGCCTCCTGGAGTGCGATTCTGGACTCTTCGCAAGGATCTTCATTACTGTCTGTCGGTATGCCATCATCGCGGCTGCGTAGTTGCACCGCCAAGTCAGCGATCTTTTCTATACAGCTTAAGATCAGTGGTTCAAAGCGAGGTGAATGCAATAAAGAGGTGTAACATTGCTAAGGTGGTGGATGTGACACCGTACGAGCTATGGGGACTGTAGAAGTGCGATGTTTTAATGGACAATGTTGGGAGGCTGAACTACCAACATTGCACATGACCCTGTATTAAGTGTTAGGTTGTCGATTGCGACGTGTGACAATAGACACTTCCGGCCCCTTGGTGCGATCTTTGGCGAATTGTACGTCTCTTTTCTTCAAGGTTTCCAAATCGGCTATCGGCAGGGGAGGTAATCTCAAGTGAGAGACTTCTGGGTACCAGCAGGTATTTAGGGCATATGATATATATCTCCTGGTATAGACAGAGCTCCATGTGCACCTCCAGGTCATACATATTAGGTTCAAGAATCATGAGATATGTCTTTGCATTATTGGATAGTAACCTAGAGAGAATAAGTGTGTCTTCTATGCTATTATAGAACGTCTTGCTAGTCAAACTTCAGGGCAAGATATTACGGCTGCTGTACGCGAGGACTACTATTACTACTGCTTTGCTAATCTGCTCTTAGAAGCTCTTCTTAACAAAATCCTCCAAGCTAGTCAACTTCTGACCAGGTATAGCCTCAATGTACAAATTATGCTCTTGCTGCTTAGCAGGAGCGTCCTTCCCAAAGTAGCTGTAGTCCTTGATCAAGATCATGTTCTCGCCAAGCTCCGTCTTTGCGTGAGGTGGAAGCGGCAAATACCCCTCCCATACATCCTTGGGTACCTCCACAAAGGTGACTTTGGTGCCCGTGATCGTAGATATGGTACTGACCACATCGGCAGGAGTCGCCCATTGCGAAACGCCTTGGATCCTAGCACCATCGGCAGCAGATCCGAGAACCAAGGCACCAGCGACGTATTTTCCAGCGTCGGAAACGATGTCGATGAGCGGGACTTGGGTGCTAGTCTCGTCCCAGGGGATGGTCATGATGGAAGCACCTGTCTGTGGGTCCTTGTTGATAGTGCTCTTGAGGTTTTGCATAAAGTATCCAGGCATGAAGTGAGTGACCCACATTCCTGTCTTGGACTTCTGGGCCTCTGCGTACTCGGAGACTTCAGCTTTGGAGTCAAAATGCTCGACATTGGGAAGAGCGCCGTTTGTCAGGGCAGTGACGTCGGGAAGCGAGGAGATGATAAGATGTTTGACCCCGGTGGCAATGGCGGCATCCACAATGTTCTTCCCCTGTGTGATTTCGGTCGACTTGGACATTGTCTCCCAGTAGTTGGTGACGGCGAAGACAGCGAACGCACCATCGAACGCAGCTTTCAGAGATGAAGGATCGTTGAGATCGGCCTTGATGGGCTCTACGCCATCAGATATGAGTTTCTTGGCAGAGGGCTTCGCAGTGTCGCGAGTGACACCGCGGATCGAGTACTGAGAGGCAATCTCAGGGTGAGCCAGAAGAGCTGCGATGACAGAACCTCCTTGGTTGCCAGTCGCACCCAAAACAGTGATGATCTTCTTGGACGACATGTCGATAGTTTATTCGAGTGGGCAACTAGGTTGTTTAAATGCGATATTGAATCTGAATGGAAGATGGTTTGGAGTGTAAGTGGAAGGTTGTTAGTGTTGAAGATGATAAATGTCCTTTGGCCGTACCAACGTGGGATATTTAAGAGGGATCGCTACATAGGCTCAAACATAGTAAATGGATCAAGCTGACAATACAGCTCCATACTGTTGCTTCGGAAAGCGACGAAAAGTGTCCGCCTGATTATCCAACTGTCTCGCTGCTCGGTCTCGGACAAGAGGTCCTTGGGCAACATCAAGAATCCGAGCAAGAGTAAGCACCATATGATCTTGACCAATCAGTGTAAGGACGAATCTGATCCGGCACAGTTTGATCCGATTGGGCAGATTCCAGGAAGCCAAGGCCAGAGCGGAATCGCACAGCGGAAGGAGTGCGCAAATGAGAAGTGAAAACGGCTGACAAACCACTAGCCTCAGATAAGGTTGTCGAACATAACGAAAATGCTAACATTTTCCGTCTATCCCTAAGTTATAATCGACAACTCTCTGAAATTCGTCGCATTGTACCAAGTGCTTGCTCGACGGGTGGTAACTGTGATGGCGGTGGCAAACTGCGAGGATGTTCTGGCTCCTGAGTGTACCTGGCCTGCAATTGCCAAGAAGGCGCGGGAAGTTCTCAAGCCTCCGGGTTATTGCGCTTGTACCGCCACTAAGCCAATTACGGACTAACTGCTGTACACACGCTTTCACGCGCTCTGATCACTTCGTCCATTGCTAACGATATCTTATTCAGCCACAATACCGACGGAAGATTTAGTTTCGGTTTGTACAGATCTAAAGTCCATAATTCTGGTTGTAAGCATCGGTCGGGAGAAAACATTCCTGCGCGAGAGCTGACCAATACGGAGATCTCCTACTTCCCGAGTGAATCTTGTGTTTTGGACGATTTTATTAACGGGGTAGTGTGTATAGGTTCATAAGCACTCACCAAGTGTGACTATGTTTCTCAATCTTACAATATCTTTGTTGCTCATCGCTAAACGGTTTTCGAGCATCAAGGCGAATCGGTTCCTCGCGTCAGATTGTAGCACCGAGCTAGTTTGACTGCACATTTTTTCCCACTGAAAGCACGATAGAAGATGGGTTCCCGTGTTGTCGCAGTTGCTGGCGGTACGGGTAAGCTTGGTCGCGCTATTGTCGATGAGCTAGTTGCATATGGGGGCTACAAGGTCTTCGTTCTGAGCCGCGAGGCAAGTATCTTCCAGGAACGCACAAATCGGAATGCCTCTAAGTGCTAACTTCAGATTGATCCGCAAACCGCAAATATACTTGGAGCCGAAATTTTGGCCACCGATTACAACGATGTTAGCAGTGTTGTCAAGCTGCTCGATGCCAACAACATTGACACTGTCATCTCCACCTTGGGCGCCACGTTCGGCACAGACTCAGAACTGGCGCTTATTCAAGCATCGAAGGATTCAAGAAAGACTACACGATACATCCCTAGTGTCTGGGGGATTAGCTGTTCACCAGAGTAAGTATTCTGACTTTACCACTTCGTTAAACCTGCCAGATATTAATGCCGTTCTCAGAGCGGCAGCTATCCTCCCTACGATAGGCGAAAAGATCGGCTATCTCGAAGTCCTCGCAACTACATCCTTAGAATACACTGCAGTATCGAACGGTATCTTTCTGGACTACTACGGGTTTCCGAAGGTGAGATCATATCTGGGTAACTTACCCCGAGTAATCGATATGGCTGGAAACGCTGCCGCCATTCCTGGATCCGGAGATGTGCCCGTTGTGTTTACCTACAGCTTCGATGTGGGGAGATTTATTGCTGCATTGCTCTCACAGCCTAGATGGGAGAAGGAGTCGGTCATCATTGGCGACAAAATCACGTGGAATGAGTTTCTCCATCTAGCAGAGGGAGTGAAGGGAGTCAAATTTGACGTCAAGCACGACTCGTTGATGACGTTACAGGAGGGTTGTTCAACAGCATTGCCCAGCCAGAAACACTTGTACCCACATTTTCCGCAACAGAGGCTCGAGCGTATGTGCGCGATGTTTGGTGTTATGTTTGAGAACGGATTTTTCGATTTCAAGAGCGAGGGAACCTTGAACGAAAGATTTCCCGATATCAATACGAAGAGTGTGAAAACCTTGCTAGAAGAGTCATGGGCAGGCAATTAAGACATGCATACAGTTGGACATAGAAGCAAACATGTATCCAACTGAGGACCGACGAAGCTGATCAAATTATTACTTTGGGAACGTGACACTTGTGAAGCTCCGCAACCCATCAATGACCATCCACACTACCTTCTTGCCCGTCTCCTTGCACATTTTTCCATCCCAAAGTGTTTTAAGCAACTCTATTCCCCATTACCGCATGCAATAAGAGTTAGTAAGGTAATCGGAATGGCGCTAACAGAAGAACAGCATATATGTGTTAAACGTATATCGCGTGTAGCAGGCCTGCTTTAGAGAAGTCTCCTAATACACTGCCATCCAGATCTATGAACCGAAACCTATCAACCTTGAAGTCTTATTCATCGTATGTAGTTCCCACACTTCCACATCTAGCTATGGCTGCATACCACATACCCAAGCCTGAACGCCCAGTGCTTCAACTTAGCTCAAATCAAATCCAGCCCCGCTGAAAACACTATACAACAACTTCTCCTTCAGCGTACCCTCATCCTCATACATCGGCAACTTCAACAGGTTGACACACGTACTCGTACTCGGCAATCTACTCTGATCTCTCCCTGCATCCCTGATACTAAACCTCGGATTCAGCGTGCCAAACCCTAGCAGCGGCGCCCGGGGTGTACTAGTAACGAACTTGAGCACCGCACGCCGCTCATCATCGGACATTTCCTTCATGACTTTCCAGAGGAGTTGGATGGTGGGATGTTCAAGGCCGTCGTCGCCGATCACATAGGTACCGCCGTAGATGGTATTCTTGCGCAAGTCTTCAATGTCGATGGAGGTGCGGGTTCCTGAGATGAGGGTTTGGAGTTCAGATTGGTTAAACATGGAGAGCCAAGAGGGTTGGATCATGGTGCTGAGGCCGCGGAGGAATGCGGCGGTTTGGGCGTAGGGTTGGTTCTGCAGACGGTGGCGAGCCATGTAGCTGATGTAGACAAGTCGGTTTTGGTTGGTGACAGGAGTATTGGAGCCATCTGGTTTCAGGTCTTTGGTGATGGCTTTGGTTTTCTTGGGCGAGGTGGTGTGATCTACGATGACAGTGTCGGTCACGGTGAAGTTGAGCGAGAAGTCTTCCACGTCACCCGGGTAGGTTTTTAGCTTGTGGAGGCCTTGGTACAGCTCTTCGTCTAGATCGCGGAGGTCGTTGAGGGTGGGACGGTAGCCGGACTCGTTGGGGGCGGAGCCGGTGCCACCTGTGAGCGCCCACTTGCGCAGGAAGAACGGCGCAAAGTTGACGTCGACTAGAATGCCTTCATAGAGACATTTACCGATGATACGTCCAAGGAACTCGTAGCGCTGCAGCAGCTCAGTAATTTGAGCACGATACTCCTGCGAACCCTCACGTAGACCAGCCTGTCGGAGAGCCTCTTTGTGTTCTTCGACTGCTGCAGGGTTTGGATATAACAGATGTTGGTCGTTCTCAACAAACATGTCGATGTAGTCCGTTGGCATGAACGCTCGATTAGTGACACTGGTCAGGAACTCCTTGGTGACGCCGCCACCGTCGATACCAGCCTCAGGAGCGCCGAATTGATCCATGAAGGTAATCTGGATTGGTTCCTTCAAGCCTTGACCCAACTCATAGAACTGTTCAAAAGCATCGTCAAATTCGTTCTCTCTCCTGATCCTTGCTGTGTGTTTCTCTAGTTGACTTCGTGCGTTTGGCTGCTGCATGGTCCGGAACCGCCAGAACTCAGGATCAGCAGATCCTCTTCGCTTGATCATGTCGAGCTTGACGAACTCGCGGAAGATCTGGACCCGAGTGGTGAAGGGTATGAAAAATGGCATGTTCTGGAGGATTTCGAGACGTGGCGCCACAGCTTGCAGGTACCGTCTCCGCGAGGCCTTGCGTTGTTGCCGTTGTAGTTTCTCCAAGCGCCGTTGTTGTTGCGTCCGACTAGTGCCGATGAGTTGTGGTGTATCATCAAACTCTTCTTCTTCCAGATCGTCGTGATCGTCTGCGTCTTCCTCTTGAATCTTGTGCCGCGACTCCTCCTCTTCAACTACAGCCGGAATGAACCCAGTCATGTCGAACCGCGAAACCATCAACCAGTGATCTGAAGGCAAAAACTTGCGCCGCGAGTCCCGTTCGTATACCATGCGAAGAAGTCCAGTCACCAAGCCTTTGACATAATCAATCCTCAAGCCCGCGACACCACCTATCGATGGCTCAGTATGCTCTTTTTGGGCTTGGTTGTCCATTAATTGCGGGTTGAAGTAGTTGAGGCTTGTACCGTTACTTCTAGTATCCTCTTCCGAGCTTGTAATGTCTACTGCGTTAAAGTAAAGCGTGAAGCCTAAGTTCTTCAGGAAAGTCGTTAAATCCTTCACCTCGCTCAAGGGCAAGCCACTATCCCGAATCTGGCCAGAGTAGACGTCCTTTTGTCCGGATGTGAAAAACTCCTCGTCATCGGTAACTTTGAGTACAAACGTATATAGTTCAAGGAACACTAGAATGACCCGCCACTCGTCGGTGGTGACTGCATCGCGATCTACCTGTTGTTGCGCTGGCTGCCAGAAACCATGATGCGTCAGTCCAGATGTCCCTGGGCGGTCGGAGCCATTTGTGTTCGACGACTTTGGCTTCAGTAGTCCGATAGCTGCCCGTGAATCCTTGAATATTGTGGTGAACACTGATGATCGTTTCGATGCCTCCCAGAAGTATCTGATCGCTGGAAGCTTCCTCGTACTTTTTCCAGACGCTTCCGATGGGCCAATGTACAGCCACATCCGTATCTCGTCGCCCCGGCGAGGAAAGAATCGAAGTAACGCGAGTGCGTAGTTTGCAAGCTGGCGCGCTTCATCGATCTTCTCATCGTCTGAAGCTTCGGGTGACTGTGAAGATCCGGCTAGGAGACTGCCAATGCCTTCCTGGTGTACCAGCGAGCCAACTTGCTCTCTGAGGAAACTTGACACTGCCCCGGAGTCTTCTTCGGAGCCGTCTTCCGAAAGCTCGGCGATCGGATGACCATCATCGACAATGCTGACTGGCAGGGAGTTTAACAGGACAGAGACGACGGCTACGAAATCTTTGTGGACGGCGTACGCTTCGAGGGTGTCAAAGTTGTGGGCGTAGCGGTGGAGGTAGATGAAGTTTCCCAGCAATCGCAATCGACTTGACGCGCTCTTCAACTCGGCTTTGCTTTGTAGTCCCGTCTTCTTGGACAGAGTTGCTAGTGCATTGGCGAGGAGTTTGTAGTTGATCGAGTCGGCAAGCGAGTCGCGGAACTTTTGTAAGTACGGTGACGTCGAGTCTGATCCTAATATCGGTGAAGTCAAAAAGTGTATCCCAAAAGCTTCATAAGCTTCTAGTGTGTAGCCAGTCACCCGCTTCATCGGTGAGATGGCCGCTCTGCCCACGGTATCACTTATGTCTGACCCGTCGTTGTGTGCTTCGAGTATTGGGGTAAACGTGGATACGACAAGTGCGAGGGTGCGGTAGTATTGTTCGGCGTTCTGGGACGTTTCGGCGGGAATTTGGTCTGCGAGAAACTGTAATACGACTACAGAGGCTCTAACCTGCTGCCATTGCACTAACGAGGTCTTCTGAAGCTGCCGTTGCATGGCGACCAGTAATATCCGCTGCAGCCTTAGATATGCCCACGGCCACGGCCCGCTCGAAGTAATGCCCAGCTTCTTGACTGTTTCCAGCTGCCGTGATGCAAAGTGCTGTATCCTTCTCACATCCTCATCGCTTCGTGAGGAAGCGAAGCGAAGCAGACGCTGTAATTGAGCCAAGGCTTCATCTTCCGATTCGTATGCCACCATATGCGAAGCGCCGTTCGATTCCTCTACTCGATCCCACGCACCCCGTAGCTCATCTGCCACATCTCTCCTGGCGGAATGACCCCGCCATACCTTCTGTATCCGCTTAGCCGCATTCAACGTATCTCGTTCTCGCTGTCGTTGCGCTCGATCTTGCTGTGCACGGTCGAGAGCGGCTTGTGATCCGGCACCGGAGCCGGGAGGGCCGAAGGGATTTGTCTTCTTTCCGCCGAGGTTTACTTGTCGCGCCTTTCGCGTGTTGCCTGTGAAGCTGGTAAACATGGTGGCGGGGTGCTCGAATGAGGCGGATGCGAGATGGCGAATCGGAATATGTATAGGGTTGATTCGACCTGGGGGCAGGCTGAGATTGTACCGAAGTCGGCTGGTCTGTACAGAGAGTATTAGATTAGTCGTGAATGTGTCGCGCAACAGTTATAATGGTGAATGTCGACGAGGCCAGCCAAGGCAGCGATCGGTATGGTTCAGGCACTATTGTGACCCATCCGTAGAAGAGAGGGTGCACTCGATGTGGTAATTCGCGTATATAAGGAAGAAGCCGAGTATCTGCCTTCGACCAGTTTCTACGTGTCTCGGGCGGCGGTGATGATGGAGCAACCGACCAAGCAGTAGTCAGCATCGCCGCAGTCACCTCCGAGGACTGTCCGTGCGCGGGTGCCGTCATCGCCTTCCAGCGCGACGCGCCTCACCACTCTGCTAACCCCGTTCACGAACATCGGGAGCATCAGAATCCTGAATTACGCGCAAACAAACATTTCATTATGGACGCGCAAAATCCTCAATGAGGTTTAAAGACGACCTCTATCAGCAATCACCTCATCAGCGACCCTAGCAAGATAATTCCAAAGCTTCCTACCTTACTCTTGATGTGTTGAAGGATCGATTCGGCTCATAGCCATACCCCTGCGCGTACGTGTGGTTTGGTGAAGGGTTTCTGGACACAAGCGGCTCATTCGCTTCATCTTGACTTTCTTTCTTCACGTCTTTCTTCTTCCTCTCTTTGGCTTCAGTCAGTACGTTCATCACAACCGTAATAAGGATTCCCATAGCGATCAGCTGGCCAGAATCCCAGACTATCATCTCAGTATTCGGATCCTCCATCCAACCCGACTTAGCCACCCACTCGCGCATCGTGTAGACCCGGGACCAGCAGAAAGTCGACGTCACCATAGGTGTGAGTAGTACCAATATCCAGTACATGCAAGTAAAGACCGCACGCCTCTTCGTCACGACTTCCGGTATACGCTTCCGAGATTCGGCGAAGCGGAAGGGAACCGAAATGTGCGCAGCAAGAAAGGCGACAACGAGCACGATGTACATGTATCTTTCTGGTGGCCAGCTTGTCGCATCTCCGAAACCGAGCTCGGCCTGGTTCTCCCGTGCTTGCTCTTCTGCCGCAGACCGTAAGTTCATCTCCAGTAGACATGCCACAGGGAGCAGAATGGCGCTGTCCTTCTTCAGATCTTCAAGCGGTCCAACTGGAGCGTAGTTGGCTTCCCTGAAGATGGTTAAACCGACGCCTACGAAAGCTCCAACGGAGAGAGATAGCCGAAAAGCTGCTGCAAATGGGCTTCGCCAGTAAGTTCGCACGAGCGCGACAGAGAGTGTAATTACAGATAGAGCAATCATCATCTGACTAACGGCTACTGTGAAGTGGTAGCTTGTCAGCTTACACTTATTCCGGCCAGCGAATCCAAGAAGGAAGGCTCCGACGAAGATGGTCTGAGTGTCTGCGACACCCAAGACAAACGTTCGGCCTGCCGCACGCACTTTGTCTTTCCAATCCGGATCTGCGTTCGGATCCTTCGGATCCGTCTTGGGCTTATCCCTGAAGCATGCGAAAATGCTATATTGACTTTGTGTGTCAACGCTTAGTCTTGGTTAACAAACAGTACTCCAAAGTACTTACGAGACATTCGTCCGGAACCAGAGCTCGACAATGACGAAGATTAGGGAGATTACGACAACGAAAAAGAAGAGAACCATCGCAATCCATATCTGGCGGTGTCAGCGCAATAATCATGATAGTCTTTCCCGACTTACTCCAATGCCGGCTATACCAGGCTGCGGCAGCATTGTCCCCTTTGTTACATTGCCGACCGAAACCAGTTCGTGATCCGCGCTGAACGTGAGGTTACAAGTCTGAGCAAGGTCGACATCTTCAGCCTTGCAAGCTTCTACCACGGTGAACTGAAGAGCACTCCCGGATTCGCTTCTCAGAAAACCGAAGGTGTTACCCATATTGGCTGGCTTTGATTCTAACAAGTATGGGTCAATATGAAATGGTGAATACTATTCTGTCACAACTCCTGACGAAAGCACAGCTTTTATCGCAATAGACAAGGCTATGAGGCTGAATGCGGGGGGGCCAGAAGATGCAGCCAAGCCCGTGAATGCGAATTGATTCCAAGTATAGACGCCGAGCCTCAAAGGCTGAGTTCCTACATCCAACTGCATCATCACTCATTGGGAGCCCTCGTACTTTGACATATACCAGGCGCCTACAGCGGTAGGCAATATGGGTTTGCGCTAAACGATGTGATAGCACGCGCTTGAAATGACAAGGCTGAACTGTAGCCTCATGTCCACCTCCATCTTCAACCCCAAAACTCCCTCAAGTCCTCGGCCCTCCATTTCGTACTCCACCCAGACTGCTTTTCAATCTTCTCTAGCAATTGCAAAATCGCCTTTTGCTCACTCTCATGACTCATCCACTGCCCTGCAATCCACAATGGCTGTATCGCATTGGTCCAAGCAGCATGGTCATCATTACTAGTCGAAATCCCACAGATCTGGCGCGCATGCCAGAAGATTGAGTTGGGTTTGGGGGAGACGGTGACACCGGAAGGTTTGTGTCGTAGCAGTAAGATACACGCGGTGTGATGTAGTTGGTTGCCTGACATGGCAGCGGGGTTGCTGTATAGGATTTTGGGAAATGGTGAGGCGGAAGTGGTGAAGGATGATATGGGAAGCATTTCTGGAGGGCGTGTGGTGTACCATGCGGATAAGTGGTACCAGAGTCTCATCCACCTCGCTGCGTACGCTTCATCTGTATCTGCAGACGTCGGGGGTGTAGCACCAACACGTCCAGCCAGATTTGAATGGAAAGACAGCAAATCGAGTATTTGAGCGCAGAGATACACCGCTTCGCATGCATGAGCGTTATACCCGCCATCCGCTCGGAATCGCCCCACATCAGCATCAAGATCCATACCATGAGCCCAGTGCTCCACCGGTATAAGCGTTTTAGAGCTCGCAATGAGCCCACCACACACATCCATGCGAGCAAAGCACCAAAACAGCGCTTGATCGACACCACCTGAGAAGCCGTTAATCCCCACAGCTTCCAACAAATGCGCGCAGCCGTCGAGATGCTGGTGCCATGCTTTCGCCGAGCTGCTTAACATTTCCAGTACGCAGAGTACGACGCATGATGCTATCACGGGCGTACTGCGCGTGTGTAGCTGGGGTAAGACGAGTTGAATGGCTGTTTGGTATAGAGATAGGCTGCGCTCCGTGTGTTTACTGTTGTTCTTACGCTCCATTTGGCGTGCGGACAACGCGAGTATGGAGTATCGTAGGTGGTCATGAGAACGCGCTATGACGGGTAGTGTATGCCGGAAGTGGCGATCGTTGTCGAATTTATCGATCCAGGGTGCTACCTCATCGAACCAGTTCTTCCATAATACAAATTCTTCTTCTTCTGATAGCTGGGGTGCTGGGAGGTTTGTGGAATCTGATTCGTCGACTGGATCAATGCGGGGAGGGATTTCTGTGCCATGGGTTTGGGGGGATGGCGTGTAGGAGGCTTGCACTTGTCCCCATACATGATCAATACGAGTGGGATCGGGTGTCACTTGCCGGGTCGGTACGTTGGATCTCACTTCTTGAATTAGGTGGCTTCGGAATGTAGAGTGCGCATCAAGGTATGCTGAACCTGGAAGGAAGACGCTGTCGTCTAGATACGTCGTGGCGACAGGACTGTGCCAGATGGACTCAAGATCTCCTGGAGTAGGTAAGGAAACGTAATCGGTGGACTGAAGACGGGCGATGTTGGCTTCTGCTGTTGGGAAAGATGTATTGTGCTGCCAGCATAAGCGTTCTTGATATGGTGTACCCTGACTGTGCACCGTAGACGGCGATACGTCGTTAGTGGCATTCGCTTGCTGAGCATCGGACTGATCCGATACATCAAGCTCATCTCCTGGATCATAATGCTGGTAATCGCGTATTACTTCCGCTGTAACATCCTTGATCCTGAAGCGCGCAGGTGGTCGTCCTGGTGGTCGATGCAGCGATGATGGTTCGACGCCTAGAGCATTTTCAGCACGGAAGGTGAGGCGAGAGGCCCATTCGCATTTTTCGCTTCTGCTTCTGCAGCGGCCGCAGGTAGGTTTTGCTTCATCGCACTTTCGTCTTTTCGTCTTGCAGTTGATACACCTGAGAATCGCGTCAATTAACTGCGATAGTTTTGGCTTGATTGGAGCGATACCAACCCGTGTCGTGTTCTTGCCCTTTTTGTACCTCGTCTGACCAAGCCGCCCTCATCTGCCATTTTATGCACTGGAGAATGAAAGTTTTGAGTGCGTAGCTAAGTATTCGGAATTGCCGGCCTTGATCATGAAATGCAGATCGGGAACTTTGACGTTTACATGGTGCGGACCAAGCTGTCACTAGTGGAAGGTACGCCATGTGGAGACCCCGCATCTTGGATGCATCACGCATTACACTAGGATGACTGGGATCTATGTGTATTTGAAACAACTATATTCGCCACGATTATCATCTGCAATTGCCGCTGTATATATTCACGGCGATGCCGCCGCTGACATGGCCATCGGCTTGGTTCGGAAGGCACTTGGAACACGCCCCAGGCGCTTAGGTACTCCGATCCGCCTACCCCATCTACAGAAAAGACTGAACGATCCTAGATAATAGACTAAACTTTATCCCACTACAATGAAGCTGAACACGAGTGTAGTGAACATACTGTATAACCCAGGAGTCTACAAAGGTAGTGAATATCTCTATTTTTCCTAAAACATGCTGTTGTAGCCAGCAGCGCTGTTTCTTGCCTCTACACTTGTTTGGTTTCGCCCTAGTACGAGGTACGCCCAGTACGGAGTGTGTAACGGCATCCAGATACAAGTAGACAGGGAGAGTGTGGCGACGATGTGAACTTCATTCCATCAAGCGTCACTTACTGTCTGTTGTGGGCAACGACAGCTATACGCCTCGCCCCTCTTCGACTCGTCCCAGTGCGTCTACATACCATGGAGCAATGCGGCTAAGAAGACGTACAACATGAGCTCTTTTCCAAAGCTTTCCGTCTCCCGCCGTATGTCTAGATGGGATGTCTTACCATATTGGATCTCCTGGTGGCTGGATTTGTTTTGATAAGCGCCCACTGCGGGAGGTCGTATTTTTCTTCAAGCTCGTAATCGCCCACTCCATATCTTCCTCGCCGTCTTCGTTTTCGTCTTTCCCTGCTTTACGAGTACAACCATTGTTTCCAGGTGTCATCAGCGGGGTCAGTAAGCCCCATGGATCAACGGGTCTCGGTTCCTTTGGTGTGCCATCTTTAAACTTGACCTGATCCTTGCTTCCTGTTCGATGATGACCAGCTCTGGAATGGAAGTCATAGTTGCGGAGAGACGATTTGACCACTCTGGACCGAAGTCCCTTTCCAGAGATGATTGATTTGATTGGTTTGGTTGAGTTGGATACTGCATGGTTGTATGAAGCGCTGCTGCATAGATGTCGCTCACTTGCTTGCGTTAAGGGGCAGTAGCGACTGGGAACAACTTGTAACTTGCATAAAAACTGTGGGAGAATGCGTGCTGTCGCCACTAAAAATCACGGGTAATCTACCGAAGGCCATTCAGTCTTGTTAGCATCATTTCATCGTCGATACGAGACGAACTTAGACGGCTTCTTTCTCATGATTAACCGTCTGGATCAGTCGACTCATGTTGGTGTACACAAGGTGAGCTTGAAGTTTTCATGCCATTGTCTCGAAAATCAGCGATACGGACAGTTGCAGCAGAAAGCGACAGACTTCTAATGTCGATATAGTGGGGTGGTGAAGAGGCTTTGCTGCTGTTGTACGGTCGATGGACCCCGCGGTCGGCAAACCTGCCTCGGATCTGGTGGGGTGAAAGCGCACCCAGTGGGGCAAACCTCGCGACGTCATGTTCGAGCTGGGCAAGCTCCACCAACCCTCTGTACATGCGGACTTCTGTCGTCCGAACAAGTTCATAAGAAGCCGGAATACATTTAGTGGTTCTCGAGTGACACAAGAAAGTTCTCCAGACTCCCATTCGAAATTTATCAAAACAGCAATCCAATCAAAATGCCGGGAGACGCAGAAGACCGCGCCGCGCTCGTCAACCGACAGCTGCCAGAAATGACACTGTCAACAGCAGACAACCCTCTCACAGCGCCTAAATCACCTCCAGAGGACCTTTCTACAGCACAAAGAGCCCAATACAGGTTCCAGGTCAAGGGCAATGCGATCAGTACGTGCACGCCTGCAGGGTGATATGATACCTGATACCCCCTGCACTATACGCTTGACCGTTTCACTAACCAACAACGTCTTAGTCACCGGTGGCGCAGGTACACTTGCACTTGAAGCCGCCCAGGCGCTCCTTGAACACGGCGCTACAGGGTTGGCTCTATGGGATATGAACCCAGACCAAGCCTTCGAAAGCGTCAAGACACTACATGCCAAGTTCCCACATGCGAGGATAATAACCGAAGCTGTCGATGTCCGTGACGAGAAGGCAATCGCGTCGGCCGTAGAAAGCTCGGTGAAGGTCCTAGGCAGTATAGACATGCTATGCTGCTTCGCGGGCGTCGTGGGCTGCACACATGCGATAGAGATGGCCGCCGACGAATGGAGGCGCACACACGACATCAACCTCACAGGTTCCTTCCTTTGTGCGCAGGCTGTCGCGAAGCAATTGCGTGCGCAAGGGACTGGAGGAAGTATTACGTTCACAGCAAGTATCTCAGCGCATCACACGAACTACCCACAGCCGCAGTGTGCATACAACTCATCCAAGACAGCGTTGCTATCGCTAGCGAAGAGCTTAGCTGCTGAGTGGAGTAGCTACGGTATCAGGGTCAACTGCTTGAGCCCAGGATACATGGACACGATACTTAATGATGGTGACGGCTTGATCAGGGCGCGCAAGAGCTGGAATGACAGAAATCCGATGGGTCGCATGGGTCATCCTTGGGAGCTTACAGGGCCGTTAGTGTTGCTGTGCAGCAATGCGGGACGATACATAAACGGAACAGATATCATCGTTGACGGCGGAGCCATGGTATTCTAATCGAAAAGAGTATTGAGCCGCCTCCACATCCTTCTCATAATGTACTGAATGCGAACACCAATCTGCGGTGGTTTCATCATGGCCGCATGATCATAAGTGTACTCAGGAAGACAATGGTCTCTACATACCGCACCCTAAAGATATACGCTGTATCTTGCACTGATATAGCAGAGACTCCAACATGTTGTACACCTTTAGGGTAAACTTTAAGTGCCGGTGAAACTTGTCAAAAACGAGCACCCTCGTACCTAGCGACCCCGCTAATCCCTATATCGCGTCCCCCCACTTATACCTTCGATGCGATGTCGTCAGACCGTCAAACACCATGCAGTCCCTGCAGCGACTGAATATCGAAGCGAAGAAATCCAACTAGGCGCGGGTAAACGGCGAGAGTACGGCCTAGAACGTCATTCTAAAGAGAAGAATGTCCAAGGAAGCTTGGACCTCGTAGAAAGAGCTGGTCTCTTCACGCAGATGCTACAGTAATAGACACTTCAGCTAACCTTCCTGATTGGGTAAGTGGGGGGCAGCAAGCCTCGTCTCTAGCAGATTGCTGCTGTTAGAACAGGTGTGATTAACTTCGCCGCGGCACGAGTTAGCCTACGATCGGGTCCTGCAATCATCCGCCATAACCGTTCCGAAGTCACATCGTCCACGTTGAGAACGTCCTCGACACAGACCTGCTAATTCATATACCGTTACCATCGGGAATTTCAATTATTGGAAAGCGCGAAGCGTGTTGAAATGCCACACGTGTAGCCGTGCTATATCTGGACTTGGATGCAGCGCATCGTCATGGTTCTCAATACATGAACTCGCGCCCTCACTCTGCAGACATGGCACACGACTTAGCCAAATCGGCTAGCCACGCATACAAGCCTCTCGCTGAACGGCGCATCAGACTTCTCCAACTACCGGACGACTCTTGGTGTGATGGAGCGCCTGCTCTTGTAGATGTATCGTTAGACACCCCACCTTCATACGAGACGGTTTCCTACGTATGGGGTGAGCAGATCAAATCCAGCGTCTTCAACTTCAGCTCAGGCGCATCGGTGTTTGTTACTCCGACTTTGCGCTCTGCGCTTGAACGGCTTCGTCCACATTGTCAGACGCACTACCTCTGGGTGGACCAGCTCTGCATCGACCAGGCTAGTATTCCAGATCGCAATCAGCAAGTAGCTCTTATGGGCGAGATCTACAGCAAGTGCCAGCGAGTGATGATCTGGCTGGGGCCAGAAGTGCTCGACTCTGATTACCCGTTATACTACTTCGGGGACGGACTACCCTCAGAACTTCGGCACAAGACAAATCATACGCGCGCTTCAGCAGCTCGTTTGGAACAACCTGATCCACAATCATTTATTCGATTCTTACTAGCACTGACATGGTTTACCAGGGCGTGGGTGGTGCAAGAGGCGGTGTTGCCGACTACGGCTTCATGCTTCCTTGGTCCGTACACGTTTTTTGTGGAGGACCTATGGGCTGTCATAGTTTATCACCGAAGCGCAGAACGTTATTTCACATGTAGGGACTACGTCAGCATACGCCAACATTCTGGATATCTTGTTCTGAATGAGATCATGCGCCTGCGACAACAAGAGCGATACCGGAGTAAGAGAACGCACAATACAGCGATATGCTTCTACCATTCGCTGTCCGTTTTCGCTCCTCGATGCATGACGACGAGTCCCCATGATATCATCTATTCGTTTCTGGGGCTTCAAAGAGATCCGCGTGTACGAATCATACCCGACTACGATTTGGACTGGAATATCGTACCTGTAATAGCTACGAGCTCAATTGCCGAGGCTACGGAAAGCTTGAACCTGTTTGGTATGCTCCATCGCAAAGGTGGCGAAAAGAGCCGGTGGCCGAGCCTCCCATCATGGGTTCCAGATTGGTCGAGAACACCCGAAGCTGAACCTATGGTGTTTCCTCGGAGCTGGATATATTTCGACTCCTCATTAGGGATGCTTCACAAGGCCAAAAAAACGACTGGCTTACCTGTATCGCATCTGGTTGTAACAGGCAAAATCATCACTGAGGTGACTCACAAGCTCTCGTTTACTCGGGGTGTCCTAGAGCCACTTGCCAACCGCCATGGATGGGATGTCTGCTCTTACCTCAACATGTCACACTTGAATGATTTCTTGAAACACATCTGGCTAGAGGGCTCGACTATGCCGTCGATAGCGCGTCTCTTGAAAGTAATTCTAGCTGACGGCTCCTTCAGTCTAAACCAAAAGCTACGAGAGCATTGCAGCGAAGGTCTATCAAATTCCGATGTTGACGAGCTTGTCTCGACTTATCAGTTTATTGAGTCCTTTACAAAACAGGATGTTGAGATGATGGAACGCCCTAAGGTTGATGACAATTTAGGAAAACGAGCGACTAGACTTCGCGACCATGCGCGTGTAGCTTGGGGTCGACAACTGATAGTCGGACGAGACTGGAGGCTTGGTCTCGCACACAGAACGGCTTGTGAGGGGGATTTGATCTGCATCATCCATGGTTCTCAAGTACCTCTCGTGTTACGCCGTCTTCCGAATGGATACTATCACTTGATCGGTCAATGTTACTTTGAGGGCGCCATGCGTGGCGAAGAGGTAACTTGGGATGAGGCAGATGCAGATGACTTTGTGCTTGTGTAGGCAGCACTTGTCGCGAGTCGAACCGGTTGAGAAACACTATCGTAATTCGCCCCGCTCTCAACTACTGCCGAGTTGTTATGCAGACGCAGGTATGATCGTAACCCTTGAGGTGGCTTGTTTTATCTTACGACCCTCGGGTGCATATGAAGAAAATCTTGACACTCAAACAGCATTCTTTAATGCATGACCCTGAGATATTTTGTGCTTCGTTGTTTTCTATTGTCCTTTGAACTTATGTGAGGAATGAAGGTTTGGTGGTCTTTACGGTGATGAGCAAAGCTAGTGCGTCATCTGAGCCACGAGTAGCCTGCTCTGAACCACGGTTATCTCCTAACACACTGACGACACATAAAGCGTGTGTATCCTCTCTCTCACTTCTACACATACAACTAAGTTTCGGGACCTGGAATAATTTCAGCTCTTCTAAACATGCCACACCTTCTCACGATACCACGCGACATTCGCGACATGATCATCGACAGCGTCTTAGCATCACCCCCGAACCCTCAAGGTGTTGAGCAGCGCCCCATAGACCCATACAGTTCGAATTTGGAGATTTAGAATACCATGGAAGTGTCGACAATACCAGAACCGAACAGTAAGACGTCTGCGGTAACGAGATTACCAGTGGGTCACGTTGTCACCCTAGTATCCAACCCCTACATTTTGGTACCTTGGTATAGCTAATCGTTAATATAAATCTTTGCATGCTCTGCCACTTAGCAGGGACACCCGTTTCACTGCAGAACTCACTCGCTCTTCTGTTAACTCTTTTATCAACCTCCACTCAAGCTCTTTCCCAATCGAGCCAGCACAATGAACTGCACCGAGGCAGAAACCACCGAAGTCCTGGCATCGCAGACGGTCACAACCCAAGAAGGCAGCCTTGACCACGTCCTCGACGTCCTGGTCTCACACGATCATCCTTTTCTACTCGTTGGATGCGCGGCACAACGATGGATGGGCTCCAATGGAACCATGACAAACGTATGCGAGATTCCCATCAGAAATAACGACATAGATACTATTGCTTCAGACTTGGTTGCAACAGGACAATGGGAGGTCAACAAGCCAGAACCAGAAGCTTCCCATGGACATGACCCGATAGACAAGTGCGACTCGGACGTCGTTCTTAGGCGACTGCAAATAGGAAATGACAACGAGTTCGCCTACCTGGCTCTCTGGTCCGAAGAAAGCTATCACATCAACGTACATGAATGCGCCACCATCAAAGTCCCCGACGTGTATTCCTGGCAACCTATCCTAGTCGAAGAGAGTTGGCATCCAGCCATGCACCGGGATAACGGCTGGTGGTATGGTCCGCGTGTGCATCCAGATACAAAGGTGCCGAATTCGCCTCGTAGTGCGCACCCCAAGGCCATTTTCTTCCCAGGACTTCCACGAGGCAAAAGTGCTACACATCCGCATCCCATTCTTATCCCAGCTCTGCCAATCTACATCGACGCACTTGTATATCACATGACTCGTTACAAGACGAGCAAACCGGGAATCTGGGCTCTTTCGGCGTGGCAACTCAAGAATCTGACGAGGTATTTGTACTTGGAGTTGGACCATCAGCAACTGCCGCTTTTGATTGAACTAGAGGAATACGAGTTTATGGAAGGTTATCTGGAGAGGTTTGTGAGGAAGCCGAGATTTGTGTACCGTGTGGATGAAAGGGGCAGTTTTGAGGCAACGAGGGTGAGAGAATGGGATCCGGAGAGCTATCCGGAGTGGTGTGGGACGAGGAAGTAGAGAGAAAGAAGGATTATACCCTGAAGAGAGTCGTATATATTCGTATTGATAACCTACATGTGCTGGAGCTGTGGTATGCTGCAGGCGTATACTGAAGATCGACTGGACACCGCCTTTGTAACTCGAGATACGGCCTACCTTCAATGATCCTCTGAACCCTCGACTCTAAGTAGCCTGACTGAGTAAACGTCTTCCAAGGTCCAAAGTAAGTTTGGCATCTTAGTGCACCCTAAAGAAACTCATAAACTTGACCATGAACAACTTATGTGTACCGCAGCGATTATATGCTTCGAGCGCATAGATTAAACAAATCGACACTATCCTCATGGCCCAGGATCTTGCCTCCGTCCAAGGACGTGGTATATACTTCAAACGACCTGCCTCCAGCCCAGCCCCACCTCTCCCCCGCCCCACCACTCTCAAGCCCCTTGGGCAGCGTCGCCCATCTTCTCCATGTCAATGTCACCAATAACACTCTTCAACAATTCGGGCACAATCTGTGCAGCATCGCCTTGAAAGAACCAATCCCCGTCGTACAACCCACCTGCCGGAATATCATTGGTATCCATATTGATAATAGCAACGCGCGCGCCCTTGTTACGCGCAAGGTCGACATAACCAGCAGCAGGATACACCCTGGCACTGGTACCAATAACCATGATAAGATCGATACCCCGTTCATCCGAGACGAAGGAATCAACATCCTCCATGACCTTCCTAGGCAGCGCTTCCCCGAACCAAACCACTCCTGGACGAAGGAGACCGCGCTTGCATTCCGGGCAATGGGGGAGGTGTTTGTAGTCGAGTTCCGGGATGGCGACGTTGATGTCCGAGATGTCTAGTTCGCGAGCAGCGGCGAGAGCGGAAGTTGTGGTGGGATCGGATTCGTCGTGGGTTGGGATGGCAAGGGCGGGGACAATGGGGTCGGTGTAGTTGTTTCGCTCGAGATAGTTGCAGAAGAAATCCGAGCACTTGACATCGAACAGCGAGCCATGCAGCAGCTTCAGCTTCTCGGCGGGATGTTGGGCTCGGGGCGATAGGCCTGGGGTGGTGATGACGTTAGGTTAGCTAATGGCTCTGCGTACAAGACAAACAACCCGATGGGGTTGGAAGGAATGTCTCACCATCGACGTTCTGACTCAGCGTGATGAAGTCGTCCTTCTTCCTCGCTAGCTCAGCAAGGGCGTAGTGTGCGGGATTGGGCTTGGCTTTGAGGGCCATGTGTCGTCGGTAGCTGTAGAATTGCCACACGAGTCCTGGATCGCGCTCAAACGCCCCTGGAGTCGCTAGCGACGTGGCGTCGTGCGTCCTCCATAAGCCGCCAGCACCCCGGAATGTCGGCAGTCCAGAAGAAGCCGAGAGTCCTGCACCCAGAAGCGCCAGGATACGCGTTGATTTGTTGAGGTGCTGCTGGAAGCTCTCCAAGTCGTTTGGCGGGACTACGCTGGATCTGGCGGCCGACGAGGCCATTCTGCGGAGGATGGTGGCGAGTATCACGGTGGCGGCCGTCTTCTTCGCAGACTATGTATGCGAAGAGAGGGAGACGAGTGTGGGCGTGTCATGTATGCGTTGTTTGTCCGACACGACAGGCAGAAGTGGACGGGGGCCTGGAATGTGGTTGCGGGGGGGAAGCTGCAGCTGTAGTGTGCCACATGCAAGGTACGTCAGGCCTTCCCCCACTGTGCCGCTAGCTAGCGCCCACGATCGATCGTCGGGAAACCGATGCCTCTTCCGCCGAAGCTTGATTCGCTCGAGCCGACCTCCGACGTCAAACACCATGACTTTTGCTCTGAGATGGCTCCGGCCCACGACACGCGTGCGATGGCGGTGCCATGATACGGCACGGATTGGACAGTTTGCGCCCAGACGAGGCAACACGAGGACGTATGCTGCCGCTGCTGTGCCTGCAGCTGAACTCCGTTTCGGCCAACCGCTCCACGAAACACATCCACATCTACTCAAGGCTGGGGAAGGTGATGGCCACCCGAGGAATTTCTTGCCCGTTACTAACATGGCCAACAGTGACTCCCGGTATCACGGCCTTGGAGTACCACCAACGCCGCGTCGCCCTCGCCAAAGAACTGCCCCCAAACTCCACCGCCATCTTCGCCGCAAACGACCTCAAGTACGCATCCGGCGCCGTCTTCTACAAGTTCCACCAAGACCCCGACTTCCTGTACCTGACAGGCTTCAAAGAACAAGACGCGCTGGGAATAATAGAGAAACATGACGATGGCGAACACACCTTCCACCTCTACGTGCGACCCAAAGACCCAAAGGTGGAAGCCTGGGAAGGACCCCGTTCAGGCGTCGAAGCAGCAGAGGACGTCTTCAACGCCGATGTTGCCGGCAGTATCGACGACCTCCCGCGTCTCCTGCCCGACATAGTGAACCGTGCGCAGGCCATCTACACCGACCTCCCCCAGTCTCGTGTCTCCAGAAACCTGCTCTCACGGTACCTCGCTGGCGCGGAACCCTCGCGTACAGGCGGCATCTACACCGTGTTCCGCGACGCCCCCGCATCCCTGCGTCCCCTGCGGCCCCTCGTCAACGAACTCCGTCTTATCAAAAGTGAGGCTGAGATCAAGAACATGCGGCATGCGGGTCAGCACTCGGGCCGTGCGATAACAGATGCCATGCGACAATCCTTTTCCACGGAAAAAGATCTCGATTCCTTCCTCGACTACTGGTTCAAGCAGGACGATTGCGACGGCCCGGCCTACGTGCCCGTCGTGGCTGGCGGCATCAATGCGAACACCATACACTACGTTTCCAACGACATGCTCTTGAACCCCAAGGAACTGGTTCTTGTCGATGCGGGCGCCCAGTATGGCGGCTATGTCACGGATATAACGCGCACGTGGCCTATTTCAGGCAAGTTCACGCCCGCACAACGAGATCTCTACACCCTGTTGCTTTCGGTGCAGAGATCCTGTATATCCCTATGCCGTGCAGATTCACTCTTCACTCTGGATAAACTACATCACACGGCATCCAACTCCCTCGCTGCGGGGCTCAAGGATCTGGGTTTCGACATGTCGAATCCCGAAGCTATACAGACTCTTTTCCCCCACCACGTCGGCCACTACGTTGGTCTCGACGTGCACGACAGCCCTGGTCTGAGTCGAAGCCGGAAATTCGAAAGAGGAATGTGTGTTACAGTTGAGCCGGGCATATATGTTCCTGATGACGAGAGGTGGCCCAAGTGGGCGAGGGGCATGGGCATGAGGATTGAAGACAGTATTTGTGTGGATGACGAGGGGCCCTATGTGCTTACCACCGAGGCGGTCAAGGAGGTTGTTGATATCGAGGCGTTGAGGGGAGGCGAGACGAAGATATAGCGTGTTACATCTTCTCTTGCTATCTACAAAACATTTGGTGCAACGAGCAATGGAAGAGTCATGTTATAGCAGCAGGAACCTCCCCACTTTGAACAGTTGAAATGCTTTTTGGAAGACACAATGGCCATGGACTATGACTTGATATGATGTATTTCTTCTTCATATTGCTATCCATTGAATGGGTTTTTTGTTTTTTTTTATCATTATACTTGACTACTTGCGTAATTTCATCTCTATACTGCCGAGCAAACGAGTCGAGTCGACGCGATTGGTTGCGGGAGGCCGCAAGCGAATGTTCATCATGATGGTTGACATTCCTTTCTTGCTTACTCTTGGTCCTTGTCGCTATTCGAAGCCGGTCTCGTGGTGTGTACGTATACATATATTGTTGCGGGATAGCGCCGGCTCCGACGAGATACGCTGTACTAGTGCTGTCTAAAAGACATACGACGTAGTTCCTCTGTTTGGGTGCGGTTCGACCGATCGTCACTAACTCCAATTCGTAGTGGCGTAGCGTGTCGAATATCAGAGTCCCGGTCGTAGTTTATGGCTGTTGGTGTTGGTGGTGGCTTGTCGAGCAAAAATGCGATGGGGCGACAATTAGCAATTCCCCATGGGGTGATGCCGTGATAACCACTGATACTATTACCAACACCATCTGCGTCGTTGTAGGTGTGTAGGTGTGTGTGTGTGTGTGGGCATTGTTGTTGTCGTGAGTGGTGACATGCTCTTGCAAGCTCACAACATGTGAAAATGATAGTTCCCAAACCCATCCATCTCATATCTGAACAGCGCCTCATTCAATTCATCATTCCCAGGCCATGGCAAGTACTGCGGATCCATCTTCCCCGTTGCAGGCTGCTGCAACACCATAATAACCTCATCAGGAAACGCGTCAGCTACATCGGCCCACACAAATGGTTTCGACGTCTTAACTATCGAATAGACGACTTGGTAAGCGCGGGCGGCTAGCATATTCGTTTCGCGCATGCCGCGGAGCGAGCTGACGAGTTGGCCGATGCCGTGGATGGAGGCGGGGAGGGAGTCGCGAAAGTGGTCGGGGCAGGATGTTGCTATCATGAGGACGGCAAGGGCTTGCATGACTGTCATAGTGGTCAGTAAGTGAGCGGTATCGGGAAACAAGAACGCCGAGGTGGAAACGTACTGTTGTGGACAATTATCCACCATGGCCCTTTCTCATACAGGCTTTTTATGTCAGGCTCGGATGCTAGGAGCGAGGCAACATCCCGTGCCGCTTGCACACACGTCTCAGCCACGGATAGGTCCAGTGAATTAAAGTCGTCGGTTCCCGCCTCGAAACATCGTTCGACCCGACGAAGTGATGGACAGGTAATCAGTATCTTCAGTCGGTAGTATTGGATTTTGAGCAAGAACACTTCGCGCTGTTGAACGTGGGCCGAGTTTGATTCGTCCGAGTAGACTTGGGGAATGTAGTCGACTGCCCATTTATCAAGATCACCAACTAATGAGCAGGTCATCTGCTGCACATAGTCCCAGGATGGCGCAGATCTACGTTGGGTATATAGACTGGAAATGATTTGCTGAGTCAAGAGGTTCAGATTGGTATCGGCATCCAGGAAATCGAAACTGACTACGCCGGCGCGTAGGGTTTGGTCGCCAATGACAACACCAGGAAGAGGCGTTGTGATGTTTTCATTAGGTATGATACTCGGCCGGCCCGTAATCGAACTGAGCAGGCTCTCCAGAGAGTGTAAACTCCACCATGTGCAGACCATACTTTGCCTTCGGGGGGCTGAGACAGATTGATCCTCGTACTGGACGTGCAGTCCGAGCGAGAAGGCCGATCGCATCGCTATGCCTACCATCACCCAGGCCCTGTCGATGACCGATCAGCACACGACATACATCAGTTGGAAGCAAGGATCTTAGTGGAACAAAACAAGGTGAGCACAGTCAAAGTATACTGCAGTACGTACCGATTGACGTGGCCAGCAGTCATGTAGTAAATGGCAAAGAGTCCCGCAGCCTGCAAGCGTTCAGCCTTAGTCAGGTGGAATTAGCGCAACAGAACTTGCCTGCGTAGTGAGCAGATCCGGAGCCGACATGACGACGATTGTGTCATTCATGCTAAGTAGTTGAAACGCGCGCGATAAGTAAACGACGTGATCCAACTCGTCAGCGCGCCAGTCAGCCTGGGTAAGGTGTGAGAACTTGGCACCTATGGCAAAGACAAGGTTCACAAGCGCGAACCACTTCTCCGGGCAGTGTATGGCCTGACCACTTCGGACCAAGGTGTAGTACTGGTGCAGTTGGTGTTCGATCGTGACTGGGAGGATAGGAAAGGAGCTCTGGACGGTCTGGGTATAAGATTGGAACAAAAGCGCTGCAGTGTGTTCTGGTGGGAGCTCAAAGGGGTTCCCACAGTTTGTGAGTTTGATGCCTTCGTCATCAAGGTAATAGTTGGTTAGGGAGATTTGCTGAAGCGGAGTTGCGGGGATAGACGCGGGGGATGCAGCGAAAGTCGGCGAAGGTGGCTGAGAGAGTGGCGCGATCGAGTAGCCTGGCCCAAATAGAACGGTCTCGACAGCCTGGACTCTACTCCGGAGGCTCTGCAGCCATTGTACTTCGGAGATCTGACCCAGGAAGCCTGCTTCAACTACATTAGGCTGTTCGCCACCTTCTTCATCGCCAGATTCTTCGGGTACAATACCGTCCAATCGTGGAAGAGGCGATTGATCGGATGTGGGCGATGTTTCTGCTGCGAGTGACACATAGCTAGAGGACGAGGCAAAGGGATGCATGCGCGAGTGGTGTTGGTAGTGCTGAGCGGCGGATGCTCGTGAAGAAGAGGATATCGACACAGGAGACCCGACTTCATCATCTGACTTGGCGATATTAATGACGGATTCATGGCCTGTGGGCACTTACTTACGTCCTGGAGGGCATCTTCAATCCTGCGCTTGTCGTCGTCGCTAACGCGCAAACTGAGGTCCTTGAGCACAGACACGAGGGCTTGATTGCGGTCTTTGGCACTGTAAGAGGGTCAAACTTGGAATTGTGCAGTAACACCAGAGCACTGACGTTGCTAGGCGATCTTTCCGGGGACGTTCGTAAACACATGTCTTATCTGTCTTCTCGCAGTAGTTGCAGCGGGGGAGACTGCCGCTACACTTGATCTCTTGTGTAGTAGTGTCAGATGGTGATGAGGCGCGCGTGACTTGGACCTGATTGTTGAAAACTCACTCCTTTTGTGGCAATTCCGACATGCTCGTTGCACTCTATCCCTCTGTCGCGACTTGGGTGTTGTGGGTGGCGGGCCGCGTCGGGCTGGTAAGCGTGGAATGGCGACCTTGAACTGCGACCCATAGGGACCAGCCGTCGGGGGTCCAGGTTGCCTGTCGTCTTGCATCGGGCCGCTCGCGAAAACTCACGCTGCGTGGTAAGGAAACAAGAATCATCTCAACGCATCTCGAATCGTGTCCACGCAAATAACCGCCTGCGTCATGAGGAATCAGAGATTGGGGATGAAGACTACGGCTTGGCGGGAGAGCAGTCGAGGTGATTGGTCTCGGTGCAGAAGACCGCATGGCCAATACTAAGCTTGCCCGCGCCTCTGCCCTAAGTCTCAAGCTTGCGCCGCTATTACAGGGGCGGTGATGGGGCAAAGACAACGTTGCGCTACGACTTGTCGACATGTACATGGCAATCATGGCGTTCTGCTGCGGTTGAGAGGGAGCTTCGTCGACGTCCAAAATTCAAGATCCGCATGCGCTAGTCGTCGGGCCCTCTGCCGTTCTGCGGCATCGCATCTCGAGTCGCACAACGCGCCACTAGGGGCTGCGCCCTACCAAAGCGGTAATTTCTCATCGGTGCTCGGAAAAGTCAACATGGGATTTGGCTCTGCCATCAAGACATTTCGATCCAGTTCGGCACATCCTATTTATGACGCTAGCACTGCAGTGTCATGTGCTGCTGATTGGTCCGCGCTAGCCAGTCAGGCTCTCGGGTACGCAGCTCGATTCGAGATGACCTTCACCGTATTTTACCGAGTTTTCGTGGACTCTCTTCTAGATTTCGCCTAAAGCACGCCATCTTCTGCCGTTTAGGATTACCGTCTTCGTTCTAGCCTAAGCAACACGGGACATGATGGGCGAAGAAGCCCACAATTCCAACACGATACCTATGTATAAGAGTGACATGGTAGAACGCACTTCGGTTGACATTGGCTCACAGGCTATCGTTGAGCCTCTTTCCCCAAGACATCGGATGCCAAAGATGTACAAGGTCGTGAGGGAACGGTTGTGCAAAGCGTTGCGCGATACCGCTCCGCAGTTGGGACCAGAAACACGTGCGTGCAAAGCCCAAGTTCTGAGCATTAGGTCAGGTGTACCTCACGGTGAGTTTCTTAGCTTTGTGACATTTCTTTTTTCAAGAGTACTTGTTCGCATGGGTATGATAGGGATTGCTGGAGTTGTGGTGGATCCGGTCAAAGACTACACACGCAAAGTAACCATGCTTGCTGCAAAAACATAAAGACTAATGTATGTGTTGTATGGGTTTAGTACATTCAAGACATAAGAGCGGAGGTGATTACGGTCTAAGCAATTGGTGTTTGGCGTAAACCAACTCGATTTAGAAAGAATCGCCATCATCGTATGAAAACGCTGATTGGTTTCTTTCAGTTGCTCAAGAATACTCTAGCCAAACCCCGCCAACATCGCTATCCAGCCTCTCCCTAGAACTTCCAGTCTTTCCAGGTTGCGCATTCGTTGCGAGAACAACATCTCCATACCAGAATCCCCGTTTCTTGACGTTTCCCCGCTCCTCCTCATTCTTTGGCAAACGTAGCACAATCTCCGCTCCACCATTGAGCTTCTCAACCTCCTGCACGCGTCCAAGCAAGAATCTGACTTCGCCGCCTGTTTCCTTCATAGCATGGCCAATCATGCTTTCGTACACAGTCTTTGTCTCTTCAAGCATAGCCTGATCCCGCATGATGATGCTAAGTTGTCTAACACCCAACACGCCACACGGATGCGTCGTCTTCGCCTCATCAAGCGGCACACGAATATCACGAGACGTGATGTCGTGGCAGAAGAACGGGACCTTGCCTCTGATGTTCTGCCCGCCCTTCTCTCCCTCAGGAAAGGTAACAGCCCAGGCTACATCAACACCATCAGCTCTCTTTCTCCCGCCTCTGATCGGCTCTGAATGGCTGCCCTTTACTGCCTCGTAATTTTTCTCCGGCGTAAGAGAATTTGTTAAGCACCAATCTTTCCAGCCCATGAAGTTGGCGTCCGGGCCCCACCAATGCTCAGGTGCGAGAGAGGGATTAATGAAGGAGATGAGCTCGATATAGCATCCATCCACAAGAAGGATCAAGGTATTCGATGTCGCGCCATCGGCGTGGAAACCTCCTGGAGTGAGTGTGAAGTTGTTCGAGAAGAACGGTGGCACTTCAGGTAGTTTCGTGGTTGGGTTGGCTGGGACGAAGAGGATTAAATGGTCTAGGCATTGCTGTGGTGAGGCCATGGTGGTAATGTTACTTCTAGAAGCGTGTTTTACGTGGAATGATGACAGATTCAAGTGGTTCCATTGTGAGTTGATGTGTACTTGGATAGTTCACTGTTGCTCGTGGAGTCATCGCGCTTAACTAAAAGGGGAAGTAGCTACCAGGGTAGAGGAGGGGTAGCTAGGTCCCGCCATCACTGCGCCATATGCATTATCTGCTGTTTCCTTACGATGTTGCCTGGAAGAACAGTTTGAAACTTCTAGATATCTGGTATAGAGGAACAAGGGTAGGTGGTTCAGCAACTGAGAGCGGTTGTGCCGCATCGAGCCGCTTCATATCAGCCAGCCGCGGGAGCCATTCTCGCTTGAAGCAAACCACTCCCGCATCATCACCATCTCTCTTGCATCAAATATGCATGACGGCCTCACGCAGTTTGCCCTTCTTGCGCAATTGGCCACCATATGCATGGTGCATGGGGGATCGCTTAATCCAAACCATACCGTGTCCTGTTGGTGCTGCAGGCCGCAGAACATGCGTTCCATGCCAAACTTAGATCTTCTACGTGGGGCAGGGTCGTCTCGGACTCAGCTGAAACTACTATGGACCATGTATCGTCGCTTTACATGCTCTGGGGTTTGAGTTGACGGCCGAAAGAGGCGCGACGGTGCGAAGAACTTCAAAGATGCGCAGAGACCCGGCGAACAACCATCGTCAAGTCGATACGGAAAATGTAGAGACCAATTCAGAGATCAGTGCATCGACTTCCTCAGCCATGGAACCTCATACTGAAGACGATCCCGATTCTTCAGAAGACGAAGTCGTCTAGAAGGGTCGATTGAAAGTTCGAACCAGTCCAGGCGCGCAACCTCCAGTCGACCGGCTAACTAATCCCTAGCGGAGACAGGGCGAAGCTGTCAACAAACGAGTGGTGGCCCCTTTGTATTATCCGCCTACATACTATAACCCTTATCTGCCTTATCCTCAACCTGCCTGGCTATCAAGCCTAGTTATTTCCTACCTAGGTAACCCAACCCCAGCCCATTTATCAGCCTACTCACGCAACCGTCTGCGATCTTTATATGACTTCCGTATCTCTAATAGGCATGCATGAACAGGCCGTTCACTCACCTGAGCTTGAGTATCCGACTAGGAGCATACTGCAGACACTCTACCCATATGAATTTACTGCATTCCGCGAGGAGCCTTCAAGCTTTTGTAGTGAGCTACCACAAATGTCGGACCGAGTTCTTCATGCTCCCCAATGTTGGATCGTTATCCTAAATTCCTGTGAGAATGCATATGTCACTTCCGTACTACTGTCTGACTCTGCCAGATATCGTGATTTCATGTGCCGAGCTCGATAGTACCGATCTTAGGGATTCAACGATTTCGCTCTCGCATCACAAGACGTACTTCCCACTTGTCATTGATCATCAAGGCCAGGAATCCCAGTGGACAGGTCTTACAACTCGGGATCGGTCTGCCGCGGCCGGTCATGATTTGATGGAGTCTTCACAAGCTGTTGCACAGTTGGAAACTGATACACAAACATACGACCACGACCTAGTACAGCTGTTCGAAGGAATGCGTGTCGAGGACTACAGGTTCCAAGATGATGAGTCTGATGCTCTGAGTATAACGACTACTTCTGAATGCTCGCTGGATAACGTAGAGATCACAACGCCGACCCAGGACGAATATAGCAAAGCGCAACAGCAATGTATCACAGCTAGTTCTCCAAATGGCGCGGATAGCCGTCTAGCCCAGGACCACTCTTTCGAAGAACCAGATAACCACGAAACGCTCCCATCAGCTCCAGGGAGTCCCTCTATAACACTGATCTCGCAAGCTTCCACGTTACTGGTCCTCGCAACAACTCCCATCCACTGCAGCTCGAAAGTCTATCACTGACAGTAGAAGAGGCAACTAAAGTAGAAGCGACTATTCTTGCACAGCTAAAGTCGTTGGAGCATCCTCAAATAACGACCGAGTACCTAAAAAAGTTCAAATTAGACATGTCCCGTGTTCTCAGACTATGGGGTGGCGCCCCACCTGAAGCACGAAGGCGCTAACTTGAGATTCTGACGCGGTTGCAGGCCGGTATAGCTCGTGCAGAACTGTTGCGCAGTATGTGCGAGCTAGAGTCACAGGGCACAGTCTTTTCGTCAAACCCCAGCTACCGCGATGATATGCTTAAAGCACTTGGAATCGAGAATTCATCGCCCAAGAAAGAATCAGAAAGTCTTGAGGCTATAGTCAGGGATGCTATGAGTCTTTTCGAAGGAACCTCAAACTCGAATACCACAAACGCAATCAGATCCGCAAAGAGATCACTTCGAGCTCAAGGCCAAGCACCCAAATCCGTAGTTTCTGAAAAGGCAGAGTTGTCAAACTTGGCTTCTGGGTTAGTCTGTAAAATGGTAAAACCATTCTTGACCTGGATATCGATGGAAGCGGAACTGGATCGGAAGGATGATATAGAGCGCATCACAGCCGAGCATCTTCACGTGGTAATGCGAGAGATTGAACAGGGTAACAGCCAAAGAAACGAACAGTCTTACAAATCTTCCAAAGAACTCACAATCTCCGATCTAGAGTACTCACTGGTTGCCACAAAACCTCAGCTGTCTAGCGATATCGACGCAGCCAGTCAACAACGAATCTCGAGCCGGCCAGAACCATGGATCACTACGTCGCAAGTGTTATTGGCTCTTGGGGCAATGTCAAAAAAGCTCCCACGTGAGGATCCGGTTCTTCACGTACAAAAAGGTGTAGTTTACACTGCGATTCATGATCTATATTCATGGTTGAAACGTTTCGTTGAGCTCTATATTCCGTGTGATTATCCACACTCCGTGTGCTACAGGATCTGGGGCTCAATGGCGCAGCTCAATGTATGTCAAAATGTTTTATCATCATTCTCTCTTACACCATTTGATAGCTGTCAATTGATTTCTTGAGAGAGGGTGCAGTACCCATTCGGTACATATCGTTCACTCCCTTACGCAAAGATTGTCTATACTGACAAGAGGAATAGAGTGCGACTCTTTTGTTTGATGATGATGAGCATGCAAAGCTCGTCTTCATCATACGCCCACTCGAAATGGAGTTTTTGCGCACCTATGGAATCAGCGAGCCAATTGTCCCAATTGAGTCTTGCTCAGCGTGTAGGGATGGACAGATATACAACTCACGTCAGGACGCTTTGCATCACCTTAGCATAAACATTACCGTGAAAGCTCGGATTTGGATCCATCAGGATGTCAGCAAAGTGTGCGTCGCCACTTTTTACGTATTGAAAACAACGTTCGCAACGAAAGAGCCAACAAGAAGCAACTACGGCTTCTACAGATCTGCATACGGTATCTTAAGCTGTTGGTCACGCGAGGACTGAGATTACATTCTGGGGTTACTCTCGATAAACATGACGGCCAGCACCGATATCACTTACCGGTAGGCCTTATCGACTGTTTCGAAGAAACAACACTCTTTCTGATGCAAGCTATGACGACTGTGGTTGCCATAAGGAACGAGACACGCATGTGGAATCATGTGCCGGGAAAAGCAATCGACGATCTGGAGACACCTACGATACGAAGTGCACTCGAGGAACTTGGAAAGCTGGGTGAATCCGCGCAAGCTTCTATGACCAAAGCTGAGAAGGCCATAGCTCTTGCTGAGGTCGAGGAGGGTATGGTCAGTATAGGCAGTGCCGAGCCAGAGTTGTTTGTTTCGATCTTTCTCCAAAACATCGAGAAGAGGCATCTCCTCAAAGAAGTAAAGATGAATGTCAATCAGCTATACCAGGAGTATACTTCCGAATTGGTAAGTGTAGCGCGCCCAACTAAAAACTATCAAACCCGCTACTTGCACTATCCATGCGCTTGGCTTTGGTCACTAACACTTCAGCAATATCAGATCAACCAATTTCCTCGCAAGCGTCTGCTTAGAACCATCCAAAAGCTTCAGGAAGAGCTTACCGTTGTTCAGCTCGTAAACTCGTGGCAACAAAAGACTTTCACTAGTCTACTCCAGGTTCTCGACCCACAAACCTTCGAAGACCCCATACCCGATCGCACCAATATGTATCCATCGGAGTTGGAGTGTATCAGTGACAGTCTCAAGTCTCTACAAACCAAAGCGGTAGAGCTCGAGGCTCTCGAGCACCGCACGCAATACCTTCGTGAGCAGCTAAAGCAGAGTGTGGAGATTCTCGAAGAAGACCACGGTAAAGCTATTCTGGTATTCACAATGATCACCACCATCTTTCTTCCGCTGTTAGTGTCCTTTATTGTCGCATATTAATATGGGCTAACACAGTCTAGCTCGTTCATAACAAGCTTTTTCGGCATGAACATGTCAGACATCCGCAACACAAATAGTACCCAAGCTTTCTTCTGGGCTACTGCCATCCCAGTAACCGCTGGTATCGTTTTTGCTGCAGTTTTGCTAGCGTATCGCGGGGATAAGCTGTACGACAGTGTCGTACAGGCCATGCACGAAATGAAAGAACAGCGGAGACGAAAGAACGTACAAGCACCTTTACAAAGTGGAAGGAAGTGGCGAGATCTCTTGTCATTTGCTCCGCCTTCTTGGGTTCTGCGCAGGCGGAGTAATCTCAAAATCGAGGGCGTTGAGCTGGACACTTTAAAATCTTCTTACGATGGCCAATCCGCCGTTGTAACATGAGGTTTACTGTTTGCGCGCCCCAAGAATACTATCTTATAACGCCTTCATCAACCCCTCATGCTTCACAGTCCAACTGCCGTCCTTGGGAAAGCCTGGTGCATCGCCTTCTGATCCCTTCCAGCCCGCCGCACAGTACGCAATCGCATACAGGAAGCCCGCATTACCAGGCATGAACGGCGGCGGGGTACCACCATCTCCGCCTCGAATCGCAAACCCTGCATCATCAAACTTCCAATAATCATACGCAGTAAGATGGTAAATCGCACGCTCGGGGTTGCCAATCCGCGCACTGTTGATAGCGAGGACAGGACGTCCCCAACCTCGAATCTTGTCATCGCCCCATACTTCCCAGACTTTGTCGGCGGTGCGAAGCGCGACTTCGGGGTCTACGGCGGGCGTATCGGGGAGGATACCTTGCATCATAATGAGGCTGCGGGGATCGCCGGTGAGCTTTAGGTCCGCCCACCAAGAGCTGTTGAGTCCATCGTATACAGTGTACAAGCCATCGATTTTAGGTGGTAAAGCCAGGTTTGCGGCAACGTGCATCCATTTCTCAGGAACAGGTTGGTGCAGTTTGCGCTTCCATTCTGCGGCGGCATCTAGACCGTAGCGCCAGTATGCGATCTCGTATGCTAGGTTGCGAGTAGAGTTTGGTGGTGTGTTTTCAGTCACACCGTAGGTTGGCGGACCGAGGTCGTACTTTCCAGTGGTTGCATTAAGGCCGGGATAAGATGCCATGTAGTCTGCAGTAGCAGTGAGTACCTTGTCCCACTTCTGAAGAGTTTCTCTTGTAGGGCTCGCCTGAAATGCCAAGTTCGCGAGATAGAACGGGTGAGGTTGCTGCCATATCAGCTGGGCGTTGACGTCGCCTGGTGAGCTGACGCCAGTTTCGAGCTCCGTCATCTTTGGCCATCGCGCACCTTCCCAGCCCATGTATTGTGCGCGAGCCAGAGATGAGGGAAGAAGAGTCTCGTATAGCTCTGGGAAGATGTCGTCAAAATACTCCTGGCGACCCCATGTGGCCCAGTGCGCGTTATGCCAAATCAACATCTCCATGTGAAACTTGCCATACCAGCCATTGTTCATCAGCCCACTTTCTTGCGGCGATTGACCCTTGGCTGCGCTATTTACGCGGACGTGGTACTGCGACTTGATGATACGACGCTGGAGCTCGGTCGCGTTCGGGTTGGAAGATGCAGTTAGATCAACGAAGCCGCCCTCTTTCCAGTACTTATTCCAGCCCCGCACATTCTTATCCGAGATCTTTGCGGGCAGGCTCGGCACACGTTGGTCGGGTGAGAACTGGGCAGTGAAACCGATCGAAGAATCAGCGGAACTTGTACTCAAGGTGTAGCGGTGTGCTGTAATGGAAGTTGAGTTCGGAGGCTCGTTTCGGGTCAGCTTGAGTGATGATTCTTTTGGCCATCGCAAGTTGGCAAAATATCGCACTTCTTGCAAATCATGCTGGATATGCGCCGATGTGCGATCGCTTCCGTCTTCCAATAGCGTAGTGCTGTGGTTGAGAGGAAAGTCGTATACACCTGCAAAGACCTACGGAGACGGTCAGTACATGACCAAGGTGCATCGACAAAGGAGCTCGATGGATACCTACTTCGTATTTATACTGCGTGGTATGTATAGGTGGATACGGGAAATCCAACTCGACCTGCAAAGCGCCACTCTTAATAAGATTCGACTCGATTGTAAAGGCAACAGCATCGGATTCGAAGTCGCCCTGGGTCACCACCTTCACATCTTCGCCGTCAACCTTGAAATTGGATGTGATTGTGCCATCCCACAACTCCAATTCTTGCCTTGACTCGGTGATGAATGATTCGTTGAGTGTACTTCCTTGGTAGCGGAGGCCAATGCGGCCCAGGTTCAGTCGGTTTGGATTGCTGATTAGCCATTGAGTTGCCTGCTTTAGCTTGGGATCTGGGATGTCGTAGTAGACTTCGCGTCCATATGTCTCGCGCATGACGCCTTTGTAATCAGAAGGTAGCTCCCTATACGCGTTAACGGCAACAAAAGAGCGCGACTGAGTACTCCATACCCGTTCGCAGGAAGTGAGTCATTGTGCCAGGCCCAGCTAGATAATGTATTGAAAGGCAAGTATGTCTGCGCTTCAAGTCAATCACGTGGTAGTTTTGGAAGTCCAAATGACATGCCTGCATTCCTGTGGTATCAACGTTGTACGCAAAGTTGCCGTTGCCGACCTGGAGAGGTGTCGTCTCATTGTCGATGAGGTTGGTTCGGACGATGTTGAACTGCGAGACTATTGAATGCCTGCTCGCGTCAGAGTCCTGAACCAAAATAGAATTGTTGCACTTGCCTATCAATCTTGCCGTAGACCAAAGTGGATAGCAGTAAGGTGTAATATGCTTGTATGGGAGAGGAGCGCATCTTGACTGTTTACTTGGTCCATTAATGGGTGTAGCGAGAGCGACAGCGTCCTCGCGAAACCATTTGTACCTCATGGTTATCGACGTTGCATCGGATCAGCAGATGATCGCATCCCCGTGGGGCACCGTATTCCGGGGTAAATGTACACCGAGAAGGATCCTGAGGGCTATCATGGCTGATGTTCGGTTAGTGCCTGGCTAACCCCAACGCTCCCCGCCTTTCTCGAAGCTTGATTAATTCCTCCGTTGGCGCATGCCCGGAACTTCATACCCTCGCGACGCGGCGAAGGTTGTTTCCATGGAAGCACAGTTAGACTCGTGCACTTTGGTCGGTTCAAATACCATACATGAACTGACGCAATCAGAATGGAATGATGACAGGAGGAAACTTATGGTAGGCCTAATATCCACGACTGCCTTACTAAGAAGCTCATGGTCAAAGCGGTTCGCGAACTAGTGGGTATCTGCATCTACGGATCAGCCGATAAAGTGATACATGAAGTAATACATTGTCGCATCGCGTAGAGACGCGCACCTGAATGTTGCAAAGACGCTGTTTTTGTGGTGAAGCGTGGAAAACCGCTACGCGGTGGGTATTCCTAGCCCCCTGGCATGCCCGTCAATTACATCATCGCACTTTCACACCCTCATGGCTTGTCCGGTGGCTCACCCACCGCATCAGCAGTGCTACGCTCTTACATCACTTCCGTCTCGCTTCAGCCCATCAGTGAAGCTGCCTGGCTGTGCTGAACCCTTACTCTGACGCCCGCAGACCGTCAAAGGGATCGCTCCATGAACACGCGTAACTCTATAAAGTAGCCCGTTTTCCCAAGTCTTACTCTAGCTGTGGAGAACTCCAATGGCACTCACTGTGGCTCTAGTAGTATTAGCATAACATGAACAACTTCAAGGTAAGTCTTCCTGTTAGCTCAAAGCGGTTGCTCGGAGTCTGCTTCCCATGCTCCGAGAAAGAGATATAGAGAGGTTAAAGCTTGCTATGTGATACGCATGGCCCTGATTGGTATTCGAGACGGTGAATCGCGGTGACTTCTTCAAAGGGTACTTGTCACACTTTCACCGCTGTGCAGAGGTGACTGGTGAAGGAGAATGCAACGTGCTTTGACAGGGATCTCGGAGACGCGCAGATATTGCCCTTAGATTGTTTTCCTCAAGCTTAACGCTCAAGTTTGGACATCCCAACGCAATGGAAATTTCCACAAATACCGCTGAGTTGGCGGTGCGATTACGTAGCCTCGCAGGTAGCATATCGATAGACGACAACGACGACCCTCGCGAAGAGCACAGATGGCGGAGACCAAGTTGAATTTGATCCTATCAAATCTACTTCTTCTTCTCCTCTTGTCCGTCATCGTCTTCATCCTCCTCGTCCTCCTCATCACTAGATTCCTCATCATCTTCATCCTCTTCATCCTCCTCCTCATCATCCGAAACTTCCTCCCCAAGAGCCTTGAGCCGTTCCTACATCCACTATTAGTCCCATGTTCACATAGGTCTTTGTCCGAAAGGGTGGAATATACCTTGTCCTTGGTCCTCTTCTCTTCAAGATCGCTGAGGACCATGATCAAGTCTTCAAGTTCGGTGGCCTTCTCCTTTTCACTTTCCTCGGCCTTTCGCAATTTATCTTTCAGTTCTTTGACCTCTTTCTCACTGACGCCCTTCTGGTTGGTACTTGGCTTGGCGGTAGTTGCTTCTGCTTTGCGGGCCTTTTCTTCTGCTTTGCGGAGCTTCTCCTCCGCTTCTTTGACCTTCCATGTTTGATCCTGTGCTTTCGTCTTAAGTTCCTGATTCTCCGCTTTCAGCTTCTCAATAGCCGCCTGCAAGCTTTCCTTGTCTGATTTGGATTGCTGGAGCTGGGTTTCGTGGTCTGACTTCGCCTGCTGGAGCCGCGCTTCCGATTCTTCTTTCAGATGCTTGATCTGTGTTTCTTTCTCATTGGCGAGTTGCTCCTTCTCCTCAGTGAGAATCTGGAGTTGTGCTTCGCTGTTCTGCACATGACTCTGTGCGTTACGCAGGGTCTCTGTGATGGTAGCCACCTCAGTCCGTGTCTGTATAAGTGTGTCCTGTAAGTTCCTCACGTTGTCGATGGCGTCCTGTCTCGCTTTCTCTGAAGCGTTCAACCTCCTCTCCAATTCCCCGCACGTCCGATGTGCGTCATGGAGTTGCTCATCGTACTCCTGTCGCACCTTTGCAACAGCAAGATTCGCGTCTTTATTCGCTTGTTGCACTTTGTTGTTCAACGCAACGATTTGAAGATTATACTTGTTTTCCGTTTCCAGCATTGCCTGTCTGTGCTCGCGATCCTTCTTCGCAGCTTCCTTGTCGATATCGTCGTGCAGTTTGTCGTTGATGCGTTTCAATGTGCTGCGTTGCTCCTCGGCGGATTGCTGGGTCTTGCGATGCTCAGCCTGCTCTTGATCTATCTTTTGCTCTAGAGTCATGAGTAGTGCTTTGAGTTCTTGGATCGTTTGCTCTTTCTCGTCGCGCTCCCCGCGGAGCGCATCGACTACATCTCGGTCAATGCCGTCGTGCGACTGGTGCTGTTCAATGTTTGGGTTGCGGTCGATGGCTCGAGATAGCCGGCTGAAGTTGTCTTTGAGAAAGTCTACAAAGGCTTCATCGAAGAAGATATCTGGCAAGCTACCACCTCCACCGCCATTTCGGGGCAAGACCTCGAAGTCGCGCACGAGTGGATGGCGTCGTAGTTCAGTGATGGCGTCGAGATACTTGTCGCGACCGAGCTTCGACATGAGTAATGGTTGAAGTTCGCGCCGTGGCACAGGTGAGTCCCTTGTTGAGAACTCGTATACGACTCCCAGTAGTGCTGCACAGAGACCACGAATCACGACGCGATCTTCTCCAGGGGTCAGAACGGCTTGTACCAGACTCTGCAGGCTGCTGGCTTCGCCCAAGAAATCATCTACTGCAGCAGCATCCTCGAACAGCCATCCTAGCAAAAGCATGAGATAAGCTACTGATATGCGCTCATCCTCCCCGAGTTGCAGGCTTGCAATTAGGTTCGCTGTGAGCGTTTGTATGCACGTAACGACCTCCTCGCCGCTCTCTGCATCTCCCTCCTTGACTTGCATAAGGGTGTTCTTTGCTTGATAATCATCGAAGATGAGGTGGTAGATGAGGTTTGCAGCAAACCAGATTCTGTACGGGTCGCCCGTGGGTGGAACTTGTGGTCCGGCCATCAGAATCGTCAGAGCATTGGCTGTTTCATCGCCGCCCTGGTGACCATCGATGGCTCGGTTGAGGAAATGCTCTTTTATTTGCACGTGGTTGTAGAAGTAGGCCTTGATACACTCACAGCCTGCATTGCGCAAGTCGAATAGCTCATTCGGTGCTGGGGAAAGGACCAGGTTGAGGAGGGCTTCGATAACGTACACAGAGGCTATGCCGTTCGGAGAAGTAACGGCATTGGTAGCGGGTTCGACAATGGGCCTGACCTGCTCTCCAGCGAATCCTTCTTGGAGCCGAGCGTTGCCTCTGATCAAATCCGCGAGGGTGTTGAGAGCCTCGATCTTGATGGGCATGGCCGTTGCAGGGTCGAAAGTGATGTTCAGGAGCTGTCGGACGAGGCCATGTTGTTGAAAGACATTCTGGTTTTGTAGCGTGCCCGCGCTACCCTTGACGAGAAACATGCGCATGATGGCTAGCAACCCCCAGATGTTCTTGTCGCTTTGTGGACTAACCCATTCATCCTCGTCTTCTGCGCTTGGGCGTGCCTTCTTGGGCTTCTTGGCTCCTGGTAGCAGCGCAGCGAATCTCGCGACATGGCCCATCTCTCTTATGTTGGTCTGGTTGGACACATTGTTTCGTACAAGGATAGCCAGCAGGCTCAGGCAATCTTGAACCACGACGCCGCCCTGTGTGAGGCCACCGTCGGCGTGTATCATGTTGAAGACTTTGGTAAAGGCATCCTCAAATACGAACAACTTTTGGAGTTCGGTAGAGGTGCGAGATAGGTCAGTCAGGACGACGAGGGCTTCGTTGCGAATAGCATCGCGGGGGTCGTCCAAGGTGGCTACTAGGCGCTCAATGCCGCCGGGGGCTGTGAGGACGCATTCCTGTGTTCGCTGGGGTCGTGCTAGCGAAATGGCGCGTATGAGTTGCAGCGAATATAGGCGGGAGTAGAAGTCGGGCGTGTCTAGGAGGTCGAGGAGGAGGGTTATGTTGTCTTGCCGCTATCATAAGCTCAGCACTAGCAGGCGTGTACGAGGACAGGACGTACCTGGGAGAACTGGTCTGCCAGCAAAAACTCCAGCTCTGGCGACGCCTCGGGACTATTCTCGTCCGGGTGGAAGAGCATGAGCAGCGTCTCCAGCACCACCTTGAGCGTGTCCACATCTTCTCCATCTTTGGTTAGACAAGCTATGAGTCCTTTGAGCGCTTCTGATGCGACCGAGGCCGGGTATTGTTTGGCGAAGCTCCGAAGGCCGAGGATGGCGGCGCGACGGTCTTCTAGGAGGGTTGCGCTCGTCAATCTCCCACTAAGAGTGCTGATGGTGTCGGTGGCCGTCTGCTTGGGAGGCGCATTGGCCTCGAGAACTCGCATCATCTTGGTGGATGGACTAGTCTACGACCTCATGGTAGGGAATTTGCGAGAGTGCGTACAGTGGTGTGTTTGCCCGGTCTGCCAGCCATAGGTAAGCCTCTCCGTATAACTTTCCTGTACAACATGTCGTGGTCTCTCCACGTATAATTTAGCGCACGGGCCGTGGCTCCTCCAGACCCTTGTCCAGCAGGGTCGGAGAGTCGGCAAAACCGCGACTCCAGGTCTCGGCCGCGATTGTCAGCTAAGAGCGCGTCGTCCATTACTTCAACCTCTTTCCCCCATCACCATCACCCATCCATATCGTGCGCAACTCGGTGTTCGCGCGCCGAATGAGATTGCGACACTAGGTTCATCGCTGCTCTTGGATATCGCATCCAGCGCTTAAAGAGGAGGACAGGACTTTCATCGCCTTTGGGCAGTCTCTTTCTTTTCCAACGGCGCAATCACTCAGAGGAGCTTTATCGCCACCGTTTGATCTTTCACTACCTTCGCAGTACTACTCAGATTTCAGATCACGAGTACACGCGCTCTCGCTTTCGTCGCAACCGCAATACTACCCTTCCCAGCTACTTTCCCCCTACGCCGCGCGCCACTGAGCGCCTATCGTCATCATGGGTGTTCCAGCCATGTTCCGCTGGCTTAGCCAGAAATACCCCAAGATCGTGTCAACTGTGCAAGAGGAGCTGCCTAAAAAGGTTGGCGACAATGTCATCCCAGTAGACCGCACCGGCCCCAACCCCAACGGCGAAGAGTTCGACAACCTATACCTCGATATGAACGGCATTGTACATCCTTGCTCGCATCCTGAAGATAAGCCCGCGCCCAAGACTGAGGCCGATATGATGATGGCCATCTTCGAATACACTGATCGCTGCGTCGGCATGGTCCGTCCCCGTAAGCTTCTCTACATGGCAGTAGACGGTGTTGCGCCTCGTGCCAAGATGAACCAGCAGCGTTCGCGTCGTTTCCGTGCCGCAAAAGAGGCCAAGGAAAAGGACGACGAGCGCGCTGAATTTCAGAAGATGCTCAACTCGCAGAAAGCAAGTCGTGGCGAGGACATCTCCAGTCTCGAAGAGGTCATCGAGAAGACCTGGGACTCCAATGCAATCACACCTGGTACCCCTTTCATGCATCTTCTTGCCGAGAGTCTTCAATACTGGTGCGCGTACAAGTTCACAACCGACCCCTCGTGGAAGGACATGAAAGTCATCATCTCCGATGCATCTGTGCCTGGTGAGGGAGAACACAAGATCATGAACTTTATCCGCTCACAGCGCTCTATGCCTACACATGACCCCAACACTTCACACGTTATCTACGGCCTGGATGCCGATTTGATCATGTTGAGTCTTGCTACTCATGAGCCTTATTTCCGTGTTCTTAGAGAAGATGTCTTCTACGACTCGGGTAAGGACAAGGTCTGCACGCGCTGCGGCCGCAAGGGACATATCAGAAACAACTGTGAATTCCCCGACGATGGCAAGAAGCTCACTGAGGAAGAAGCTGCTGAAGAGTGGTCCAACTCCGAGCACCAACTCAAGCCCTTCATTTGGCTGCATACCAACATCCTGCGCGAATACTTGGCAGTCGAGATGGACACACCAAAGCGCAAGTTCAAGTATGACCTAGAACGCTCACTCGATGACTGGGTCTTTATGTGTTTCTTCGTCGGTAACGATTTCTTGCCACATCTGCCCAGTCTTGAGATTCGAGACCAGGGTATCGACTTACTCATCAGCATCTGGCGAGATCTCGCCGCTGAGATGGATGACTATGTGACTAAAGACGGTTTCCCAGACATGCGTCGTGTACAGCAGATCATGTCCGCTCTGGCGAGCCGAGAAGCTGGCATTTTCAAGAAACGAAAGGAAGTCTCGGATCGCCAGGCAGCAAACAGGGCTAGACGCGAAGCACAGAATAATAACAACAAGCGACAACGAACCGACGGAAACGGCCCGCCTGGCTTCAAGCGTGCCAAGGAGAGTACCGACACTTATACCAGTGCAGGTATAGTATTCTTCGACCCCAAGGATGCGCAGTCAAAGGAAGTGCGCGATGTACACAAGGACATTATGCACACCCGAGACGCCCAGTCGAACAAGAGCGCAGCTGCTCGACTCAAGGAGCTCATGAAGGCCAAGGCCGATGGCACAACTGCACCTGAACCTGAGCCGACTCCAGCTTCTGAGCCCGCTTCCGAGCCCGCTTCCGAAGCTGAAACCCCTGTCCACCTTGGAAAGCGCAAGATAGATGAGATAGAAGATGCCGACAATGGTACGCCTGGTCGCAATACGCCCGTCGTTCCCGAATCGCCTGCCCAGGCTACCGAGTCCCAGAAGAAGGAAGATGGGACAGTAGAAGATACCATCATGCTTTGGGAGGACGGTTACGAGGAGCGTTACTACGAGCAGAAGTTTGGCGTCGATCCCAACGACATCGCTTTCCGCAACAAAGTCGCACGTCAGTACGCCGAGGGTCTCTGCTGGGTGTTGGCCTACTACATGCAAGGTTGCCCCTCCTGGACCTGGTATTTCCCCCACCACTACGCTCCCTTCGCCGCAGACTTTGTCGGTCTCGAAGACATGGACCCCCGCAAGCTCTTCGAGAAGGGCACGCCCTTCCACCCCTACGAGCAACTCATGGGCGTATTGCCCGCCGCGTCGAATCACGCTATCCCCGAGCCCTTCCGTATCCTCATGGAAGACCCCGATAGTTCAATTGTCGACTTCTACCCTCAAGACTTCCCTATCGATTTGAATGGCAAGAAGTTTGCCTGGCAGGGTGTTGCCATCTTGCCCTTTATCGACTCGAAGAGGTTACTAGACGCCATGGGAACCAAGTACCCCGAGCTCTCCGACGACGAGAGGAAGCGAAACGAGTTCGGTAAAGAAACACTCATATTCTCTCAGGAGAGCGGTCTTTTCGACGACGTAGAGAAAGCGCTGTACCGCAAGGGACAGCAAAAATACAAAATCGATCCTGCCAAGAGCCGAGCGCTTCACGGAGATATTGAGCCACATGATCTTTTTGTCATGGACAGTCAGCTTGTTCCGCCGTTTGATGCAAATGGTATCACAGAGTTTGAAGTCACTCAGGATAGGAGCATGAGGTATGTTTTCCTCTCCACACTACTCTATTGCTTTCACATGCGAGACTACAAGTAACTAACAACCACGATACAGAGTGTATTACGAAATGCCCAATGTAAGCTCCACACGAGCACATCAGTCCGCTCTCCTCCCTGGCGTCAAGCTACCCAAACCTGCTCTCAGCCCCGGTGAAGCTGAATCTGTACGTCGCTCTAATGAACGCGGTGGCTTCCGTGGCGGCCGTGGAGGTGGTCGTGGAGGCGGTGGCTGGCGAGGGGGTGGTGGCGGTGGTGGTGGATATAACAACAACCGCGGAAACGACAACTACCAGAACGGCGGTGGTCGAGGAGGAGGCGGGTACCAGAACGGCCGTGGCGGCGGCGGCGGCTACAGTGGCAACCGAGGAGGCTATGGTGGAAACCAGGGTGGCTACGGTGGTCCTCCCCCACCTGGCAACTTTGCTCCCCCATTCCCCGGTCCAGGAGGCAATTTCGCCCCTCCGCCTCCATTCGCTGCGGGTAACTTCCCTCCTCCACCACCTGGATGGGTCCCCCCACCTGGCGTAGGTGGCTTTGCACCTCCCGGTCCGTATGGCGCTCCGCCCATCCCACCACCTGTCACACAACAGCGTCCTGCTTGGATGAACGGCGGAAACCAGCCGCCGCCACAACAGGCGCCCGGTGGTAGTAGTTTGAGGGATGAGAGGTTTTATAGACCTGCTGATGAGATTTTGGGGAGGAGTGGAGGTGGTGGTGGTGGTTATCAGGGAAACAACCCGAGGGATGATAGAGGTGGACGTGGTGGTGGTGGTGGAGGAAGAGGTAGGGGAGGACGTGGCGGTGGTGGAGGGTATCAGGGAAACAGGCCTGCGTACAACTCTAATGACTACCGTTAGACAAACGACATGAAAACTGGGTTTTAGCTAGATCTGAGATGAGATTTTTTCTGTAAGATAGATATATGGGTTTTCTGTTCGAAACTCACAAAACTCTGCCATGATATCTCTTAAGATTGCAACGAAAAGCTGTTTTTTGCGTCGTTCATGAAAGTACCGACCTTTTGTTTTCCAAAGCTCGATGCGTCATGTACAAGGAAGGATGGTATAAATACCTTTGTGCGTCTCTCCCTCCTCGCCCAAACCAACCCTCTTTTCTTATTTCCATTTCTGTTGATCAAAATTGAACCACTACGTCGTGATGGTAGTAGGTGTCTGTATCTTGAACGAAACGTGCAGCGGGTTTGCGTCATGGTCTCTGGCTGTTGTTGTTATTGCTCATCTGTGTGTGCAGTGTCGCGCCTATCTCTTATCCGTCTTCTTAGATATCGAGGCTCATTCATATGAACGTAGATGCCATGACCTTGCATACTTTCAACTTTTGAGCAAAGGACAAGGACAAATACTCGAATGTATGATGGAGCTGTATGAAGTTTTGGTGGCAGAAGAAGCGAAGAAACTTCCATCAAGCCTTCAACAGCTTCTTTTGATCTTTCCACACATATGTCGCATAGCTTTATATTTTGGGAAAATCATAGGGAGAGATGATGTGGTTGCTGGGACATTTCCAAAGCTTGATTACGCTCGTCATGTGTGATTATGGAATACATGACATGTTGAATGACTAAAGCTCGCGAAGCGCAACAGGAGCCCAACACCGTTCCAACACTCTGTCCGCTCCTTAATTCCCTCGTCCCTCCTTCCTCGCCAACACCCAAACAAACGTAGTATCATCAACCGCCTGCCTAGCCTCCCTAACCAAAACCTCCAATCCACTCCCCTCTACCATCCGCACACTTCCTTCCTCCCCCCATCCACTCCAAAACATCCACCCCTCCTCATGACCCAACCACTTCTCCGCCTCCAAACCCGGCATGTCTCTCACGCTGAAGTTGGCCAAGAAATAACCTCCAGGTTTAAGCCACTCCACGATTTTGCCCATGAGTGTGCTTTGTTCCTCACGGGGTAAGTGAATGATGCTGTAAAACCCCGTGATAGCGTCGAAGGAAGAAGGCGGGAAAGAAAGGGACAACATATCGCCCTCTTGTAACGTCAGTCTACCGTCTTGTACATAACCTGCCAGATTAGTCCTTGCGAGATCGAGTTGGGATGTCGAAATATCATTTCCGGTAATCCTAAACTTTGGGTCCGAGCTCTCCAGGAGAAATTTGGTTGCGGGTACTCCGGCGCCGCATCCGAGTTCGAGTACGTTGGCTACTGGCGATGGAGAGGAGGAAGAACGTAACAGGGTGACTAGACGGCCGAGGTAGTCGATACGGAGCGGATCGTTGACTTTGTAGAACTCGGTGTTGTACGTGTCGGCGATTGCATCGTAAGACGCTTTCATGCGGGCTTTTAGATCGGTGGGAAGGTGGTCTCTAAGGACTTTATGGTGTTAGTGTTTTGACTGGCTGCTTTTCCCTTCGAGGTCTGATATATTAACTAACCTGGTTCGCCCATGATTGGCTCTTGTAATGTTATTCAACTCTTGGCGGCATGTGTTATCTCGAAGGGTTTAGATCATTGTAGTTGGTTGCTTCGTTTAGACTTGCTATTATAGAGCCGTTAGCTTGCATGACTCACCCACGTGATACATGTCACGCTAGTAACTATATCCCATGGGGATGGGGTAAATGCGTGGAAAGCGGGAAGTTGGCATCTACCTGTCAAAGATATTTCTACATCCCGCTAAGGCGGAAGTCTGAAAGGGCTGAGAGGGAGTCATCTCAAGTCAGCATTAAGCATAAACCCGGCTTGCGCGGGATATCAATGCAGAATGCTGTGACATGCTGACTGGTGATGACTTAAAGGCTTGTAGTCAAGCGGTCAACCCGTCGGGGCTTTCGGTCCATCGGATGATGACCTCGATATTTCCGACGCGGTCGTGCTGTATCTTAAGACACATTCAGCGGTTGGTAGTTTGGAACATGGACTACAGATGCGATATCACTTTGAAGTACTGTGATACTATCGAATCAAGCGACTAATAACACAAACGGAGGTGTACCAATACCCAGACACCAGAATCGTGATGAACACAGGGCTGCGTTGGGAGTATAGGACGTCGCGTAGTTGCTGTAGGTCGCTTCTGCGAGTAGTCAGTCACCTAGGTTAGCCTTTTGCACCTCATCGTCCTCAGCCATTCTCTATACGATAGTATCGATTGTCCAAAATAGTTGCGCAATGAGTACCAAAGGCATTCGGATTGGCGCGGTCGCAATAGACAACACGACGCTTGTTCTCTGCGGTCAAGACGCGACATCCCCCTGGACACAACCTCGCTTTCTAGCACCTGTCACACCCGCGGAGAAACCGCAACTCCAGGACTCGACAATACCAGCCCATCACCAGACATTCAAAGGCTATTGTCAGCTGCGGAAGCATATATTGATGACTACGTGCGCCGGGGTTGCCATCGGAAGAACTCGGCATTTCGGAACGAAAAGCGTACGACCATCTGGCGTTGATGGCATGACTTTTTGGTCGCCGAAAACTTTTGCTACGAATGACTACGAGGCTTGCAAGAAAACGTTTGCAGGGTCTCTGGTATTGATTTAGATGCCCTGGTTGATTTCCAGCTAGAACTTCGATGATGCAGGTATGCAAGTCTGCAGTGCAGAAAGGTCAACACTGGCTTTTCATCGCTCTTCCATGTCGCTGCAAGTAGCAGGCAATCCTGCAGCATACCTTCTTACAGCGCGAGTAAGAAAAACACGAAGCTTCGTCACTGGCATTCGGAGTCTAGTCCCATAACGTTTGTACCTGAACATCATCAACGTATCTAATCCCTGCCCCCTAACCCACATCTGCAGCGGAAAAAGGCGACGGGACCCGGGGGCGACCGGACACGAGGAAGCCCGCATCAATCACACGTGGGCTATACGTAATACGAAACCCTTCTTACAGATGTTTTCCTATTAGCTAGCGTAATTTCCGTCACGCCTTGTAATGTGGAACCCTTAGACTTTTCTTAATGTCATTCGATCTATCCTTAGACCCTAAAGAGAAAGTTGCATCACCGCGGAGATGCATACTCCAGCGGGTCTTGTAGGAGGTAAGAGAAATGGTGTGGCGCAGGTGAGGAACGGAATGGACAAGTATATAGAGGGACGTGTAGGATGCGAAGATGTGGCTTGTTGAATCATCTATATATCTGTTTCCGTTACTTCATTTGTGGTAATAGTGACATACACGCACTCCATTCCCGGACAAATTAATAACCACAACGCCAACGTCAACGACAATCCATACCTCGCTTTACAAACTCTACCGAAACACGACAGCAAACAACGCACCCAATCCTCGCCAAATCACCACCAAAATGGGCGCATTAACCCCCTCCCAAGTCCGCACCATCAAAGCCACGGTCCCCGTCCTCGCCGAACACGGCAATGCCATAACAACAAAGTTCTACCATGACATGCTAGAAGCGCATCCAGAACTCAAAAACGTCTTCAACAACACCCACCAAGCAACCGGTCACCAAGCCCAAGCCCTCGCTGGCTCCCTCTACGCCTATGCCGCCAACATCGACGACCTAGGAAAGCTGAGTCCAGCCGTCGAGCTAATATGCCACAAGCACGCCAGTTTATTCGTCCGACCAAATCAGTACGACATCGTTGGCAAGCACTTGCTAGAGACGATGAGCACGATACTGGGTGAAGCTGCGACGCCTGATATCCTAGACGCATGGGGCGCGGCGTACTGGCAATTAGCCAACATCATGATTGGCAAGGAGGACCAAATGTACAAAGACACCAGCTATTGGCCTGACTGGAAAGACTTCACCATTGCCAAGAAAGAGAAGGAGAGTGAGGAGATCACGTCGTTTTATCTTGAGCCCGTAGATGCAGAGTTCAAGTTACCGGTTTACAAACCGGGGCAGTATATCTCGGTTAATGTGTTTGTCGAGGAACTGGATGGGGGTGTGTGGCAGGCGCGACAGTACAGTTTGAGCGATGCGCCGGGCAAGAAGTATTTGAGGATCAGTGTGAAGAAGGAGCCTGGGATTGAGGTGGGAGAGAAGAGGCATATGACACATGCGGGTTATATTTCGAATCTGCTGCACGACGTGAAGAACGAGGGGGATGTGGTGAAGGTGTCACATCCATTTGGAGATTTCTTCTTCGATGCGGAGGAAGTTGATGCGGACGCTCCTGTTGTGCTCATCTCAGCAGGCGTCGGTTTAACTGCTCTAACCTCCATCTTCAACTCGCTCACGAGCGAGAAATCGAACCGCCCGATAACTTGGATTCAAGGTGCGCGTAACTCGCAAACGCGCGCGTTCAAAAGCTACTTCGACCAATGCGCTGCCGCAAACGAGAACGTGCATGCCGTGTTTTACTCGTCGAATCCGCTACCAGAAGAAGTTCAGGGCGAAGACTACACTATCAAAGGTCGCGTGGATCTGGACAAGATTGACAGGCAACACCTGCATGCGGACAACGGCAAGACAGTGTACTACTGTTGTGGACCCACACAATTCATGCTCGACGTTGAGGCCAAGTTGAGGAGCTATGGCGTACCGAGTCAACGGGTGAAGATGGAGTTGTTCGGTACCGGTGGAGTACCGAGGGTCTAGAGTATTGCGTGAGATAGAGATCGGCCTGCGTATTTGCGCAAAACCCAGCTATCATTCTTTCTTGCTTTGGGTCGGAGTTGGCTAGATGATTCATTATGTACTTGTAGCTATAGATTAGTATTACCAACTTATTTCCCTTTACTATGTACGACGGGTTATGCTCATCCGCGCGTCAGCGACTGACGGATCTTGTCTGTGCAGCGGCGTACAACCCACTAATTTGGGACGTCTACAACAACGCGCATACCGTAGGACGCCATTTGCAACGTTCCCACGCACACGTGCAGCGGAACGACGAGCTTTGATTGCAGATCTTCCTAGTTGTCAGCGGGAAGATATGTACCAGGACATTGACCATTTCCGAAGTCCCGGTTGTTCAGCAGGTCAGGCCATAGGTCGCACACTTGGTCCCACGGTAAACGCAGGGCAACCTCCCCAGGACCACGAGAGAACCCTCTACCTCCCCACTGAACGGATGATCGATGATAAGGGGTGCATGAGGCTCACCTGCCACCACAGCAGGGCCGGTAGGATTGTATGAGACGATAGGGCCGAATTCTGAACGTTGTCCGTAGCATTTTCATGCGGCTGGATGCGAGTCGGAGCTGTTGACGCGCTCCCGCCGACGTCTGATTCGTCCATGGGATCTAAACAACGCATTGTGGGAGAGAAATCTGGGTGGCTGGCAGGCTGGCGGATAGAAAGCAGGCGCCAACTGAGATGACGGCATGCAGTATCTTGAGCAGAGTCATCTCGGCGGCTCGTGTCCGGCGACACAACCGGCGAAAGGGGTAATTTTCTGGAAAAGACAGGGTGTGGGCGAGTGAAGCGCACCGCGACGTGACCAATCCGAGCATATTCTAGAAATTGCATAGAAGGGCGCTCGGATAATGTGCGAGCCTTACGCACAGGGTTGTGACAAGTCATCCTTGCGCCGGAACGTTGGTCAAAGGAGCTGGGGCCGCAACCGTCGGCTGGCCAGTTGGGATGACACAAAGCGCAAGGAATTATGAGGGGCCCTGTGCTTTCGGAGACAAGAATAGCTCCTAGGAATCCATGTCGGCTGTGGATGATGAAACAGTTGCGGCAACTCTGCCTTAGTTGGCACAGTACGTGTTGTGTGCGCGTGACGATGTAACGATGATTCAATAAGAAATAAGATTTAGCTTGTCATTGCCGATCAGTTCTGAACGGATATGGAGAGCAGAGTACGGTACGGTGTGGGGATAATTATGCTTTTGTGATGTGCAGCGAAGAAGCCGTGCACAACACGTTTCGAGGGTGCTCGTGTCAGTCATAGAAACGCGACGAGGCTGGGAGTGGGTCCGGCAAATATGGACATTGGCTTCGGTGGGACGCGCAAGCACAGACGGATCTAGCGGAAGTATACCGAAAGAGCGCCCAGGCTGCAAAGAGTTGAAGATATGCGGGACCCCTTCACCGCAACAAAGCCAGGAGAGAGGTGCAAATGTCGGTGTCGGTGTCGGTGGGCGAGGCTTGGCTTGGATTCGAGTGAGGAAGAGAACCACGTGCCTGACTTGCCCAAACAAAGACAGGCTAGGAGGACACGGAAGCGGCAGGCACGATGCGCTTGCCGGGAAGGAGCACTGCGACCATACAATACATCTCATCTGCAGGGCGGCGGCAGACTCTTGTGTATCTATCGCAAAGGATGCAGATGATGCATATCGAGCCGTGTCTCCAGAACTCATGCAGGTCTCTACAACGTTGGTGTGCGGCCTCGTGGTGGCGGTGTAGACGACGCAGACCTGCCGTTCGCGAGCCCTGGATGATTGACTCGGCGGCGCTCAGGGGCGTCGGCGGGTGTCTCACAAGGCAGAGGGGCGTCTCCAACCTCCACAGAATGAACAAACGTCAGCCAATAAGCAGCTTGCCTGCAAAGACAATACGTTGGTTATTCAAGTGTTATGCTTCTTTTCGCTGTCTCAAACCCAGCTTGTGCTGGGACCGGTTGGTGGCTCGCAAACTTGTCGCCTGCTGCACGTCCTAAGCAAGTGCTATGCACCGTGCCTTCCCTCCTTCTAGCGGCCTTCTATGTGCCTTCCAAATCTGGCCCATGCTCCCTAATCCCGGTACCCCTCCAGGAACCGCTGAATCGTGGTTGTTGGTGTTGCGACCCGACGCCTTGTAGTCATGATGGAGAAGGGGCCATGGGCCATGACAACCACTGCGCAACGAGTGAACCTCATCTGCGCAGTGACTGCTATTGCGACAGGCGACCAACAAGTCAATGGCCGTTGAAGTCAAGTTGGACTGTTGGAGACAGTACACTACCGTCGGCTTGTGGATCCTCATCTGTGCACAAAAGCGCCACATACGCCTCAAACAAAGGTCGCAGGACTGCCCCAGCTCCTTGACAGCTAGCAGCGGCATGCTAACAGGAAAGGTCATGGTGAAGCTGTAGTGTCGCGAGCGTGAGATGAACGCAAGGATAGGGCCGCTCCACAGTTGACTTTGTCGCGATGCATTGATCGTGTGTATTTGAACGTGCCCTGCTCCATGCTATCAGAAGAATGCTTGAGCGTTCCCTTCTACACGCACCACATCCCCCGATCACCGACCGCGACAGGGCCAATCAACCAACGGTAAGCTGCAGCGTCCTGGGACACAGTCAGCAGGCAAGACTGACTACGATGCAGCCACGATTCACCTTTTCTTTTTGCCGGCTGTAGGAAGGAACACGATCGACCAGCGGCCCCCCCCGTCCTAATACACCAAAAAGCTACCTACCATATTGTTGGGCGAAAGCAATCTAATCGGTAATCCGGCCCAAAGTGTGCAGACGACTGTCAACGTCACCATCGGATTATCGTTGTCATTGCATTCTATTGGATTCTCTGCATTCTACTGCACCTTGAAAGAAAGACTCCCTCAGCCGCTGCCGGTATCCGTTTGGTGCAGCCAGTCACTTGGATACTTGAGCGTGAGACTGCAGTTTCGTGTGTCTTCACTTGGTCTGCATAGGCGACAGTATAACTTTCCGTGTCAGTGTGGTGGAGGCCCTCCGACGCTTGGACATCGACGCATCTGCCTGCACATCGTGGTCCCTTTTTGTCGACTAGCCCTGGAAGGATCCGCCCAACGCCGAATCCGAACTAGCGCCATTTGGACTTTCTGGGCAACTACGCGCAACGAGGAAAGAAGTACCTGCAGACTCTCCAACACCACGCTCTCCATCACCGCCATCCCCTGCCCTGCCCTCTCTCCCGTCTATATCTATCTCAGGTACGTACTCCCGCTTTGCACGATTCCCTTTCGCCCCGTGCAGCCCGCGCATTCCCGCTGCAGGTCCTTCTCACCGCTCCACTCCCCTTTTCCACTCTTCAGACGTGGCCAGCGTGACTGCCAGACCGACAATTTCTGGCGCGCCGCTCTTTCACTTTTTACCTGCATTTTGCTGCCACCGCGCTCGCTCAACCTCGCAACTGACATCGCGATACAGTGCATCCGCTGCATTGACCTACGCGCAGCCCCCTCGACGACTCGACTTGCTCACACGCCCAACGACCACCACTGCGTCCTCGCCCGACGCCTGCTGATTTCCATCATCACTACAGCCTCTCACCCTCATCTGGTGCGCACCGCCCCGTCTCTTGCTTCTCGAGCCTGTTGGTGCCCTTGTCGTCTTTGTCGCCTTCTGTCACGCGAAACACGCTTTCTGAGCGAAACACGCTTCTGAGAGAATGGAGTTGGACACTATCCTGAACCAGAGATTAACAGCATCCCTAGGAAACGGAGCGCTCAACATGCAGCACGCAATGCAGCCCCAACACTTCGGCGCGCCGCCCTCGTACCTCAATGGCGGCCACATCAAGTCGGAGAACGGCTCGGAACGTGGCGTGTCGCCTCACCCGTCAGACTCTTCGCGCTACTCGTCGCAACAACCGCAGCAGCAACTTCCCTCGTACCCGTCGATTCCCCAACAGCACATGAACGGCCTGCGCTACCCGTCGCCTTCGCAGATGCAGGCGCCTATGCCTATGCTCAACAACAGCAATTACATTCCAAACCCGCCAGACCACGCGTACGCCCAGCAGCAACAGCAAATGGCGGATGCGCAGGTTCAACACCAACACAACGGTGGGCGCCCCGCATCGGACACGGGTCCCCCAAAGGCCTTCGCGTGCTCGACATGTGGTAAAGGCTTCGCGCGACGCAGTGACCTCGCACGTCATGGTAAGAAGCTTGGGCCGCAACACCAAAAGCAAAAGCACTGACCGAGACATGCAGAACGTATCCACAGCGGTATCCGCCCTCACGTGTGCGACTACCCCAACTGCGGCAAGCAGTTCATCCAGCGGTCCGCCCTGACGGTCCACCAACGTGTCCACACTGGCGAGAAGCCTCACATGTGCGAGCGATGTGGAAAGGTATGTTCTATCTGCTCCGCTTTATCTTCACAACTAACATCGACAAGCCCTTCAGTGACTCCAGTTCGCTGGCCCGCCACCGTCGCATCCACTCGGGCAAGCGCCCATACAAATGCCCTTACGCAGATTGCCAGAAGACCTTTACGCGTCGCACTACCTTGACCCGTCACCAGAACCATCACACCGGCACCGTTGAGGAAGCGGCTGCCGCTACTGCTGCCGCGCTCGCCTCGCGCGCTTCTGCCTCAAGCAGGACTGGCCGCTCCGACGGTGGTGACTACTCTGAGACGGCATCACCTCTCGGCACTCCCTCGCCCAATGACCGCACACTCTCCCTTTCGCCAGCAAACGGAATGCCTGCTGGTGGTATGCCCGGCCTGCACCGTCAGGGCTCCGACTACGCCTACATGGGCGGCATGAACGTCCCTCCCCACATGCGTCATGAGATGCCCCAGCCTAGCCCGCGTGCCTCTCCCGCACTCACAGCTCAGTCGTATGCCTCCAACGTAAGCGGTTCTCGCCCAGCCATTACATCTCACCCCACCGCCTACGGCCCACCGCCGATTCTTGAGCCTCCCGCGTCGGCAAACCACAACCAGTCTGGAGGCACCACGAGCGCCAACGGAAGCCCTCACATGTCTGCCATGGGCTGGCAATCACCAGGGCAGCAGGCTCTTCCCTCTCCTGGAGGACAAGACAACGGTTACGTCTACCCAGAGCCGCAATACCAGGCACAGAACGGCATGTACTATCAGCACAACAACATCCGTCGGCCCAACAGCACCGAGCCAGACCACTACAACCCAAACCAAAGAGAGATGGGCAACGGAATGTGGGCTCCCGCCGTTCAATAGAATCGCTCCTCTTTCCCTGAGTTCCCCGTCCGATTCGGAAAGACACATCCAATGTCATGCTTGAGCGATCTCACGTCATCGTTGTCTTTTCTCTCTGTAAAACTAATACATGCGAGTCCTTACACTGGTGTTCTCGGCAGGCAGGACTTATACCCCTGTGTCTCAAAATTCTCCTTGCTGGCTGGCGTGTCTTGTTTGCGTTGTACTGCCCTGCATGGCGGATCTCGCGGGTTTGCAGGACCTCGAGCGCTTTGGGATGTTTCCTTGTTCTCTTTCCGGCTTGCCTATCTCTTTTCTGTTGCAAGTATTCCCATGTCGATACTGGGGCTTATTTGGTGGCGGCAATTTTCCATGGGTTTCTTCTCTCCATCATCGCTTCTCTACTGCTGAGAGCTCGATAATGGGATGGTCAGGCGTTGTGGGCGTGTCTCATTACATACACACACATTCAAGACTGGCAAAGGGTGTCCTGGCTTGTGTGTTCCTTCCCTCCCTTTTTGTCTTGGGTTTTCCTTTATGCAAAGGCAAACCCTAAACTCTCTAGACTGGTTATTTAATGAAGGACTTATATCCGACTCCTTTTAGACTACAGCACTTATTTCTGCGCGAGCGGAGCCAAAAATTCAAACCTATATAATGAGCTAAGTGGAAAGAATGCCATGTGTCTTACATCTGTTGTGCTCCGTTCATGCATTGGAATATACGAAGGTTGTTTCTCTAACTTATATCTCACGCCATATAGTGCCGTAACGTGCTGGTTGTAATCCATGTTCAGACTCTTGCAAGATAGAAATTAGCCTCAATCACTGGGGCCTCCACCAAGCATCAGGACGAGACTCAGGACGAATCGGAAAAAGAACGACCATGTTGGTATATCCAACGTCCAAGTCTTGAATCGACCAGTGTCTGCTCAGCTTGGTACAGTACCCGCAATGCCAACTCAACAACCGGCTTTGGAGATCATGTGTTACGCGGTTATGCTGCATATGTGGTGTTTGCCGCCTTGAAGAATCACCTCATTGGGCTCAGCACATTGCTAGCATTGCCCATTATATCCAAGATCGCTGCCCAGGCGACAAGACAGGCCTCGTCAGCTCAGTCGCAACTTTGCCATATGTGCAGTCGCTGATCTGGTGAAAGACGAAGCACAATGCTCAAATAAGAAGACGAAGCAGTGCCATTTCCCCAAGGCCTCAAGACCGTCGTATCCGTATTCAACCTCTCCGTGAAAGCGGTGCGCGGGATTGACGTCGTAGCGCTTGGACCCTCAGATTCGGTCGCTCGGCCCTGTCCTAATCCTAAGCAAGTGGTCATCAGCGCACCAGCCTCGCATTACGTCTATCCACGTCTCTCCTGCATGTTCATTTTACCCCAGCTTGCCACAACCCACACTGCCACACTACCCCAATCTCACCATCGTAGGGTGTTCACACCGACCGCAACTCATCGCGCTACTGATTGCTTGCGCCCGTTCCCTCAAGTGGCACGTCATCCGCCGGCGCTATACCTCAGCCACTCCTCTGGCGACCTTCCCTCCCGACAGCTCCGATCCCACGACACCGCAAAACCTGAGACGGAAAATACGTCGCAAACATGAGTAAAATCGCGAGATCGGTCAAGAACGTGACCAAAGGGTACAGTCAGGTTGAGGTCAAGGTTCGCAATGGTACGGAGTACGCATGGAGCTGTACGAACGGCGTAGCTGACAATCGCAGCAACCAGCAACGACCCATGGGGACCTGTAGGGTCTGATATGGCTGAGATCGCTCAAATCACCTTCAATAGGTACGACGACTGCGAAAGCTCCGCGAGCTATGCTAACAGCTACTCAGCTCGACCGACTTCTACCAGGTCATGGACATGCTCGACAAGCGCCTCAACGACCGAGGAAAGAACTGGCGTCACGTTCTGAAGTCGCTGAAGGTGCTCGACTACTGTCTCCACGAGGGCTCAGAGCTCGTGGTGACTTGGGCGCGCAAGAACATCTACATCATCAAGACATTGCGCGAGTTCCAGCACACAGATGAGGACGGTCGCGATGTAGGCCAGAACGGTAAGTGCGCCTCGCTTTGTGAAAGAGCACACTACTAAGACATTGCAGTGCGAATGGCAGCTAAGGAGCTGACCTCCCTCATTCTCGACGAAGAGCGACTGCGCGCCGAGCGAGCCGACAGGAAATCCTGGAAGTCGCGGGTAACGGGCATCGAAGAGTACCCCGGTGGAGGGCACCACGGTCCAGACAACGGCGAGCGATCAACGCGCCCGCGAAACGGTGAACAGCGCCGTAACCGTAGAACCGAAGAAGAAGATCTCGAGCTTAGGCTAGCGCTCGAGGCAAGCAAGAACGAGGCAGAGGAGGAGAAGAAGCGTCGCGAACGCACGTCCAGAGTCGAAGATACTGACGACGACCTGGAAAAGGCCATTAAGCTGAGCAAGGAAGAGGAGGAGCTGCGCCGAAAGGAACTCGAACAGACCAACGCCGATCTACTTTTCGGCGAAACCACCGCGCAGCCGAATGCATACCAGCCTACAGGCAACAACCAGGGATATCAGCAGCAGGGTCAAGTGGACTGGTTCGGTAATCTCATGGACCAGAATCAGCAACAGCCTCAGAACACTGGCTTCCTCAACAATGCGTACGCGCAACCTACCGGTATGCAGCCTCAGCAGACCGGCTTCCAGAATGGATTCGGCGGCTATGGTGGCTTCCAACAGCAACAGCCTACTGGCTTCGATCAGTTTGGCGCCCAGCAGCAACAGCAGCAGCAATACCTGCAGCCCCAGCACACGATCCAGCCCCAGCAGACTTCGTTCAACAACAACCCATATGGTCAGTTTGGAGGCTTCGGTGACATGGGCCAGCAGCAGATGCAACAACCGCAGCAAGACCAAAATGCGCTCCAGCCTGGTAGCCATAATCCGTGGGCAAGCAACCAGACCCAGGAGTCGCTCAAGCCGCAGCCCACTGGTTCCAACAACCCATTCGCCCAGTCTTTCAACAAACCGCAGCCTACTCAGTCGTTCACACAACCAACGCTGAACACGTTGAGCGAACAGAAGACGCAGACCCAATTCAACAATACTTCATTCAATCCTCCCGTATCCTTCGCAACGCAACAGACTGCGCAACCTCAGCAGCAGCAGCAGCAGCAGCAGCAACTTCAGCCGCCACAAAAAGAGATGGACCCCAACGCCGCCAGACTCAATGCACTCCTCGCAACAGGAGAAGGTCAAGATACTTTCGGCAACGTTGGCAATATGCGTATCCCAGCCCAACACACCGCCCCAGGCACATTTGTCAACTCAGCTGGTTCAGGCTTGAACCGAGTGAATGCCAACGCCACGGGCAACAACCCTTTCTTGAACTCTCAGTTCACAGGGATGCCTCAGCAGAACCGTCTTGTGCCTGCGCAGACTGGTCCGGCGAGCGGCTTTGGTGCTAATCCTTATGGCAGCGCTAATCCGTTTGGTGCTCAGCCCGGGCAGCAGCAGCAGCAGGGCCGACAGCCTGGTGCTAACAACCTGATAGACTTATAGGTTTGCGGATCCTGAGGTGGACGGATGGTTCAGCGACACAGAGTAGTGTTGCTGAAGTGCGGTCACTTTGAGCGGGGAGTCCAATCGCTTTCCTCTCTATGGTATCTTTTCAATGGTTCTTACAACTATACGTCACGGGGGCCAGAGGCAGGATGGACAGGACGGACAAGGGTTGATGGCAGGAATGCGTGTGATCTATTTTGATTCCCTTTTATTATTCTTCTTCTTCATCTTCACCCCTACCAACGCGGTTTGCATAGATGGTGAATGGGTCGTGGTGCGGCCAGTGTAGATACAGTTTGATGAGACAGACTATCCAACCGACGTCTAGAACAAGACTGTAATCTTTAATTCTTATTCACATGGAGTGCATAATGAAAATGAAAGTAGGAAGCTATTGTGGAGGTGGAGGTCTTCTCTCCATGTAGGTGTATCCTTTCACCTTGAACGTAGGAAGCTATGGCAGAACAAAGGCACGTGACGAAATACTTATGCACGCATTGACGTTTGCCTGACTTGAATCCTGACACTTCGTACGCGCTATTCAACCCCGCAGTCACCCACCTCCGCGTCGAACCCACCTGCCTCTTGCCGTGGCCGGAACCTCTTTGCCGGCCTATCGTTTGTGCTGCACTGGTTTATTTACCATTGTATTATTTACTGGCCGTGTCTTTCTAAGCCTATCATCAAATGCCGCGCAACAAACCTGCAATTATTAGCATTGCGTAGACTTCACGCTTGATCCGCATACTCCACGCTATCGCACTGCGCTATCGCTTGGCGACTTCGACGCGTCACAACCAGCCAGCCATCATCCGACGTGCAATCTGGACGTATACAAGTTGCTAGTATCGCTATTGTTTTTTTGACGAGTTTCTCTACCCAACGAGTCCACATGGTTTCGGACGACGAAGTAATAGCGCGAAACCTACGCCCGGTATCCGCCAGGCGTGGCCGAAAGCGTGCCGTACAAGAGGAGGAAGTTGAAGCGCAAGCGACAGAGCCTAAGAGGTTACGTACTGGCGAACCAGTTGACGACAATGTTGTTGACCATCAACCCCCAGTCGCCGAGGCATCAATCGCGCGAATCCGAAGTGGTCTCCTCACACCAGAAGCCAGCACATTGACCGAGTCGCAACTCGCACCTCCCCTACCAGCCGCCTCCGCTACCGAGACCTCGCCAGCAAACACCTTCCCCTTTATCAAACTCCCCGCCGAACTCCGCATCCACATTTACCACATGGCCCTCGTCCGCGAAGACCCTCTCCTCCTACACGCCGAGCGCGCGCCCGAGAAACCCGAAGAAGACGACAACCCTTACGCGCGGGGCCTCGGAACCTACGTCCCCGGCCGTGAACCGCCAGGCCATACCTTCCACCGCCCCAGGCAATCCGGCCCCGAGCGCGTCCCCTTGGACGACCCCATCGTCCCTGAGATCCTCCGGCTGAACAAACTGATATACAGAGAGGCACGACAAGTCCTGTACAGCGACAACGTCTTCACACTCAGTCTCACAAGCGGCATCTACACGCTGTCGACTCTGCACCAGCGGTCCCGCAGCCTCATCAAACACGTCGTTCTCACTATACCGTCCCACCACGATATCCTCGATGGCTTCGCGGACCTCGTTCGCTTGGGTCTGAGATACTGCTGGGGTCTTAAGACCTTCAAGATCATCCTACAAGCCAGTTTACCTGATGACGGGAGGGTGACGGGTGCGACGAGTGTGTACGCTAATGCGTTTCATATATTGAGGTGGCTGCCGCGGGGGTGCAGTGTTGGTCTCGAGGGGAATGTTAGTGAGACTGTCAAGAGGGTTGTTGCTGAGGAGGGGAGGTTGCAGGCCGTGCTTGATGAGGTGAGTTTTGCTATGTGATGGGTATGATGTGAGGATTTACAAGCTGACATGTGACATAGGCGAGCTATCTTAAGAGACAGCATCAGATGCCGGAGCGGCACTAGGTGCTCTTGTGTGACTTGGGACCGTATGTTATAGGGTTGTATAGCGTGGTCTGTATCCTTGGGTTACAGTGTTGATCATACGATGAAAGGCAGCTTGTTGCCATCCTAGAGTAAGTTTTGCCTCGTCTTGCGTAATGGTCAGCAAGAACCTATTCCATGAGTAAAGTTCCTCTTTTAAACTCACATATTAGTCCTCCGTCTTTGCTACCGCATTGTGTAGGTTTTCCAAAGCACACGACTCTTCTTGGCAGGTTACGTGACACGTGAAGTTCGGAAATTGAATACAACAGAACATCGCCACATACACATACGCACACACTCGATGCTGTAATGTATTAACAAGTTATGAATAATACATAGCTCGCCCCCGAAATGGCGGCGTGAGATTTCCCTGGTCTCAAGTCTGCTTATGCAGCACGTAGCGCCCTACTACTATTGGCTAGTGGCTTACGACGTACCATCTCAGCTCAACGTTCTCGTGTGTCAGTAGTCAACGGCACTGCGGCTCCTATCATCCGCTCAGACGCGCGATCCTCACGCTGGCGGCAACAACAACAACTAAGGAAGGGCATTGTAAGTGGTGCGATGACGGTCAACTCACTTGGTATGCAGCTGCTCCGCCTGCTCATGTTGAGACCCTTGCGAAAAATCCAGCTCGGATCACGTACCCGAAATAATTCAGCTGTTGGAGTTTCTTACTCTGATTATTACGTGCTGGGTGGGCTGGGGAGGCGGAGGTCTCTCCTCCGACTGCTCCGCCTGCTCGTATCCATTCTATCGCAGTCCCGCGATGATCCAGCTCTCTGAGGCTCCTTGCCCCGATCATCTAGTGTGCCTAATACAGAAACAAATAATCTCATCTCGAGTAACCAAGCGGCATTGGGACGGCATCCATCGCACAGCGTTGCCGGCAGCCATGACTAAATCCTCAAAGAAAGTACTTCTTGGTTTGAAATCTTTGATGGTCACACCGTAATGCTGTGCGGCGAAATTAAGGTTAAGGTTGGCGGCAGAATGGTCAAGTCGTGCACTCCTGCACTTGCCGCCCATTGGGTTTCGTTACTATTCTTGTAATATTCCATCAGTCAGCAATGCCCAGGAAAAGTAGCGGCAAAGGAAGCCGTGTCCTGGTATCGACCCTGTCAACGTCAACGTAGGGTCAAGGCTTGGCTTCTACTACTGCTTTGAATGTAACCTTGCCAGTCGAACAGATACGGCTGATCAGCGGCTCAAAAGCAAGCCTTTGCCAACGCTTTCGGGCCTTATCGAATCCCATTACTCTGGTTAGCGAGTACACTTGCTGGCGCCATGAACTCTCATCTTACCACGTTATCTTCCCGGTCTCTCCCCACGCCCGACAGACGATCGAAGCGAGCGACAGTGAGTGAGGAACCAGGGAAAAAGCCTAGGAAGCCTAACAGCGAGATACGGAAACAGCAAAACAGGATAGCTTCACGCAATTATCGTATGTTAATCCTGCAGGTAATTGACCCGTCATGACTACATCTAATAAACTTTGTTTGATCTAGGAGAGAAGCGCAAACGAAAGCTTCAATACCTCCAGCAGTTAGTCAATGACGATCCAGACGGCCATCAAAACCCAGAGCCCTCGCCCGAACAACACGAAGTATACCCTCGCTCCCTATCTGCAGACTACGAAGTTGCAGGGCCGAGTTCCTCGTCGCCCTACATAACGTCGACCACTCGTGCTTTTGACGCAAGCAGCGCCGTCGCGACTCAAACTATGCTGGCTGCTACTGCCGCATCTATGGATACGCACCATCACACAGCGGAGCAAACGTATTCTTATCCACCAAACTGGAATACTCCTATCTACTCTCCGCCCCCACCACCCAACATCCCTTGGAATATGCCGCCAACGTGGATGTCAAGCTTAGCGTACCCATCCCATTCCACCACTACCACTCGCCCACCCATGTACCGATATACCACACATCCAACGCAACCGTCGTATCAACAGGCGCATACACCCTCACCCTCGTACCTCCCTTCTCGCGATTTCTCGTCAAATGCAGATATCTACGGCTATAGTGGCGCGAACTACGCATCTTCTCAAAGCCAAGCAGATGGTAATCTCAACGTGAGTCTGCCTACCTTGTGCTCGTCATCGCCTTACTACCAGGGCCACTACCATCATCATCGACCTGCTGCTCCACACTGAGGTTCGAAAACCTTCTTTCCCCTCCCTTCTCTCTCTTTCCAAACTTGAAACTTCCGGAAAGAACCAGTTGCTAGAACAGCGCAGCATAAGCTGACATGAACAAACAAACTAGCAGTACGTGTTCACGCACGATTCCCCGGTTTTTGAACGGTCGGTGTACATCTGAGATACCGCAATGTTGTCAAATCCCGCCTCATCTCAGCTATCTCGCTTCCTCCCTACATGAGGTTTGCGGGCAAGAGCACGCAATAAAATGGATATTCTCCCATTTCAACTATCAAAGTTTTCCCCCAGGACAAATGGATCTAGCGCTGTGGAAAAGATGACAGCGGAAAAGCAAATGCAGCCAGCCAGCCGCAGATTGAATCAGACCTCCAACAGACTTGTTTCCCATACGGATCTTTCGAACGAGTATCTTACCACATCATGCAATGTTTCATGCGTATAACCCGCGACAAGCTTACGCCAAGACCAAACTACCACTCTGCGTACTATCAACGAATATCTGAGACACATGGCCACGCGGTCTTTGTTCACTTGCGAGCTGTTGGGAGTTTGGACCAATAGAAAGGCGTGGAAGGCTACCCGGATCCCACCGGGAAGTTAGAAAAATGTTGACGATGAGGATATCTAAGAAATAAGGAGACTTCGAGGCCCATGGTTGTTTGCGGCTGAAAACCGGCTAGCGGGCTGGAAACCGTGGATGGGGAGGTGTTGAGTTTGGGAAGAGGGGACTGACGTGATATCAGCTGACCGGTTTTTTCATCATTTCTCGATGGGTACGTTGTGTGACTTGAGTAGAGAGAAGGAAGGACTATGTATGCGTGACAGAATAAAAATTAGTATAAATGTTCATGGTATGATTGCCGCTAGTGCGAGCTAAGTTGTTCGCTTTGTGAAACAGTCTTCGGTTAGGCATGCATGTTAGCCTTGCGGGCTGTGCCACATTATGCAGGTGGGGTGTGCTACCAGCGTCATTAGCCGAACCTCTTCAGCCCTCCTCGATATGTCTATCTACACCGGAGCCTGCACACCACACTGCAGTCAAAACCCATCCAAAGAACTAGGTGATCGCAAAGTTTCGTATCCTTATCCTCTGGAGACGGGGATGCATATGCGATGTCTTCCGGCGATGAACATTCAGGTGCAGAGACCTCTTCCGAAGATGAAGATGAAGAGGCGATGATTTACCTAAGACGCCCCTCAAAAGTGTTGTGGGGTGATTCAAGCGCTTTAGTGAGGCTTACCGATCTCGTGCAGGCCTGTCGCTAGAAGACTTTATCCGAACGAAGGTGAAGAAGATATCGCTAAACAATCGGAAAAGCTTGCCTCGCTGTCCAATGAAGAATACGCATTACAAGAAATGAGTTGCAGCACATGCCACCTACTTAAATATCACGCGTTTCGGGGCAACCATGTTTGGTTCGTGACCTGAGCGACGATTGCCACTTTTGCGGGATCATACGCAAATGTCAGCAACACCTTGCAAAAGATTGCGAGTATGTAACATTACAATTCAATTTGTCTAGGAACGACGTTCAGTTATGCTTTGGTCCGCAACTATATATCTGCGGAGGGATTCATATTCAATTGTGCTCTAAAGGCTTGTCCTTCACCTCGATTCAGGGATGTGGCTGATGATAGCAACAGAACCACACATTCATCAGAGCCCATTTATCTACGCGAAAGAAGTTTGCGAATCTGCAGATTCAGAAGCCTCGATTGCTGTTATGAAGGAGTGGATCAATCGCTGCCACATGACCCATCAGCATGCTCCACCATCACACGATTTTAAGCCTACACGCGTGATAAAGCTAGGCAAGGATGAAGATGATGGCACTCACCTCTACCCATCGGAAACCCCGGTAAAATTTGTTGCGCTTTCCTACCGTTGAGGATCGGGCAAGCAGTCCGAAACAAGGAAAGAGAACGTCATCGAACGTTTTAAAGATCTGAAAACGTCGGACTTTCTAAAGACTCTTCAGGACGTTATTCAAATTACCAGAAGACTAGGCCTAGAGTACATGTGAATCGATCGAATTTGTATTCTTCAAGACGACAAAGAAGACTAGGCGAAAGAGGCGAGTCTGATGGCAGATATTTACGCAGGTGCGTATGTTGTCTTGTCGGCCACGGCAACCGAAGATTGCCAAGATGGCTTCTTGAGGAAAAGAATGGAACCCCTGGTTATCCAATATACACAGGATGATCAGGAAAGCTATCAAGTGCGCGCAAGACAAATCAGAAGCCATGATTGTGACCGAGCATCAGAAAGGACCAACTTCACATTGTTTCGGCGGGGATGGTGCATGCAAGGGAGGTTTTTGGCCCGTAGAATCATTCACTTTCTGCCAGATGAAATTCTCTTCGAATACCAAACTGGACGAGAATGTGAGTGTGGCGCCGCTCGCCAGGAAGACCATAATAACCAAGTGCTCAACATTTTTACGGAACTGCGGGCTAAGACAAACATGGGAAGAAAATACATAATAGGGAACTGGTCGAAAATAGCAAAGTTTTATAGCAACATGGAACTTACATACGGAGAAGATCCACTCCCCGCGCTTTCAAGCCTGGCAGCATGCATGGAACACTTGAAGCTCGGCAAATACATCGCAGGGCTTTGGCAGAATAATATCGCACAACAGCTCGGGTTCTATTGTATTTCAGATGATAGAAGACGTTGGAAGTATCCTGAAAATGTCGACATTGTGGGTCCCACGTTCTCCTGGAGCTCTTACGTGCGCTGTATTGAGTGGACTGAAGCTGGATTCGGTGTATGAAGTATATGTACTTTGGAAAGCTTTGAAGTCGATGTAGCTACACCTAATCCTTACGGACAAGTTCGTTATGCATCCCTCTGCCTTAGCGGGCGGGTAGTGTCTGGAGATGATTTGGTTTCATGGCTAAAGAGGACAAAGATTGGAAAATATTCTACATTGCGCGCCATATGGCTCGACTCGGGTGTCATGTACAACGCCTCTTTCACTGACCGTAATCCTCTGGACGAGGCTCAGAGGTACTATGAGTGGTTTGGGAGTAGGATAGCCTGGAAATATGTGATCTGTTTTGGGTTATATGAATTTGAGGGTAATCAAGATTTCGGGACCGATCCCGTTGAGGCACTTTTACTGCAGCCCAGTAACACTACATCAGGAGAGTATGTCAGGATTGGAATGATTCGGGCATTAGAGAAGCGTTGTTTTGACGAAAACGCGGTGACACGCACGATTACTGTAGTCTAGATATTCAGTGGCAGAATCGCCCGACTCTTTTTCTAAACACCTCTTCCTCTCCCTCTTCCTCCTCGTCCACGCCCACGACCACCAGTCCTCGGTCCACGCGTCGGCCCTTCCCTTCGCGGTACTACCTCACCTCTAGTCCACCTCTCCCCCTCGTCCCTCAGATCAATCCACCGTTCGTCCAACCCCTTAGCCATCGCTGCATCCCTCCTCTCTTTCCGCACCGTACTATCTGTAACGCGGGCTTGCACCAACAACTGCATGCCTATCCCCTCTTCAGTACCTTGCTCATACATTCCCAAATTCAGCGCGCCGCCATCTGGGTTGTAACTTGCGCGAACACCCACTTCCCCACCTAATTCTCCATTCACATTCCTGTTGTTGTGGTGATGCCGCACCAACCCTCGTGCCATCATAGGATCCGGCCACTTATCAGCAATCCCACTAAACGTAATCCCTTGAACCGCGCCTTCAAGCCCCGCGTATAGATTTTGAGACGTAGACGATGGAATGGAAAGACTGTATACGGGGGAATCTTCTCGAACGCGCGAATAGTCTTGTCGGTATGCCGTGGACGGAGGAGGGCTACGTGGGTTGAGATAGAGATTCCAGCCTCCGCTTTTTGTTGGAATGTGGGTCTTCATGCTCTCTCTAACGATGGCATTGGTGGAAGAGTCGCGTGGAGATGACTTGGTTTTCGTGTTGTTGACGGGCTTGCTGGGCATAGAGATGGTGTGGTAAGAATGCGATCCAGAGAAGCGCACGTCGAAGACTTTAATCATACTGTGCAGCGCCACACCCGCTACGATACGTTCTAGACCCTGCGCAGCGAGAGAATAGATGGGCGAGTCGTTTGTTGGGTCCCAGAAGATTTGTTCGAAACCGCGGGGTGAGCGCATGTCGTGCAGTCTGATGATGCCGTCGTAGCCGCCGGAAAGAAAAGTATGGCCTGCTTCCGATGCACCTTGCGCTGTGCTTGGTACTGGTAGTATGGGGTATATTGACGTCGGACGTGAATGTGCTTGGTTTTCGATAGCAACGTTGAATCGACGAAGGGGTGAAGATGAAAGACCTTCGGGTCCGATGTGGTAGACTTCGATGGGCTCGATGTGGGGTCCCCATCCAACGGCCACTGTGTCGGAGGACAGGAACTCGCATGACCATAATCTACCCAGTAGTGCCCCGTCGGATATCGTTTTCACTTCTGAAGAGGGCTTGATAGCTTCGTTGGAAAAGCTGTCGCGGTTGATGGGATAAAGCGCTAGCGAGGAGTCTGCAAGTGCGGTAGCTAACATGGGCGCGTTTGACGATGATACCGAAAGACCGTTGATTCCACGACGGTTAGTGTCGTAATGTTGCGTCTGAGTCTCGGCGAGGTCAGGGCTAACACTAAGTAGCGACAGCTGACCCGATGCAGTCCCAAAAACGATGTCTTCATAGGCCAAATCCCGCTGATGTGGTCGGAGTAATTTCAACTTGGTAATGTCGTCGCGTCCTTCAAAGCTATTCGGGATCTTATACGTGAACCACGTATTCAAGTGTTTAAAAGCGTCATACCTCCACGTCTGATCATATGCCTGGTTGAGCCCCTCTTCACGTTTTCTAATCTTTTCAATATTTGTGCCCGTCTCTTTGGTCCGCAGAACAATCTGTGTGCCGGCAGACCATGCCAGTACTTCTCTTCGTTCTCCCCACGATCCATACATCTCTTCATAGCTGTCGATACTAGGCTGGTACCCCATTGTCTGACCCTGCGGACCCCTCCATCTTTCGGCTTGCCAAATGTTCATGCTCATTGTCCTCTCTGTCGGTTCCAGGTATCTTGCGATGAGGCCTCTTCGATCCCAGTTCCGGCATAATGTTGTTAGACCGTGAACGGCATTGTACGCATCCGAGTCCAATCCGCCAAGGCCAAAACGACCTTTGAGTAAAGCCTTCCAACCATCGAGCTTTGCGAACTCGTTCAGCCGGCGGCTTGCTAGAGACAGGTAGAGTAGGTCTCGTGGTCGCTCGAGATGGGCTGTTATAAGCGAAAGAATCTCATTTGGCAGCGTGTTGAGAGCTGCCATATTGTGTATTACCTTCAAGGTTATGCTCAAGATATTGACGACGTCAAAGAGTATCTAGATGTTTGAAGTACTTGTCGTGCCAATCTTGAAACCAGGAATTATCTCGTGGTGTTTATATGGCACATCTTTGCTGGTAAGGAAAACTGAAAGTCTCAAACGATGACGACAGAGTTCTCGCTTCGTGGCCCCGGGCGTTTGCACTAGCCACATGTCAACTGGACGGGAGTCATCAGTGATAGCAAAAACGAGGCCACCTTCTGTGACTCTTCCTCGTGTGCGCCTAGACGATGTAAGCCCGACTCACGGCCATCATGCAGCTAAACGAGAGTGCCATTGTACTTGATACAGAACCGCTCAGCCCACGCGCCCCAAATTAGCCGGCTTCCTCCATACGGGACCACCACACTACTCAGTGGTTATTGTTCCCCTGCATCAAAACGCGCTACCGCGCCGTTGAGATGACCGTGACCGACAGCTGGTTTTCTGTTTTCATGATAAGGCTGAGCCACCAGTGTTCTTGGGCTCATCTCGCTGTCAGCACGCCCTGTTGATCGCAGTCCAACTCGCAAGACAGCCCCATCGCGCCCCAAGCTCGCGGAATCTTCTCGGGTCATCCTTATAACCCCCCAACATCCGCGGACCTGGCGCTGCTAACTTTCGCGTTCCGTCTCGTGACAATCATCCGCAAGTGCCAACTTTAACCCTGGCCGTTTCCGACTAAATGCGTGGGGATCCGCGCGCGTTGGCCGTCAACTGCGACCACGCTTGAAAGTCAGACTCTTGCTCATCAATCCAGCGCTGCCCGATCGATCTACATACGACAGTCGTTTTGCGACGCGACGCTACTGTGCGATGGCGGACGATGAGAAAAGGGTGTTCGCGCTGATTAGCGCCATCGGCACCATTCGGGACCGGCTGCGACAAGACATCGACGGCTTGCGACAGATCCACAACCGTTGGAAAGACAGCAATGGCTCTTCTATCAACCTCATCGCGCAACTAACAGCTCTGAAGTCCAGTCTCGGCAATATTCAGGATTGGCTCAATTATGCTGTCAACGATCTGCACCCACAATTGCTAGCCGACTTGGATGTACTGAATCATTCCTGCGGATTGCTGGTACGCCATGTGGATGCCTTGAATGCGCGTCTCAACTACGGAGACCATGGTGCCGTCGATTTCGCCGCCAAACTAAAGTACAGCGTCGCTAGCAGATCAATGGAACGACTGCAACTGGTGGCGCAAAGACAAAATGATGCCGTGAACCTATTGCTTGCGGCCTGTCATTGGTGAGCTACTAATTCGTCTCTACGTACAACTTCAGGAATCTAATACCTCTCAGTACTGCTCAAGCGCAGCGAAAAATCCTGCTCCACAAAAGCCGTCAGATCCGAAAAGAGGATGCAGCAAACCTTAGGACTCTCTCCCAGTCCTCGAGGTTGAATGGTGCTTGCATTACTGGCCTCGCACAATTGTCGCGGGTCATCCAATGGCTGAGACTCTTGTTTCATATGAAGCTCGCACGGAACGAACTCGACAGGACCGTCTCGCCTACGGATGAGGAGTACGAGCATATCGCAGCAGCCACTCGTTCCGAGGCAATCGATCGTGCTTTGCAGAGAGAGGCCACTAACCTGCGACACGAGACTAAGTTGGTCCTTGTAGGCAACACGCAGAGCGGAAAAGAGCTTATCATGCATCAATTGAAAGTACTTTTCGCCGAAGGTTATTATTCAACCGAAGAACGCTTGAAGTACCGCCCCGCGATCTGGCAGGTCGTGCAATCGCTCATATCATCCATCACCAATCTACTCAAAGATACCGGCGTTAAGCTCTCTACTGAACTGAGCCACGATTTCGCAATCTTGCTGCACGAGCTGGATGCTAGGAAAGAAGGCGTCACACCTGACGCAGTCAAGGCCATCACTAGAATCTGGTCATGTCCGGAGTTCTCCAAACTCTACGTCCGAAACTTCGAAATCGACTTCCCACAGTACGCGCCCTATTTCGCACAAGAAGCACCACGCATAGCTTCGGAAGACTATGTTCCCAGTGAAGCAGACATTATCCGCCTAAACCAATCCATGCGCGGTATCAACGAAGCACGCTTCAACTGGGACGAGCTAGACGTCCATCTCTTCAACATCAGAGGTTACGTACCTCAACACTTCCGCGAGCGATGGTACCACCAACTCGAAGGCGCAACCTCGGTTATTTACACCGTCGACGTATCCCTCTACAACAAACCCAATCCGCAACGCCCCACTGAATCCATCCTAGTCCACGAGTTCGAAGGCTTCGAAAGCTGGATCAATCAACCTGGTTTCGCAAACTCCTCCATCATTCTCATCCTAAACAACTTCACACGCTTTGTCAGCAAGATGGCGTACGCGCCTTTAGAGAAGCTGTTTCCGGATTACGTGAGGAACGAGTCGGATCCCGAGTTATCGGCGCGTCAGTATATCCTGAAGCGGTTCAAGAATATGAATCATCAAGGCCTTTCTATTTATTCTTTTTGGGTCGATCTCGATTCTAGCGATAATCAGCATTTGTACACTGCGTTGAAGAACACGCTCTCGCAGATCCAGCAGCGTGACGCGAAGGAAGAGGCTTGGAATTCTAGTGTCTCAGCTACGACGGACTCGGATCGCCCGTCTACGAATGGGCTGTCAAGTGTGCTGAATCCTAGTAAAAGTCGGGGCGAGCTTAGGAAAAAGGAGGAGAAGGATCGAGCGAGGATTGTTAATTTGATGTAGCTTGAATGATTGGATTGGATCGGATGGATATGCGATTGGGGTAATGGGTTTGAAACAGGGTTAAAGGCTTGGAAGTAACACCTCGGAGTTGGCGTTTCTGGGTTCGAGATACCATGGTGCGGGTCGGTTTGTATATACATGTTAGAAACTCGAGCATCGGGAAGGAAACTATACTACCGATATAGACTGTCATACGAAGACTAGCTTTCCAAAGGAAGACTTCTACTGTAATGTTTAATACTCAAACCAAGTTCCAAAACATGCACGGTCCGGCATACTATCACGATGGTAGATTTCAGCAACCAGATCCTCTCATATCAAACACGGGACGTCGGGACAAGAGTTCTCCTCTCCACCGGATGAGCGCGATCAAGCACAGGAGCATCCAAACCGAAGTCTAAAAAACGGCTCAATCTCGTCAGAGACGGTGCATTGGGAGAACCAAGAAGAATGCCGAATGTGACGAATATCGTATGTGCTGGTGAGTTGCGTCTCTTCTCAACCCTTTGTGCACATGATGATGAGACCTCCCATCTAAGCAATCTCTCCCGGGTACGACAACTGAGTATGTTCAGCGATGCTGTAACACCGACCCAAGACCTCATCATCACATCACACCCCCATTGCCAGGATCTGTATCTCGCAACAAGAGGGTCATCTCACGGCTGGAAGTTTATGTCTACGATCGGCCGCTATGTCGTCAAGATGCTGGATGGCACGCTGGCTCCTTCTCTCGTAAAGCGATGGGCATGGGATCGTAAGAAGGATGAAGACGGTGCACATGCGCATTTGATTCCTACGCTTAAGATGAGAGTCCTGCCAGAAGATTTATTACCTGACGGGATAATGGCTACCTGGGTAGCGGTCCAGCTCGAATATTACTTTATGCGCCTATGACGTTGTCGACCAGCATCTTAGCAAATATTTCATAGTTCAGACTCGACCAAACCGATAGAAAAAAGTACCATTGAAATAGATGCTTATACTCGTATTGATATTTCGTGTTGGTTGGCAACGTACACATCTGAGTAGGTGGCGATGACCCATACCCCTGTCATCACGCTAGTCCCCTCAACGCGTCGCCGTCGCGTCACCAACACGTACGGAAACTGACGCTTCAACCTTATTGATACTCCACCCACCCACAATGACGCCCCGGACGCGTTCGAGCAATAGAGATGCCGACTACAAAGTCTACTACTCGAAGAAAGTGCCACAGCAGATACACTTCCCACACAAACGCAAGACAGTGCGTCGCCGTTCTACACCAGTCGAGGATGGCAAGCGGCAAATGATCTTCTTGCCGGAGAAGATGAAGAAACGGAAGACTCCTGTCGTTGCGGACTCAGATGAGGACAGTGATGGAGAGTTAGAAGAGTATCTGGATGATGGAGGAGTTCCAATCCAGCCGCAGGTGGATGAGGAAGAAGAGCAGCACCCAGGGAGAAAGATGAAGGGGAAAGGCAAGAAGAGGAGTAGCGGTATCATACCACATAGCCATGGAGATGAAGAATCGGTGGAGCCTACATCAAAACGCCGACGGACAGTGGTTTCGCCGAAGGATCATCGTCGCTCGAAGCGCGTCGCAACCGATGCCGATGATGAGAACGATGTGAAAACTTCCAAGACCAACCGAGAGCGTACATTACGACGGCAATCAACAATGACACAATTATTCGATGGGCGAAAGCCATTGCCGGGGTTGGAGGAACCTGGCTTTAAGCCTATAAAACAGAACTCGCGGTTGAGTTGGAGCGGACGTGGCAAAAGTGACAAAGCAATGAACGATAGGAAACAACGCACATTGACCCAAATGATACCACGTATGCGAACAGAAGAGATTGTGTCAGATGAGGATATAGACGAGGTGTTCAGCGATGTTGAGGCAGAACAACAGGACAGTCAAACCTATGGCGATGCTGTAGCACAACGACTTGCACGACAAGGGCTGTATCGTGTCGAGGGTAATGGCACCAAAGATCATGATAGTACAAGTGAGAATGCAGAGGACAAGCAACAGGATCTGGAAGACAAAGCTATCAAGAAAGAGCCCACAGAAAACTCACAAGATACTGCTGACTTGGTGGTGCAATCGGTGGAAGACGAGATGGATGAGGACTGCGAAGATAGCTACAAACCAACACAGTTCATCGAAGCTCCTGCCACAAGAGCGACTCGTGCGGCTAGACGTGGGAATAATCCACAAGCAACAGAGACAGGGGGAGCTTTCTATGCGCCACAGAGTCTCAGGAAAGGGAAAGCCCGCTTCAGCCTGCTATCAACCCCAGAGAAACGACGCATTCGGGAGATCCCTTCATCTCAATCACCGGCCGACTCACCGTTGTCGACTCAAGTCTCTCCACAAAAGCTACACCAATCGCCCCTCAAAATGTGCTCAGGTAACCCAATGAATGTACCAGAGACGCCGTCGAGGCGTAAGCAAGTGACGTTCAAGATGCCGTCGAAAACGCCCGTACCACCACCAACACTACGAAAGTTTGAAAGTACTATTCAAGACTCGGAGGATGAGGATGAAGGTCTCATTGAAGAAGATCTACCAAGCAGTAGACGTCGTGGGACTGAGGATGCGCAACCTTTTTCTAGTCGCCCCGAGGCCGCGACTGGTAAGGTCGTTGGCGCTGATACTCAGGCCATGCTCGACAGGATCGACAAGGTATGTGCTGACGCAAATGGAGAGGATGTTATGGGTGAATCCGGGTCATCACAAGGATCGGACTATCTGCCTACGCTTCGAGGTCACAACGAGCCTTCTCCTGAGCTCGGCGAACCGCACAAGTCGTCAAATGGCAAAAGCTCGTCATATTCTACCAATTCGGTTGTTGTCAAACAGGAACCTGGGTATGACGACGATGATGATGACGACGAAGATGCAACAATATTACCTACAGCTCCAGTAGATTTGCTACATGAAGCAAGACCAATCGCAAGCGATGCTACCACAACTATTGAAGGGGAATTGCCTTTGCAAACAGAGGAGCTCCGCTCAACGCCACCTGTCATCGAAGGCTACAACGAATACACATGTCCATCTACGCCCATGGTAATCAATAACGATTCGTCCTCCGAAGAAGACTCGCCAACACCCGACCCAACTCCTCCGCAATCAACCAGAAGACCCGAACCACAGCCTCCATCAACCTCAATCCAACAATCAGTAGACCTAGACGACTCAGCCATCCAAGTCCCCCGTTCCCCGTCTCCAGACCATGAAACACAGCACTCGCACTCCAGCAAAGCAGAGCAGCAGCTCCAAAACGAGTGGCTCTCTTACTCCCAATACGTGCATACTCGACAACCCAAATCATCAAGCATGCGCGCAGCGCCTGATGCTTTTAGCTACAGCGCGACGCCTCGGCTTCCTCAAACACAAAACACAGCGTCCCATTCCCATTCGAACCACCAGCTATCAGGCCATCATTATCACCCTAGCCAAGCAACAACTGTCGACGAAATCACCCAACATAGCACAACACCTAGGCATAAACGTACCCACCACTTTTCCAGCACACACACAACGCCTCATCGCATACCTAGCTCTCAGCCACTTTTGTCCTCGCCGAGTAAACCCCCGCCGCTTTTCATACCGAGTAGTTTCCCTAGCCCAGAGAAGGCGGGGATGGAGGGGTGGGGGAGTAGTAGTCCGATGTTGGATGGTGGTGTTGGAATGACGCAAGCGACGGGCGCTGGGGGGTCAATGTGGAAAAGTAGTCAGTGGGCTAGTTTGGAGGATTTTAGTATTCCGCCGATGCCGCCGGGGGTGGATAGGGAGGATGGAGAGGATTGATGGGGACGTGGAGATGAGACGTAACGTCTGATGGAGTTGTAAGTTCTTGTTGCTCAAATAACTATGTACTAGGTTCCTATCTCTGTGTTTGAGAGCCTTGAGCGATAGAGCAATAGTTAGTTCTTCCTTCTATTCCCGAAGATGAGGGATTAGTTCGTGCAAGAAAGCCGATTGATATCGTTTGAATGAACAAATGATTAAAAAGACATCGGGCAGCCGAACTTGAAACTCTGGTTGACTTCAAGTCCGGCTGCAAAGCCCGTGTTGGAGATATTCGCCTTCTCATTTTCAGTGTTGTATAGTGTAGTCAGGAAGAAGTCGGATGGACGTGGAGAGGACTGGTGTGCGGAGTTTTGAGGTTCGGCTAAGTGCCTAGGGCGGGGCTGATTCAGAAATGATTAAGCGGCGCTACTGATTGAGTGTCACTTTTACAATTGCCTGCACCTTGGTTTCTCGATCTCGCTGTTTGTGAAAGAATTTTAGCATCTTTCGTGTCGATGGAAGTAGGAAGTGGCTTGCTGCTCGTCAATGGGTCTGCGCAATACCACTGCATACAATCAAAGTACTCATATGATTGGATGACCCAACTCCTGCACTTACTACTTTACTTTTTGGTGTCTCCCAAACTTCAGGGTCGTCAAGGACACTTGAATGTCCTGACTCATGTCGAATGGCGTGCGCATCTTTGTCACCTATACAGACGCTTACGAAGAATACTGGCGCAATGGTATTACACGAGTATATCTGTTAGACCATATAGAACACTTGACTTGAGTTTCAGGTAAATGCGACTTGTTCTACGAAAGTAGTGGGCTGATATGGCGAAGAAAGCCTCTATGGATATGTTCGCGCGCTCGCCAATTCTTCCCAACCAGAATGCAACGAATTCAGGGTCAATTGCGGCTTGACTGGTCAGTCAGAAGCCATCTCGGTACGCCTCTATAGATCAGCAGCCTGGCTGAAGATGCACTGCCCGTAGCTGCAGCACCTCAACAGGTCGAATTCAGCCTCACGTTACGAGCGCGATACCCCGCGCTCAGCCGCTCGAAATCATGGATGCTTGAATATGATCTTCCTCGATGACTTTCCGTCTTACTCTTTGCCCATTATCGTTTCTCGTTGTCGACCATGGATCCTTTCTCAGTAACTTTGGGCGTTCTTACTCTAACCTCTCTGGCCTCCAAAGTGGGCATCCAGCTCAAAAGGTTGCGGAGTGGAGCTATGGAGGCAGGGAACAACGTTACCGCATTGCTAGCGGACCTCAAAGCCCTGAAAACCGTGCCTGATTCAATTGAGGATGGGTTCGAGGACTTGGACAGCAGAGCGCCTCTCACTGGTCATATCGGTGCGCACTGGTCTGCGTTATGGACCATCATATCCGATGGATGCGACACGATGTCGGACTTACTCATGGACATACCCGGCAAATAAGCGAAGGCAGCATCACTCTTACACCACTCATCAGGTCTAGCCTGGACGCGGGCCGAGTGGTAGGGTTTGCGTCTCAACAGAGCTTCTTAGGCGGCGATGAGACCGCAAAGAATACTGTCATACGGAAATGTCGCAGCTTCTCCTCAAAACTACTGTCGCCTCGAACCAAATCAAAGAAGACCATTCGCAGCAGGGAACCATCGCCCTCAGTGCCACCCTTATGTAAAGATGATATCAAAATGAACTCGGCTGGTCAAGTTATGCCAAAGTGGACGTTTCTTGGCGATCGCGCGTGTGGAAAGACTTTTTTCTAGTGTATATAATTGGCAAATCCCAACTATGCAAGCCGAACTAATAAACTGCTAGCTCTACATCCCAAGGCATTTAATGTGAGGTAAGAGACATACGAGTATACTCACATCTCTGCTAATGATTCGACAGATATACGTTCCAACAGTCTTTGAGAACTATGTTGCGGACCTCCAGGTAGACGGGGTTAACTTGAAGTGCGCTTTGTGCGACACAGCAGGTCAGAGGGATTACGACCGCTTTCGCCCGCTAAGCTATTCGCAAACCGACATCTTTTGTATATGTTTCTCAATCGACGACTCAGACTCACTAGATAATATTGAAGAACAGGTAGGAGAATTGTGCTGCACAATCATACTATACGCGATGCTAAGCATATCCAGTGGTATCCTGAGATCGAGCAATACGAACGAAAGAAAGATCCTGTCTTTCTGCTAGGATTCGAAGAAGATTTCCGACAAGATCCTAAAACGATTGAGAAGCTCGGAAAAAATAATCGGGTTTCTCTAACCATGATGAAAGTGAGTAAAGCAACCTTGGAAAAGCATGCCATGATATCTACTACTAACGTAGGAGATAGGGTGAAGAGATGGCAAAGAATATTGGTGCACTGAAATACTTCGAATGCTCGGCGATAAGACACCAAGGCACCAAGGAGATCTTCGACACTATACATAGTATGGTGCTCGTGGCGAGTCCACAGCTGAAGAAGAGATGCAAGAGTGGAAACTGGAGGATGGAAACTATCAGCGTGCTTCAATCAAGCTGATAGTGATCAACTTCGGGTCAGCGAAGGAAGAAAGGGATTAAGAGCACATGAGTGCGAAATGGTCAAGGCTACTTGGGCGACTTGGAAGAGTAGGTAGAAGTACGGCCGACGCCGTTGTGGTAAAACCCTTTGGTCGATCGTGATGCCAAGCCATGGTGGGAAGACGTGACCATTGAGCGTGAAAGCAGATTGAACCTGGCATAGCTACTTTCGTTAGGCGTCTTCACTTGGAGATATTCGAAAATGCCAGAGGATTCAGTTTGATAGCTTTCCCTTTGTGTCATCAAAATCCGATATGGTCTAGTGGCTAGGATTTGCCGCTCTCATTCGCAGAGTCAGTTCACTGTACAGTGCCGGCAAGGCCCGGGTTCGATTCCCGGTGTCGGAATACCATCCTTTTGTCTCAATAGGTGTCGTCTTTTTGGTGGCAGGATTTTCTGGCGGTCCAAAGTTTCGAATTTTCGGAGTTGAGTTTTTTTCGCGACGCTCGGGCGCTAAGCGCATAGACTTAGTCCGCCCACCTCCAAATCGCCTAGTTTACAATAATCTTTTTTATCGACTTTTGCAGTTAATAAGTAGAGGATTACTGCTTTTCGCTATGTTTAACTTATATATTCCGACTACGCAACACCACCTTGACAAACTAAAAAGTCCTTGTTGTGTCATCTGCACTCCTTCTCTCCTGCGTGTTTGTTTCCTAACTTAACAGAGCGGGTATGCTACAAGACCAGCAGAAATCTATAGCTACGGGTCATCTGGTTCTTGATAGGCTTAAGTACGAGCCAGAAAGTATAACGAGTACGATCAAAGTTGCAGCAATTATTCACGTCAATTCTAAACCATGCACAAGTTTGGATAGTAGGTTGCATTATGAATATTTACATGTGCCATGTGAGATCTGGAGGACGCTAAATATACATGCATCTAATAAGTGTAGCACAGGATCTTTCCCTGAGTGTCCAACAAATCCCTAAGCTGAACAGTCGGAGCCAGCTTACCCAGACCAACCTCAAAATCCAGAGTAACGTTCTTGCCACTGTAGTCGAAAGGAATAACTGGGCCACCGACCTGGTGAAGGCGGGTCTTCAGATCCTTCTGTTGCCACATCCAAAAGATGTGGTCGATGTTGCCGTGGTGTAGATAGAATACTGGTTCACCGGGGCTGTTGTTCGCATCACCAGCCTGTCCCAGAGCACCTCCGACACCAAAGTGGCCACTGCCGTGGATGTTCGGGACTTCGAAGGTGGCTTCGCCTTCGACCGCCTTGGCAAAGCCAGTGTAGTCTTTCTGAGCAAGGACGTTATTGACGAGCTTTTGGTCAGCCCAGACGTTGATTAGAGTAGGGACGAAATCGCGCTTGAGACAGTGAGGAGTAGGGAAGTTGACCATGAACTTGTCTGGTGTGAAAGGACCGTTCTGAACACAACCACCTCCTGTTCCGCCGACGATACCGAAGGGGTTAGTCTCCGGGGTGGGATCGACCTTGTTACCGTTGCCACCGAATCCGGTGTCTGGTTGCCAGATTTCAGAGTCGAAGATGCGTGTTGAGGTGGGATTTTGGGGTTCAGCGTCCGCTGACCAGTCCCAGTAGGGCTGGGCGCCAGTGTAGCCGCATTCTGTTAAGGTGTTAGCACCAACAGCGATCTACTAAACGTGTAATAAGAAGGATGTAAGACAAGTTGTCCTAAAGCTTTGCATCTCACATAGATAGGAGAATGCACAACGCTGTCGCTAAATTTCTCTACTACAACGTGTAAGATTAGAGAGAACACGTACCTTCCCGGAGAGCCTTCTCGTAGGTGTAGACGAAGTAGCGGTGCCAAAGTGTAAAATGACCGACCCAGTGGATGTCGGGTGTTTGACTGCTGTGCACGGCTTGGAAGTCGTCAAAACGATTCACAGCTCCCTTAATGCCGGAGATGGCCGGCTTCGATGCTAGGCAGAGGACTGCATCAATGTATGCTCTCTTCTGTGGGATAGAGAGTTGTTTCCTGAAAAAGAGAAGGTGGTGAGCAGAGTTCGAAAAGACGGAAGAGTGTGAGTTACTTACCATTCTTTGCGATGAATAGGATTCTTACATGTCTTCGGAGCAGATGCAGGGAGGGCCGCTGCTACAGCTGACGAAGCCAAGCAGAGCGAAGAAACGAGGATGGAGAGATTGACCATTGTTGCGGCTGAACTTGAGATGGGGAGCTATGTGTTTCGAATTAATTGAGAGCAAAAGCTTACTGTCCCTGGCTGGCACCTGTAACAGCGGAAGCCATCAAGCTTTATGTGCGGCTCACTGCAGGCCTTATCGCACGTGTTTACCCGTCTGAGCCTCATCGAAAGATGTCTATGCCAATAAAGTCCGAGCCACGAGGGAATGACTGGCGAACGGACATAAACGTTGGACACACGAACGGGACGTTGGACCATACGCTATAGAAGTTTGGGAATTTTTGAGCGACGCCCGGGGCTGGAGATCCCCATATGCATGGCGATTTAGGGAAAGATGCAGCCATGTGGCACAGTTGCATGGTCTTTTCAAGGTCTTAGGCCCGCAGAATTGACTTCGGAGAATGCATGCCGAAGCGGCTTGCATATTTCGGTGAATGCAAAGCTTACCGGAGAATTCGACACCATCCATAGCTTCTATGTGGCGCATATGTGAAGATAAATTGGCCTTGACGTTTTCCATGCAAATGAAGCTAGCTAGTATCGAAGTTCTTCTCGCTTGATCACCCATGCGATCTGCTGTGCGACTTGTGGTGATAAGACCAAGCGAGTATTCATGTCCGTGACGATATTAAACTACACAGTCTTCCCTGCCTGGTTCCAGAGGATAGGATAATTTCGGATGATTGTGCCCGGTGGGCCAGTCTAGAGATTCCTGTAGGATTTACCTTGCATAGCCAAGAAGTGGCTACCGAGATGTCCGAGGCGTGCTACCTTCCTCCCATGTGCCTGCTTCATCTCTCTTGCAGAGCGCATGAATATGGCTGTGATGTTGAACATTTAATGGTCGAAGATGAATCTTTTCTTCAACGCTCTGGTTGCCAATGCACATCGTGGAGGAATTGAGGCGGTGGCGTATGTGTCGTGGGGACAGCAGAGCCTGCGGAACAGATTGGTCGCCGTTCGCGCTAAAATGCTGTTGGTGTCCGAGCCGTGCATTGAACCCCCTAACGTGTTCCTGTTGACCCAAACCAGCGATTGACGGGAAAACACAGGGTCAATGGCGGCAGACAGAAATAAATGCTGGGAAGAGTAAACGCGGCACATAGCGCCCCTGCAGGAACCTGGCTAGTGAATACGGAGCGTTCCTCCATTGCAGAAGCCCTCGGTTTACTGTACATAATTCGCGCTCCTCACCCGAGTACCGGCTCGGCTGGGGAACGGGGAAGGTACACGGGTGGTGTCGAGCCGTCTCGCGATAACCGAGGGAAACTAGGCTATTCAGAGAAAAGAGCCGCATCAACTTCATCCACCAAGGCCCAAACCAGGACAGCTGCATCGAACGAGCAAATCCTTCACAGGTTGTCAGCGTCTGAGCCGTGACATCTATCCAATGATGACCCAGAGATATCAGCCGCTCTGAGCAGACTTTACCAATGCGTCTGCAGTCCTGTTGGACATACGACAGGGTGATAACAGGAAAGATTCACAAGATGAAGCTGCTGATGCGACACGGGTAAACGACTTCAAGGAGAAGCAGGTATCATTCATAGCCATGGGGTTTCCATTATCCAACGACTTTCCTGATGTGAGTGCATACCTACAATATGGCAGGCGGTGCGGGTGGTTATGGCATCACCTGGGACAATGGTTCGCGACAACCGATGTTTGTAATCACGACTGGAGTATTACTCTTATTATCGACAATTGCAGTAGCGCTCAGGTACAATTTCTCAGCCCCTTGGTCTGTCCACACATCGTAAGACTTGCTCACATCTTGCTAGGATATACTGTCGCCTCAGCTTCATACGACATGTAGGACTAGACGACAAGTTCATGGTAGTCGCCTGGTTGATCTGTGTCGCTCTTGGAATCCAGAATGGTTTCCTTGTGAGCTGGGGTACTGGGCGGCACAATGCTGATCTAGATGCTTCGGTTATCCTGGTTCCCACATTCAAACATTGGTACGGGACTACTGCATCGATAGACGCCATTCATATGGGAATTTGAGAACTCACGCTTCTTTAGGTATGCATATCAGCTCGTATACCCGTGGGCGTTGCTTTTCGTCAAAGCTAGCATATTGGCTCTCTACTACCGGATATTTACGCAAACGAAATTTCGCTTCGCTGTGTACGCTGTGGCTGCGTTCGTCACGGTTCAGACTATTGTGGTCACCTTTGTCAACGTATGTCAAACTTGAAGACCCCGAACATTCCCTCGAGCTTGAAGCTGATTGATGCAGGCTTTCGAATGCGGTGCGAAGGAGCCATGGAGGGCCTGGTCGCCTACCTTTCCTGCCGGATGTAACGACTTGCCTAGGACATATTGCGATGGGTTCTGTCAACATTCTCACAGACATCTTCATCTTGGTCATGCCAATGCGAGCTTTCGGGCAGCTGAAACTCCAACGAACGAAGCGCTGTACGTACAAGATATATAGCTATGTTGAAGCAAACTAATCAAAATGCAGTTGCTCTCCTCGGTGTATTTCTCGTGGGTGGTGTAGCAGTAATCGCCTCTATCGTCCGTCTGTACGCGCTCTGGGTATACGCTGTGACGGACGACCCACCATACGACGACGTATTCGTAAGCTCCAAATCAGCCGAGAACATGAACATCCTAGACTACGCTTACAGTCAGATAGATCCTCTTGCTTTCCCAAATCGAAGTAAATGCAGCCACAATATCTGCCTCCGCACCCGCCCTCCGCCCCCTCCTCAACAGAGTCTTCGCCTCGTCTTCCCGCAACCACTCCGGCCCATACCCAGTGTCCTACGGACCTGGGGGACCAAGTTCCAAAATGTTCAGTCGTACCGCTCGTACACGTTCGAACGGACAAATGGAGCTCTACTCGTTCGGTGGAGGCAACAGAACGAGTAAGGCACCGATAGGCGGAACGCGGAATACAAGTGAAGAGTCGATACTCGGTACTGAGGGTATTACAAAGACAGTGGAGACGAGAATCGAGGAAAACTACATGGGAGAGTCTGTACATGGAAAACATGGCGAGACGCAGGGGTATGACGGTGTGAGACATAGTGATGTATGATACGAGTATGTCAGAAACATTAAGACCACTTTCACCTTTCACTAAAAGAGCTCAGCAAGCTTATGCGAGATTGGAAAGCCATTGCCGCTCTGGAATAAAGAGAGTTCCAGTCACTCATCATATCCAACACTGATCTTGGCCGAAGACTTTGCATAAACTTTCGAAAGCGTGCATGTGCATCATTATTGAGTCCCAACAGAACTTCTACCCCGTATCTTCTTATGTATCAGTTCGGAATGCAAACAAGGCCAGACGCCCTGTCAAGCCTGCCAGCGTTGATATGTTCTTTCCAAATTGAGCCAAGTAGGGCATGGAACCTGTGTGTGCCCCATTTTGAAGAGAGGAAAGGTAGAAGACAGTATTTTCACGGAGCTACATGCCATCTGTGACGACCCTAACCCGTCCCGAAAATTACTGAATGCTATTGCAACCGCATATCCATACCCCATGTTCTTATCTCTCTTACTCTTTTCATCTGTGCTCGCGAATTCTTTCCTACGGACTGCCATTGGAACCTTAGTATGCGGAAACAAAGCCAACATCGCTCGGTAGATCGAATCATTCTTCAACGAAGCAGAACAAGATATAGCAGCGAAACTCATGGGCATGTTGTAGCAAATTTTTGAGAAAAACGAGCACCATAACTTGATGGACGTTGTGGTTTTGGAGGAGATCAAGACCGACCTTGAGGTGTAAGGAATTGGTAGAACATGCCCCTGCACGAGACTTCCATCAACGAGTGTACTATTACCAGCACTCGAGCAACCACTTAAGATACCAAACAACTTTAATTATCAAAAACGTACTTTCATTGGAAACACATGACATATCAGAAGCTGAGTTTGCCAACCCTTCTTTACCACCAGCCCAGCAATCAATCCACACAACTTTGTATACAGACCAGTGTATTCCACATAGCCCTTATTGTCGTATCATCATTCGCCGTTTCAACGCCAAAATGCCCTCCCAACGTCACGATCGTATCGTCGCAAGATCAACGAGTGACTGGCTATGCCGACTTAAGAAAACAGACCGACCAAAATGAAGCCAAACATGTACGCCTTGACCACCATCTGATGCAGGTGTCCGCAAAAAGACTTTATCCGAGAAGCTTATCCTTGGGCAACCTCTTCAGAGCAGCCTCAACATCCTTGTGATCAACGACGACACCGCTCTCGGAACAACGGGCCTTGGCGCGGAGTTCTGAACACAAGTTGTCAATGTCAATCGTGCCGTCCTTGAAGTCTGGGCGACTTGACAGCTTGTCCCTGTTTTGTGTTAGCGCATCAACCGTCGTCACGTTACCATCGCATGAATTTACTAACCAGATCTTATGGCAGTTGAGGAGCGAGTTGACATCCTCGCCCGGAACAACTTCATCCTCACCATCTTGTATGCGCTCGATTTCCTCGAGAGGATTCGTCTTCTGCACGGCTGGTGTATCGCCGAAGTGGAAGGGGCTACCGTAGCCCGTGTTGAGGAAAGCATCGTTGAAGAAGCCACCGGTGAAGTCGCCGTCGCCCACAATCGCATTCTGGGTATCGCGGTATTCTCCAAAGAGTGTTGGGTCGAATTGGCCGCCGTTCTGATTCGCGAAGTAATCGAGGCCGTTGGCGGCAGGTGCGGGTGTGGGTGATTTGGTGGCGTGTAAGACTGCAGGAGAAGGTTTGTCGTCAGATTGGGACATCGCACGAGGCATGGGATTACGAGGGTTGCCGCAGGCCATGTTGAGCTTTTCGCAGAAGAGAACCTCACCTTCGGAGTTTCCATGACACACATAACCGTCCTTGATCGTGTCTACCTGCTGATTGGGCGAGGTATGACTTGGCTCTGGTGATGTTCCACACGAGGAGTCCTGGTTGGTAGGCGATGTGGAGGAGTTGGACGGTGAGTCTGAATGGCTAGAAGAGCCACTGTTGAACTGGAAGACACGTGATTGCGAACCAGTAGAACTCTCGGTATTGCTGCGAGGAGTGTCGTTGTTTGGTTTGCTGCTGTCGAAACCGAAGAAGCCGTTCAGACTGCCAGAGCGCTGCGCATTACCTGCACCCATAGCTCCAGGAGAGTTTGTGAGCTGGCCATTAGCCTTGCTAGTCGGACTAAGGGCGCGTCCGGTGCTGTTGTTTCGACTTGACACACCCGAAGAAACCGATGTGTTCTTGTTCTTGGCCAAGGGACCGTTGTCTAGGAGCTGAGCGCCAGGGAGTCCGCCAAATCGCGGGAAGTCGAAGGAGAAGTTGTTGTTACTGCTATTGCTGTTAAGCATAGAGCTGAAGCCTCCCGCAAGAGGTGGGGTACGGGTCACTCCAGTGCTGTTCATTGATAGTCGTTTCCGGTATTCGCGAAGTTCCGTCTGCAGTCGTTGCACTTGGGCCCGTAGAAGACCGTTTTCGTGGTTTGTAGCATCAGAAGCTTTCTCCAATTCCTGTACCTTTGTTTCGAGGTCTTTCAGATGCTTCTCTTTGCGTTCTCGGAAAGCTCGCTGGGCCGCGCGGTTTTGGGCTTTCCTCTTCTACAGCTGTTGTCAGTTTGGCTAACGTGAGCATCCTCCAAGACACCTACAGTCGTGGGCTCCGAAGTTAGTGGCTTGCGCCCTGGCTTCTTTGCTTGCTTGTCTTCACCTTCTCTGCGCTTGCCGCCGCCCTCGTCATCGTCATCACCGTCGTCACCCGGGCTCTTCCGCTTTTCGCTTGAATCGCCAGGAGTGTCTCCGGGAAGTGAGCCAATCATGTCTCCGTCTGCGTTGTCGAAGTCGAAACTGTTGTCGCCATCTAGGTAGTCGACAAAGGGGCTTTCCTCCATGCCTGTGTTGTTGAAGCTATTTGCAGGCGCTTGTTGTTGGGGGGACGTGAAGTATGCGGGATCGAGGCTGTCAAGGGGATACTGAAATTGCGAGTTGTTCATGGACTGCTTGTTGCCGGAACTGTTATCTAGGCCAGCGGAGAAGAGGTCGTTCGGGTTCTGGTTGTTCGAGGCCAGTGCCGCGAGGAGCAGATCTTGCTGCGTCGCATCGAGGTAGAAGGGCGCACCGTTCTGGAAGTCGTTGGTAGTTCCTGCCATTGTAATTGCGCTCGCGCGGTGCAGGAAGCGGGGTGTTGTGAGTAGCTCCGAGTAAAGCTTGTGGGTGTTGCGTCCGAGCTGCGCAGTGTTGCAGAAGTTCGGAGGGGCTGGCGCTATCGGTCAAACACGTGCGATAACCGTTTTCGCCACCCGGACACCGCAAAATGTGGAGGTTGCGGGCACGCTGGGGTATATGGATTCGGTACGGGTGACGCAAGATGTTTGAGGTAGATTTGAGTAACTTGCACAGCGGGCGGAGGCGGGCCCGTGGGCGGGTGAGGGTTTCGCGACTATGGGGAGAGCCTGTACAGAGGCCAGAACAGTCTATGAGTGTAGCGCACTCAATAAGGACCGCGGAGGGAGATGCGAGCAGCTGTTAGGCAATGTGGGCAATTTGTGTGAAAGGTGGTCAGATGGTGAAGGAGGAATGGCGTAACAGATCAATTCGCAGCCTCACGGCCTGGACGCCGGATCCAATGTGGCACCCTAGCTGGTTGGTTCGGGCGACTTTTCGGAGCAACAACGCTGGGCCTGTCGAAAAGCGGCCGACAGGAGATGAACTGGTGGTCAACGTCACTGATAGGCTGAGTGCAAAGAGTGTGACTGTTCTTGCAGAAGCACGGCGTAAGAGAAGGGCGCAGCTGCACGTCAGGTTCAGCAGGCCTAGCATGAGGTCCCTTGTCTGAGGTGATTGATAAGCACAAAGCTTGGTGGGGTAGGAGAAGAACGCCATCGAAGGCAGCCAGAACAGACGCAGATCACCGCTTCCTGTTCCTGGCAAGGCAACCAACATGACTCCTCAGTCTATTCTAGAATGCTGTCTTAGCACCTGAGCACACTGACGTGATGTCGTATATCGTAGGTATACACTGTTACTTGTACTGTCGAGTATTGACGTGCATTACTACGTATGCCTTGAGGGGACCTTTCCTACAGTATGCACAATTTGGAGTTTATCGGGCTTCATTTTATCGTAACTTCTGACCTGTGGTGATGATCACACACAAACACGCAGACAGATGTCGATTGATATTTGTTCATCCAGAAACGTTGCCGTCTTCGGAAGTCCACTGCGAGAGGCGTACAGAAACTTATGATTCAGCATTACGCATGATGCGTCAATGTCGGTTGGTACAAGGATCTTCCAAGCATCTTCGCGTCTCGACAGTCTTTTTCTAAAAGATAGGGCTTCTTCATAGGAATTCTCCGTCGGCTAGCGTTGATGAAGTTGCATGAAATGATGCCAAGAAGTCTCTGACAAGATGATGCCAAGAATTGTGTTGGAGTAGAGAAATTGTCTGGCATGGGAGTGATAGCTGCACGGTCTGCACTTGTTAACACGTGAGACGACATGAGTAGTGAGTTTTGGGTGGTGACGGTACATTTCCAGATTCAAACATGCTCGAATCACTAGCAGGGCTCAAGCGCGGAGAAAAAAGGGTCTAGGCTAAGTGGGGCGGTGCCAAGCCTAACGCCTGGCTAGTCGAGCGTCACTGCCCGTCGCGACTTCCTCAACTGTAGGCGCGACTTGGAACAATTCAACCCCACCACAACATTGCAACAACAAAAGTCTACCACACGCGCTTGCAACATGGCAGACCACATCAAGCAGACGAAGAACGCCATCAACGCCAAGAGGCAGGCAATCGCCGAGGAGGAGGAGCGCCGCGCATCATGGACAGAAAGTGTAAGTTGCGCACCACCAACCAAGCTATTGCATTGACTTGACTGACATTGTATAGCTCGCGGAAATGGACAAGTTGATTGCCAGTACCGGAGATTCAGAGGAGATGACGGTTATGCGCACAGAGATGCTCAATGAAATCGCCAAACACGACGCTAAACTTGACCGACTACGCCCTGAGCTCGCCGCTCTCGAAGCCCAGCTCCCCCAGACGCCCGCCGAGCCCGCCGGCCCCAAGTTCGACCCTGAGAAGCACCCGGTTCTGCGCAAGACCATGGAGAAGCCGGAGCCCGAGAAGGCAGTCACATTCAGCATTGGCGACATCTGTGAGGCGCAGTGGACTGACAGGTCCTGGTACAAGGCCAAGATTCAGAGTATCCTCGGCTCCGTCTCAGCTCCCAAGTACCTAGTTCGCTTCATCGAGTATGACGACACTTTGACCGTTGACCGCACCGCTGTACGCCCTCTTCCGAACAAGCGCAAGCGAGAGGCCGAGCCCGCGTCTGCCGCGACGCCATCTGCGCCTGTTGTCTCAAGCGCCCACGTCATTTCAGGACCTGCGAGCATGAACCCGAACGTGCAGGGTGCCAAGAACCCTGGGGGTATGGAGGCTACCGAAGACAAGAAGCCTAGTCGCATAGCTAACAAGGGAGTGTTGAAGAAGAGACAGTCGAACTGGGCCGACTTCCAGAGCAAGGCCACCAAGAAGGGTGTTGCCAAGAAGGAATCCATGTTCCGTACCAGTACTGAGGCTGGTAGTCGAGGTGAGCAAACTCGGTAATATCTCCTCGCATACTGTTGCTAACAATCCACAGTCGGCTTCACAGGCTCCGGCAAGGGCATGACCGAGACCCACAAGCGCCAACGTTACGACCACAAGGCCGACGCCGACAAGGATGACGAGTACTCTGCCGACCGCAAGCGCTTTTGAATACACTGAGGGATGGCCAACGGATACTTCGTGGTATGTGGTTATGTAAACAAAAAATCCCGATGTTTCGAATCCCTTGCTTACGTTGCCCTTGGGCCAACTTCAGACCTAGGCATACGCGGTCATGCAACTGCATGGAGTGATCCATTGCTGATCGACAAGCGAAGCTTTTCGCTCTGCATAAGAAGGTAGAGCTAACCTGATGCAGGTTTTCTCTTGCACTACGACTTGTTACAACAACTCGCATGTGCCTCCACGGACTTCATGGCATCTGCATATTTTCGGTATGACTCTGCGGCACACACTTCCGTCTGTTGAGCCAACTCACTAAGCACGACCGCTCAATAGGCGTTCGATACCCATTTCATCTGACATTACTGGTCAAGCATCTTCGATAGCTAGAGCCGGTCACATCGTCAGGTAAGACATAGGTTCCTTTACTTTCCCTTCCCTGCGAGCGTACATTAGCCACCACTCATGTACGTACGATCATTTGCGTGGTCTACTACGTAATCGACCACACATGTATTGTCGGGAATTGTCTATAGAAATGAAATTTACAACAACAATAACAACAAAAAAGCTCGTGACTGTGCATTTTCTGTAGTCTTGGTGTCTACTGTGATATCATGACCACAAGGTTGTTGTGCCGTGCCGTGCCTTCCAACGCAGTGGTCGCGGCTTTGTTCCCGAATGCCCCGCGGTCCCACCAAGACACATGCTCGCGTCTCTTAGCTCCGACCTCACCCCACGCCTCAAGATCTTAGCTACCGCGACGCGACGGTCAACAAAGAAGCACAAGGCATGTCGGAGTTGCTCGGTAGAGCTACTGGACTGCACTACGCGATTTCAGCATGGAGGCGGACTGGGACGAGGTATGCCTTTAATAGTACTCAAATTATGCATACCCTGACTGACGACCGCATAGCTAGCCATCGCTCAACTGCCGCCCCCCGGACCACATCTTCCCAATGTGCCGATATCGACATTCGCATTCGACACGACGCAAGAACTATTATGGACAGGCAACAACCAAGTGAGTACGTTCACGCGCGGCCCGTGCCAGGTACCGTGAAACTTACGACTTTGCAGGGGCGCGTCACGTCCTTTTACGGCCCTCATCTCGAACGCTATACCTCGTACCGCGGACATGCGCCTCCCGATGGCCCTGTCAAGCAATTTCTCTTCACGGAGAAGGGCATTCTTTCTATCTCTAAGAACAGCGTCCACTACTCCCATCGCCGCGGGCTCACACAATGGCACCTGACGTATGTTGGTTGCGGAAGGAGAAAGAACCATGCATATGGCAGCGGCTGACCATCAGCGTATAGGAGCGCCGAGTTCAAAGACATGAAATGCATGAACTTCACGTCGAAGGGTACGCGCGAGATTCTGGTCGCAGGATGCCAGGAGCAAATGTTCAAAGTGGACGTGGAAAAAGGCATCATCACGCATACGGTATGACTTGTCATTCAACGACCTGTCTTTCGCTGACCAGTAGAAGCTTCCTGCCGAGGCTCAGTATACTATCATGAAGCGCGCTGGGCAATATCTGTGTGCTGCGACTAAGAATGGTGGTATTCACATCTTGGACTCGAACTCGCTTTCCGTCATCAAAGTCTTCGAAGGACACACTGGTAGCATCAGCGACATGGACGCTAAGGGCGACTTTCTCGCAACATGTGGCTGGTCTCCTCGACAACAGTATGCGTACATGCTGGACCCATTCACCAACGTCTTTTCCTTGAAAACGCTAAAACAGCTACCTCCCATTCCATTTCACACGGGTGCTGCATTCGTACGCATGCATCCCCGCATGTCGACTACGGCCTTTATAGCATCGCAAAACGGCCAGATGCAGGTCATCGACCTCATGAACCCAGACTCAGCCAACCTCCGACAGTTGAACTTCTATGAATCTTATCTGACTGGCTTCGAAATGGCACCCTCTGGTGAAGCCATCGCGCTGGCAGACTCAAACTCTCAAATTCACCTCTGGGGTTCGCCAACTAAGGTGCATTTCCCAGAATACAGTAACCCAACAGAGACCGCAGACCATAACGCCCAACCGCCGCCACAGATGGATTGGAATCCTGATACGTAGGTTCTGCTGATTACTAGTCCAAGCACATTGCTGACATTTCCTAGGCCTCTGAGCACTGTTGGCATGCCGTATTACAAGGAACAGCTGCTGTCGAGCTGGCCTAGTCATCTGATTTTTGAAGTCGGCGCTCCCCCACCGAAGATTGATAGTGGCATACTCAACAATATGACACGCACCGAAATTGGGTTCTTTGCCAAGAACCCTAGAACCAAGCGCAGGAACCAAGCTGAAGTAACACGGCAGGTGGACAGAGTCAGCGAGTCGCTGTCCGCGCCCAAGTTTCTGAGCGAGAAGACCCGAGCTTCGCAGTCTTTTACCGAACCAGACGCCAAAGCCTCAGAGACCATGGAGACCTTGACTGACTTGCATCTCGATGACGTTACGCGCAAAGATGTTCCTGCCATGTATGGGAACGTAGAAATCAAGTATAGCAAGTTCGGCGTCGATGACTTCGACTTTGCGTATGTCTTCCAGCACACCCTGGAAGTGCTTGCACTGACTTGACATTAGATACTACAACCAAACACCTCATTCTGGCCTGGAGACACACATCACCAACTCCTACGCTAACCCCCTTCTGCAACTCTTCCGCTTCACGCCGTTGTTGCGGAATCTTGCGTTGCAACACACTGCTTCACCGTGTCTTTTCGAGTCATGTCTCCTTTGTGAGCTAGGCTTCCTTATCGACATGCTCGAAAAAGCGGCTGGGCTCAATTGCCAGGCATCCAATTTTCTGAAGACTTTTAGTGGCCTCTCGAATGCAGTTTCACTGAACCTACTCGAAGAGTTCGCGCCTAATGTTGCGCTCACCAGCATGATCCAAAATCTCAATCGCTTCCTACTCGAAAAGGTTTCGGAGGAGTTCCGACAAATGCTGCCAGGTCACACTGGGCCGTCAGCCATGGATCAAGTGTTGGAAACTCAGGCGAAGGCCAGCATGAGATGTGCACAATGCAACAACGAGACCATTCGTGGAGGCAAAAATTTCGTCAATGAGCTCGTATATCCAGCGAAGCACGTCATGAAAAATACACGGATACCACGTCCCACCTTCTCGCAAATCTTGAAAGCTAGCGTCGAGCGACAGGATCAGACTAGGGGCTGGTGCACCAAGTGCAATCGGTATCAACAGATGGTACAGCGGAAGACGATACAGTCGATCCCTGGAGTGTTGATGCTCAATGCCGCCATACAAAGCCACGAAGCGAAGCTATTGTGGTCAATACCCAATTGGCTTCCACAAGAGATCGGGATCATAGTAGATCAAGGTCAATTCTACTGTTTCGAAGGCCAAGACCTGAAGCTACACTTGCAACGCGGAGTACACCAGATCATGGTGTATGAGCTTGTCGGAGTGGTCGCAGACATCAACAGTGGCGAGCATCAGAAGCCTCATCTGGTAGCGACTATCAACACTGCACCGTCTTCACGAGAAGAAGATCTGGAGGACAGATGGCATTTGTTCAACGACTTTTTGGTGAGACCGATACCGAAAGAAGAGGCTCTGCGTTTCGAGCCGAGTTGGAAGCTTCCATCAGTCCTTACCTTCCAGCTAAAGTCTGCTCGCAACAAAATCGACGACTCGTGGAAAGAGAACCTCGACACTTCCATACTCTACAGATGGTGGTCGTCCAATCCAACGCCTCCAGAAACGAAGTTCAAGCTACTCCAACACTCATCCGAAGAGCCGCGCCCCGGCTACCCCGTCGCCATCGACGCCGAATTCATCCGCCTCCAAGCCGAAGAGATTGAAATGAAAGCAGACGGGACCCGCCAGACCATTCGTCCCGACCGCAAAGGTCTAGCCCGTGTCTCCGTCTGCCGCGGCGAAGGCGAGCAAGCCGGCCTTCCCTTTATCGACGACTACATCGCCGTAACCGAAACCGTAGTCGATTACCTCACCGAATGGTCCGGTATCTCCCCCGGCGACCTCAGCCGAGAAACCTCCCCCCACGCCCCCGTCTCCCTAAAACACGCGTACAAGAAACTTTGGCTCCTGCTCAACCTTGGCTGCGTCTTCGTCGGGCACTCCCTCGCCAACGATTTCCGTACTATCAATATTCATGTGCCCAAGAACCAGGTTGTGGATACGAGTCATTTGTGGTTCAAACCGGACTTTAAGCGGAAGTTGAACCTGAAGTTTTTGGCCTGGTGTGTACTGAAAGAGAGTATTCAGCAGGAGACGCATGATTCTATTGAGGATGCGACGACGGCGTTGAAACTTTGGAGGAAGTGGCAAGAGTTTGATGATGCGGGAGTGCTGGAGCAAATGTTGAATGATGTCTATGCTAAGGGAAGTTTGGTCGGGTTCAAGGCACCGGGGAGTGGGGGGAGAGTTGGTGGAAACGGGGGCAGGGTGGTCGAAGTAGGGTTGTGAGTGGTGCTGGCGGAGAAATGCCAGATCCTTTGACGACGCCGAAGAAAGGGGGAAGTCAGTTTGGAAGTATGGGATTTAGGAGTCCGCTGAGACGGTGATGGTGTGAGGTGAGCTACATTGCGGTATGGTTTGTAGGTAAGTAGAGAAAGAATGAATATCAGTCTGCTGAAACTCTTTATTTTGTCGATTCTATCTCTGGCCTATGAAGATTCTTATGAGTTAGACGATACGACTACGCCGTATGCCTCCACACCACTCACCCACTCAACCACTGCTGCCGTAGACCTAACCCTCCAAATTTTATTCGCAATTAAACTCAGCAGTGCCACTGATATGAGGGGGCCGGATGGGAACATCTTGTATTGTGCTTTCATTCACGTCTAGATAGGCTTGTGGTTAGTGAATACTAGTATTGCAAGAAGGCAGTCTGTGTATGCAATGTGACTTCGCGCCATGTAGAGGATAACCACAACTCTGGTTTAAAATCAGTATTTCACTTCCCTCGTTGCTAGGCACCGCAATTCTTTACAAGGCATCGAAGGCATGAAATGTAAGAAGACAATTTATTGAAATGATGGTACAATGCTATAATCCGAATCCGTGTGCTTTCTATCCCTACTGCTCAGTGTTGTCCGTTATACTTTAGCTGAGTAACAAGCGTGAATATTCCATGTGCCGTTGCGTTTTGCACTCAAGGAGTCATATAACTGCTTAGCAGGTAGGCAGGGCATTGAGAGTTCCCTGTGCACCAAGGCATCCATTGTTGTTGTTCTGGGGAGGACCATCCGGCGAACCACGCTCAACACCCAAGTAGTTCTCGCAGACGTCTCTGCTACTGCTACCGCAGGATCTGGAGATAGTAGCCGTGTCGCCAAAGTTGTTGTTGATACCGACAAGGTCAGAGGTCATGCCGCTGGCGCGAACATTCTCAATCACGACGTGGCGAGGGCTGTTTTCCCTGTTGTTGGAGCAGTTACCGCAGCTGCGGTAGAGTTTTCCTGAGTTGGTGACAGTGTAGTTGCGGATCGTGACGCGGCCACGTCCGTTGTGCTGGATGACCTTGTCGTTGGCGCCAGTGGCACCGCCGCCGTCGATGAGAACCTCTCCTGGCCCAAGAGCACTAACAGCATCTATTCGAGTTAGTTGGCATGTTTTCCAATTTGATGAAGAGAGTGTCGCACCTTCGCAAACGTTCCTGAACCAAACATTTCTCAAAGTGCAGCGGCCCCTGCAATGAATACCTGGAGAAGGTCAGTGACTCTGTTCCCTGGAAGCAGGATGAATTTGAACTGTACCATCGATCTGGTTGGGACCAATAATCAAGTTCGAGATGGTTACACCATCGTCGAGAACGAAGACTGGAGCACCATTGGGATTCTCTTGTTGGCAGGTAACGCCACTGTCAAACTCCGCCATGCCGAAGTCCCTGTCTACAGAGATGCGAGAGTTGGAAGCGCGCTGAATAGTGCCCACTCTGGCGGGGATGGTAAGGACCTGACTCGAAGCCAAGGACGCGGCGAGAGCGGCGAGGGTCAACTGAGTGAACTGCATGGTGAAAGAAGTTTGGATTGTCTTGAGACTGGAGAGATGGATTTTGCTTGGAGAGCTTGAAGAATCTGGGATGCAGTGACTGTGAAGATGCTGATGAAGGTGATGGTGATTTCCAAGTGGGAGAACACACAGTTTATATACTTCAACGTTCTCATATGGAGACTACGACGCTTGCTACCTCGTGACTCCGATATAGATATAACTCGCCGATACAAATGACCGACACAAGAGTCTGGATGTAAACTTGGAAGAGTCTGGATGCAAGAGGGGTCACTTGGTGGAGGGGTGGGAGGCAACATTACGATCGGGGATGCCGTACCAAGTCAAGCTCTATACGAGATGCTTTAATCACGCGAAGAACAATAGCAGTCTAGTGTGCTATTTCTCGACTACTGTGGCTAATGCGGTTTTGAATCTCCCATGCTTGTATTAAGGACTAGATAGATCTTGTCCAGTCGGCAATTTACTGAACCTGGCGCCAACGTCGCATTGTCAGTGGTGTACTATATGCACCTGGGCATCTTCCGGAACTGAGCTGGTTGTTCTTGGCGCCTAGCTAGATTCGTTCTAGAGTATACCAAGTGGAGATGTTGGATATACGAAACTGGCGAAACTACATCTTCGGCCCTAATGCTGCTATGTCACGCCATGGAAGGGGAAAATCGAACACCTCTTAGTGAGTCAAACTTCATAACCCTACAATACCACAAGAATAGCCCAGTGAAGATTTTAAATTTTGTGGAAAGAACACTTCTTTATACAAGGTATAGGAAAGCGCTTCTTAAAGATTCTAAGGTTTCTTGTTGCGTGGTGTAGCGTTGTCGAAGATTCCTTATATCTGGACGGGTTTCTTTTTTCCGTTCCGGGGCATGATGTTATCTGGGACTCTTAGCGTTGCCTGTGGATTTTTGTTTGCCCTGGTTTGGTTCGCTGTCTGTGCGCTAAATGCGTTACAGGCGGGTCTGTGTTCGTCCTGCAAACTCCCCGAAACTATGTCCGAGCGCGTCTCGAGTCAGCAGGCCTATGCTTTAGGTCCGATACAACAACACAAGGCTACAACACCATTGAAGTTAATACGTTTGTTTTTAATTTACTTTGTATTGTCTCATTCAGAACTGAGCATCAGCCGCCTCGTCGAATACGACAAGTGCACTTCCCTCCATTGCTGTCGAATGCGCCTACTGTTGGTGATAGTGTGGGCGATGTTAAGATCAATAGACTTGTCAATGACCAAGCCAATCAAGCTGAGGCCTCCGGCTTGGCTTGGTTTGGCCATGGGAGCGAAACAGCTTGAATCGATTGGCTTGATAGGTTTAAATCGACGAGGTTGATTAATGAGCGTGATGAGCTTGATAACCGTGCGTGAGGCTGTTGTTGTTGTTGCAGTACAAGCGATCTCACGATACTTTCTTAGTGTTAAGTTTGATGTTATGCACGGACTATTAGTCACGTGACTAGCACGTGATTATGTAACAGAACTTAACTCTATTGAAGTATCGTGAGATTGCTTGTACTGCAACAACAACAGCCTCACGCACGGTTATCAAGCTTAGTAGGCTCATCAATCAAGCTAAGCTCTTTAAGCTTAATTAACTACTATATTACTACACGCTGGCTTAGCTTAGCTTGAAATATGGATTGGTAACAGCTTGATTGATGAGCTTGATCTGGCTTGATTGTTGACAACTCTGCAGATCAATGAGCCCGTGATAGTACAGGCGGGTCTACATGGTGACGACTGGAGAGGTTGAGCGCATACATAGAATAGTTCATCCTACCTGCATCGCTTCCATACCCATAAGTCTCCTACTTCTCCTCCTCATCCTCGCCTCCAACATGTTCGCTATATCCATCTTCCCTTGTTGCCGTGCATACTCCGAAGCTGTCGATCCGTTTTATACAATATTAGGATCAGCCCCCACTTCCAACAAAACCCTCATCGCCTCCCTATTCCTGCAATACACAGCGCGACCAAGGGTCGTACCCCTTCTATCCGGGACATGATTCACATCTACGCCCCTCGCGATGACAAATCTCAGAGCTGCCGTATCCGTCCTCGGTTCACGGGGTCCTTCTATCGCGGCGTAGATGGCAAGCAGATCTAGCTCCGCGCCCCCTTCATCGAGTAGGATTTCCATCGCGCTAACCCAGCCTGAGGCGGTGGCTTGGGCAAAAGGAGTTGTGCGGTCGGCGCAGGATCCTACGAGACGCGGATTCGAGGTCATGTTCACGGGTGCGTTGTGGGCGAGGAGCCGGCGAAGGGTATTTTCATAGTGGAGGGACGAGCCGACTGCGCTGGTTCCCCACCAGAGACCACCAAACTTCTAGCCCCAAGTGGACATTAGATCCAAGAGCTCTGGCTCTTTATCTCCTCTTTCGATGTCAGCTCGAAAGGCGCCCCAGTTTAGGTAGGCGCCGTGACTGATTAACGTGGAGATTACGGCTAAGGAAGCGGATGGCATGGCGACTGCTAGACAGTGAACTTTATCTTTTTCTGTAATAGCACACGTGTCCTTGCAAGGCCGCGCGCATGTGGAGAATTTGGCATGGAGGCCCGAGACGTCGTTGTGGTGGATGAGGGTTTCGAGTTCGTTGGTTAGGCCTAGGTCACTGTAGGGTTGGTTTGAGAGCCTTGGTGCCATATTCTAAGGTGTTTTGGTGGTTGTGAAGAAGGCAGCATGCTTAAGGTTTGGGGTCGGAGAGTTGTTTGGTAAGGGAATCTATGGTCACGAGAGGAGATGGTATGGAGACGAGCCGTGTCGCTTCTTACATGGGATGATCGAACATGTGTATGATTAGCGGATGAAGTGCTAAGATGGCAGCCTAGTTATATCCGGGAGAAGCATGCAGGTGTACGGCGTGGTTTGTGAATTTGGCTCACACTTGCTTCCAAGCATACTCTGCAATCGTTGGTATTCACTAAGGTAGCCATGAGGGCTTCAGGAATGACTTTGCGCTGAGATGTGATAAGGAAAATTTCGACACAGTATGATGATTGGTATGTGTGAGAGAATAGACAGTGTGTTGGTAATGGTGTAGCAAGCCTATTAGTAATGTGCGACTTGCGCGCTAGAACAACTCGGCGAGGAACGTTTTTGTTCGCAACTCACGTAGTACGGATGTAGAGTCTAGCTACGAATAGCAAACAAAGTTATGAACACTCTCAGAAAAATGATGATGGTAGGAGAAAGGAAAGCTGGTAAAGGAACAGGGAGGAGAAGATGAGCGTAGCGTTGAGACGATCGTGCCTCGAGTGCGCAATCTGCGATCTACTGCCTGAGCCAGGTATGACGTATGTGATGTCATCCTTACTAATAAACGTCAATTCGAAGTCCTAGAACCAATCAAAATGACATTAAGACGTGTAGCCAGTTGTATTTTACCTGATGCGTCGTGCTTACTTGACGTTGTATTTGCTAGTACGGATGCGGAGTCATGTCGCGTCTAACCTCTTTAGGCCGGAAGGCGTACCTACATGTGGCCGTCCACCCTACTTAAAAGTCGCACGAACTCGACTCAGGCTCAAAAAGGACGACGCTTTTCATCCTTCCCTGACTTCTCAAGCATATATCCTCCATCGAAAATTTCCGAGATGTCCCACCAACAGCAATTGGACATTAGAAAATACGGCTGGACTGCCGTTCCAAGAGACCGTTCTAACGTCCCATCTGCCGATGATGTTCTTGGAACGGTCGGGGGAATAACCGACCTCGAAAAGCTCTGGCCAATAACAGATGTGACTATCAAGGCGCGAGAATACGCAAAGAATGAGTTGCGTACAGAGACCTACAACCACAGTTTGAGAGTATTCTGCTACGGTACACACTACTTCCCCACACCAGCATCGGCGTATGACCTCCATACGGCAACTTCAAATCACTAAATCTTCTTCAAATATACTGACACCATAAGCTAGGCTACCAAATGATTGTACAGCACTTCCCAGACTGGATTAGCAGCGCCTTCTTCGAAACCTGGGCGCTAACATGCCTCTTCCACGACATCGGCACCACACCCCAAAACATGTCTTCCACGCACATGTCTTTTGAATTTCAGGGCGGTTTCATTGCTTTGACGAAGTTGCAGGAGTTTGGTGCTCCCAAAGTGCAGGCAGAGAGTGTTGCAGAAGCCACCATCCGGCACCAAGATCCCGGACAGACGGGCACGATTAGTGCCATGGGACAGTTGATACAGATTGCCACGGAGTTTGGTAAGTTTACCCTAAGCAATTATGGGATGTTTTGTATGACAAAGACTGACGAGAACGAGACAACATGGGTTGGCAACCCCATCTTGTAAACAGGGAGGTTATTGATGCGGTGACCCGCCAACTGCCTAGGTTGGGATGGTCAAACTGCTTCTCCACCCAGATTCAGAAGGAGATCGAAGAGAAGCCTTGGTGTCATACGACGGCTATCCCGAACTTTGCGGAGGCTGTGGCTGGGAATGAACTTATGAAACCTTACGAGTAGGGCGTAGCATAGAGGGGACATAAAGATCAGTAAGACCGAAAATGGCGATTCGCATGGAAAGATGGCTGTCATATGCTGTACGAGTCTTCTGGCATTTCATTGTGAAATACAAACTCGAGAGCTCTCTGTAGCATGATAAGTACGAATGAGAAACTTCGACTACGTTGCTTGCATGTATCGCAACCTTCAAAGATATTCGCAATATGCTAGGCAGATACGCATTCACTGGAGCCCCACTACTCATCTTGGATCATTGGTCGAGTACACCCGGTACGTCACGCACCGATACGTGTACTCACCAGCGCGAAACTGATCGGGGATGGTGTTACAATCCTTGAATAACCTGCGCAGCGCATACCGGCAATCATCTCTACCCATACGCCAATTGTAGCCCCTGCGATACCGTTAGTCCCGCTGGACGCATGTGATAGCAAGGGAAAAAATACCTACTGGCACCAATTCATGTTCTCATACGGCTCCGGCGCCCCATTCTCAACCGTTTGCACAGCGAGATGGATATGCTGTGGATTCCAACTCTCAGGATAGAAACCCGGCTGACCCTCTGGGGGAAACACCTGCCCCTGGTCACTATTATGACTGAAGCCCTTGATCTCCGCGTCATCGATACACCAAGCGTTAATTGCTTGTTCAAGATTGTCCGGGAAGACCTTTCTGCCTGTGGCGTATCGATTCACATCCCAACATTTGGGCGTCTGGGGCTTTTTACTGCCTTTCGCGGTTAGTTGTTCTGGGGCGGGGAAAGACGGGTATTCGTCCCAAGGAGGACTATCGCCAATCGTGACACCGCTAAGATCAAGACTGTAGTCGATAGTACCAATAGAAGCGGTGAAGCCATGTGAAGTATCAAAGTCTGGATCGCACTTGCTTAGGCCTTCTGTTAGGCCGGCGATGCATTCGTCTTTCAGGAATGATGCTTGTTGGTTGTTGCCGTTTGGGCTAGCCCGGAGCCAGAATGAGCGGCGGTCGGGTACGTCGAGTTGAGTGACACCCCAACGCCAGTACACGTTGTCTGAGATGGTGTTTGAGGTAAATTGGTGGTTGTCGTTGTCGCTGTACCAGGTTTGGATAGCGAATTCTACGCTCGTTTCACCCGAGGCAGCACTGTCTTTCTTTGGTGCATCGAGGGGATGGCTGAAACACTTGATCGCGGACTGAATCTGGTGGTGAACACTGAAGGAGTACGTGCCACAGCCGATGTTGATAGCTCCACTACCAGCCAGAAACTTCTTATCATCGCCTACCTTGCATGAATCGTAGTCGTTCAGTGCTTTGAAAGCGTCGTAGCATTGAACAGTACATTCGGTAGCATTTTCCCCCGTTTTAGGTCTCCACCAAAGTGCAAACTTGTAGTCCCTGTATTCATCGGGGTTTTCCCTTCTCCAAAAATTCCGGCGGTTAAATTGTGTTTGTTCTCCTTTTGAATCGACCATCCAAGTGACGTCTTCGGTTGAGCCGTCAACGTTCTCGCAGAACTGGGTATACGTTGTGTTGAATGAGTCGATGGGAAATTTCGTATCTTCGTTGGCTAGACAAAAGGTCAAGTAATCCTCAATTGGGATGATTGGGATTTGGGGGTGGTAAGGGACAGTCCACGGCTCAATTGTCGCTGTGGTAACAGCATATGTTGAAAGGTGAGGGGCATCAGTAGATGTAGTACATAGGGTGGTGCAGTCTCGTATATTACCGGTCTGGGTACAAGACGCTGTGCAAGTCATCAAGCCTGACGAGCTCGAGCTTTTCGTCGTACTAGAGACGGTGGACATGCTTGAAATTGCTATTTTAGTCGTTGCACCGATCGAAGCCGTCGCAGTACCTTCCATTTCGGTCTTAGACCAATAGTTTGTCATCGAAGGTGGTGTCGCATGAATGATAGCGTTGAAAGCCAACAGGAAAGAAGCTACCGCAAGAGCTCTCATTACCTGTCGGGGACGGGCTATATATGCGGCTGCCTCGACGGCAAACCCCATTACCTCAAGCATTGCTTGTTGTACGTCTGGCTCCGTCCATATCGGTTCCCGTCCTTGAACCAGACCCAGTTCCGCAAAGGGACCACTAGGTCCGGCGTTGAGAACGATTTCTCGAGCTGCACATACGACCTCTCCTAGCTGATCCTCGACGTCTCGACTGCGAAGTTTGCGTCTATTCGTGTCGGAAAATGCAGCTCCGGCCACGCATTTTTTGCTTATATTGATCATGCTTGCGAGACGAGCTGCAAGGTCGGCAGAAAGAAAAAGGGCAACGTCGCCGATTGAGTGACCGTCTTTTGGTTCAGTCAACGTCGTTTGAAGTGGTGCATCGGACCTAGAGATGTATAAGCATATGAACTATCTAATATAGTGCCGCTGCTTACTGGGTAATCGTGACAACGTCAGCCGTCGGCGTGATGACTAGAGCCGAAGTAGCAGATTCCGTGATAAAGGCAAACGTGCGCGACTGTACCCCTGATGCCGCTGAGCCCAGCTGTGAGTAGGGAATATGCAATATAGAAGTTGCTCCAGGTAGTTGCGATACTGGTCACGTTTCATCGGCAGCTTGATGGATGATTGGGAACAAGAGGGCGACGAGAGAGATTGCAGCTAGTGCCAACTCCCCGCTAGTGGACTGTCTAACTTCTAGGTTTGTATGAGGGTTGAATAGCAGGTTTTTGATGCTATCGAAGCATGCATTGTCGATCGCTGCACACTTGCTGTCAAGAGCTTGATTGATACTAGCACGCAATTCATCCGAGAAGACCATGTCGACACCATCTTGGTCAGCTGGCTCGGTAAACATGATACGTGAGCCAGTCAGTGTAGGTATAGTACTCTATGATTCATCAGCATGTCTGCAGGAAGGAGGAAAATGATAGCTTACGAGCGAAGTAGAGTATTGAGCTAGATGGCCAACAGATAGTGTGAATGTCTCGGCTCCACAAAGGGTAGCCATGGTTACGAGACTAATGGTAGTAGCAACGAAGGCCATCTTAGTTGGGTTTGACTATCGTGCGTATATGTTAAAAGGTAAGTTGACAAGAATGACGCTTCTGCACCATCAACTTGAACATCTGAGGACATTAAGTAGTCCAGATTCCAATTTCAGCGATAAGGTATCCATTGCCTTGACGTGTCACAGCTGAACTTGATGTTTACCGTCGCTCCATCTTCCCTCAAACCGAAGTTCCGGGAAGGAACAAGTCTCCACCCCCTGCATATCGGCCCCGTGTCGATGATGAACATTTTTGATCGAACTGTGCCGATGCTACGCCCCCAACCCTTATGCTGTAGCTGCTGCGACTGGGGCCAAATAATGAAGGCACGCTCTATGTATCGTCATTTGGAAGGTCCTCAAACACGAGACTATAATTGATGGGCATGGATATCCGCGACACCTTCATGTATGCATATGCCGGTTGTGTAAAAAGCTGTAAGAAACAAGAAGGTCACGGGCTTCAAAAGGCTGACATCAAATCGCGCCAGGTGATGCAGAAGGTCAAATAGCAACCTTGACCTCAGCGTTCACCGCCATGAAGATAATACTTACACCAAGAACTAGATTTCCTACCAATATGGAAGAGAAGATACGGCAAGTCTGCGTTGTTCATCATAGTAATGAAAGTGGCACTATACTCACCGAGCTCCAACACAACCGCACCGTAGAGAGATGTCTTTGGAAACGCATCAAGGTACAGCAGTATTGGATCCCGCATCTATAATGGCAGCCAATTCTGGTTGCTCGATTTCCCTTGCGTATTCCGCTGCTGTCATACCCCGTTGGTCACGCGAAGCCGTGTCTGCGCCGTATTTCAGCAAGACCTCTAACTGATCTTTCTTGACCCAATGGACAGCGTGATGCAGTGGCGTACCCCATCTTGTTGTCGGGTAGTCGATTTCTGCGCCTTGTTCGATAAGTAGCTCTAACGTCGCTGTGCCTCTTGTCCAGGTGGCATCGCTGATGGCGTCAAATATCGCTAGTGGGTTCATATGAGCCCCATGAGACAGCAGTATCTTGGCTGGAGAAGGATCGGAGAGCTTCACCACCGCGATTAGCGGAGTATAGCGCTCGGAACCCGGTCCAGTTCGTCGTCTAGACACGGTATTTGGGTCCGCGCCGTGTTCGAGTAGCCAACGAAGCAGTGTTTCGTTTGAAACGGCTATCCTGCTTCTGAATGAATGGAGGGCTGGAAATGTGGTACGAAGAACACCCACTGAAGCGCCGAGGGGCCAAACTCGGTAGAATTGATGTCCCAGCCATTGTCTAGCATCAAATAAATCAAAGCGGGCTCCCCTCGACGGATAGCCGTGTAAAAGCTCTCTTTCGTCATCCTGGCATCCCATTTAATAAGGCTTTCGATGGTGTCTAAAGACGCCTCTGACATTGCAAAGACAAGACATCTGTCCAACTCTTCTCGGCCCAGAGCCGGGCTTTGCGATAGCCGGGTATTTAATCTGGTCAAGTCATTGGATTTGATGATCTCGCGCAGCTCATCAGACAATGGTGGCCACATTCTCCAGGATCGTGTCAATGACCGTCAAGGCGTGTGCCGCGGTCTCGCTGCGTGGGTGGATGGTCGTAGTACATTGGAGGCGTGGTAGTGTTCCTATGTAAGTTGTACGGTTAGATTGCGGCGTAGCAGCGCTTCACGTCGCTTCCAAGGTTGCGTCATGCGCCAAGCGAAGCAACACCATCTGCAAGCTGTCCTCTGGCAACACCAACAGCAGTGATCACCAGTGAGACAATCTGAAACTGAATGCAGCAAAATCCTGCCATTCTCGTGCATCATACGCAGGTTGGTCCCATGATGAGGCGTAATAGTGAGCCCCAGGCGCAACCCGATCAGGGCTATTGTATTTTGTTACATACCCCAGGAGCTGAACAGTTAGGGCTGGCATAGAAGCAATAGTCATACCACTCTAAGAGCTCTCATACAGCCACCTACCTCGCCGCAATGGGTCCATCATGGCGTTCTTATGCTGAGTCTACTACCTCGATACTTGTCATTGTAAGGGTGCGATGGGTTGACCATAAGTGCAAGGTATAACAGTAATGAATTCGATAGAGAAGCTACACTACGCTTGCGCTGAGTCTATGTATCACGTAGTGCTAGGTTCGAGAAACTTCTAAGGGTCCGTGGAGCGCCGATGAAGCCCCGACAACGCTCCGAGGGTTGCAGCCTATCCCAACCAGCTATAACGAAGGCCACAGGCCAAGTACTACTAACCAAGGCTTCAGCCTCTTACAGTACCCCCCTTCTTAGGCTTAGATCCCTCCTGTGTGGCGTGTTTCCAATCTTTGAGAGCATCAGTCTCTTTCAGATTTACGGCTGGTTCCCAAGTTGGATCAGGATAGCCTTCCCTTTTTACCAGGTACTGCTTTCTGTGCCCCTGGCCTCTCTCCTCCAGGATCTCCTCTACCAGATACATCTCTTCTCCATCCACCTCAATAGGCTCTGGCTCGTTATCATCTTGTGGCTGACTAGGTAACGGGTCCGATGAAGCGAGCCTCAGCATGTTGACGTTGAATACTGGATGAACTCGTCCAGGAGTGTTTAGCTTGACTGCGCTTGGTCCTACAATCTCAAGTACCGTATACTTCAAGTTCTTCCAGTCAAGTTTTCTGCTTGGCCTCTTAGTCTTAAAGTGGTCGCCTAGCTTTAACCATACTTTGTCACCAACTCGCAATTGAGGAGCTTGTTTCCGTCTCTTGTTAGCCTGCAGTTCTTGGTCTTGTTGGGCCTCTCCCATAATCGCTTGAGCTAGCTGAATGCTCTGCCTCAATCTTTCTACGATGTTCTCAGCCTTTTCATGCTCGTCTTGCACTCTCTTTCCCTTGGGCTTGTTTTCCGGGCCGTACTTAATAGCAATCTGAACAGGGTCCACTTCGTATCCGTGCTGCATAAAGAATGGTGACATCCTTGTAGACCGCGCTTCCCTTGCTGTAATTGCGATTTTAGCCATTCCTAGGTTGGATTTCCAATTGCTCTGATTCCAGTCGCAGAAAGCGCGGAGGTAGGCTTGTACTGTCGCGTTCATTCTCTCCGTAGATCCATCGGTCTCTGGGTGGTATCCTGACGATAGTCTTCGCTCAATACTCATTAGTTCACAAGCCTAGCCCACATGTGGCTTACAAACTGTGAGCCTCGGTCTGAAGTAATGTAGTCCGGTAGCCAGTGGTATGCAACGACGTGATTCATGTACGCCTTAGCTACACTCTCTGTCGTAATGTCTGCTAAGCCCATAAGTACTACGTCCTTACTAAGGCGGTCTGTTACCACCATTAGGTTGGTACAGCCCTCACTTTCAGGCAAGCCAGTTATAAAGTCCATAGAGACTTCCTTCCAGATGCGTTCAGGAATTGGTAAAGGCCGTAGTAGCCCTTGGAGGCCATCTCTCCAAGGCTTCACTCGTCCGCAAACAGAACAGTTCCGTACATACTGGCGAACTGAGTTGCTTAATAAAGGCCAGAAATACTCCGTGCAACAGCTTGGTATGTGAGGTTTCTTCCTGGGTGTCCTAAGGCCCTTGACGAGTGCTTTTTGTGTATGATGCCAGTCCTTAGAGGTTCACTGTCTGGTACCCATTTTCGATCTCGATATAATAGGTTACCAGAGTCGTCCAAGCGACACTCTGAGATCGATAGCTTGAGGTCTAAAGCTGTTGGAAACTTGCGTTCACGTCCCTAACCGCTTTCCAGGCCGCTTGGTACACCTGATTTTTTTCCCTAGCTTCCTCCCATAGTTGCTCTAACCTGTGTTGAGCTGGTGGGGTTGGGGGTGCAGACACTGGGTAGGAGAAACTGTCGGTCTCTCAACACTACACCGAAAGATCTTCAGTGCTTCGTCGTCAGCTGGGTCTTCGTCTATCGTAGCAGTAGCGGGTTTAAAGACCTGCAGGAAACGTCGAGAGATCCGTGCATCTGAACCATTAGCTGGCATATCCTGATGTCTTCTTGAAAGAGCATCGGCTCTGACATTGTCAGCTCCAGGCCGGTAGGCGATCTCCATGTTTGGGAACTTTCCGAGAAACTGGGCCCATCTCATTTGGCGTTCGCTGAGCTGCCGAGGCTTCCCAAAGTACTCTAGGTTCTTGTGGTCGGTAATTACCGTGAACTTCTTTAAAGACCTCAGCATTCCGTCCCATTCAGCTATGCAGCAGATTACTGCAAGCAATTCTTTATCGTGGATTTCGTAATTGCTCTGAGCGCTAGTCATCTTTTTGAGTAGTAGGCGACTGGTCGTAGCAGCCCTTGGTCATCGTACTGAGATAGTACTCCAGCAACTACGTAACCAGACGAGTCAGTCTCTAAGATAGTCTCTCGATCCGGGTCCCATTGAGCGAGTACTGGTTCGGTAATAAAGATCTCTTTTAGCTTGTCGAACGCCTGTTGCTCTACTTCTCCCCATCGGAAGGTAACATCTCCAGTTAACCTTGTAAGTGGAGCTGCTATCTCTGAGTAGTTCTTGATAAAACGTCGGTAGAAGTTCGCAAATCCTAGAAAGCTGCGCACTCCCTTTACGTTCACTGGGGGTTCCCATTCCTTAATAGCCTTAACCTTGTCAGGATCCATTTTCAGTCCTTTGCCAGCTTCAATCACAAACCCAAGGTACTTTGTACATTTAACGTCGAACTCGCATTTCTTGATATCCAAAGGTAAACCAGCTTTGCCCATGGCCTCAAGGACCTTGTTTGTGTTTTGCTGGTGCTCCTTCAGGGGTACCGTTGGTGTAGATCAAGACATCATCCAGGTAGGCTGAGCAGAAGTCGTCCATGTACTCACGAAGCGTCCAGTTGATATACCGCTGAAAGGTGCTAGGTGCGTTTGCCATACCAAAAGGGGTGACTAGCCACTGTATAATCCAAATCGGTGCGAAGGCTGTCTTCCATTCGTCTCCCGCGTTGATCCTTATCCTGTGAAAAGCAGCTGATACATCAATCTTTGTAAACCATTTT